CCCATCGTTATAGTTAGCATTACCATCATTATCACCTGTTTGTCACCATTCACCGTGCACCATCATAATCACCATTCACCATTATCATCGCTCTTATTCTTTTTTATTATGATTATTATCACCATTCATGGTCATCATTTTTTATCATTTATTTTTTTCATATAAAATTATTTATATGATTTGTTTTTGTTTATATAATGTAGATTGATTCATTTTTTAAAAAAAATTGGATGGGAAGATTAATATTAATTATTTTATTATTTAATGAGTCGGAGCAATGATTTGTTCCTTTTTTTAGATGTCAGGTATCACTGAATGGATTCTTATCCTTGGACCTGCCATCGACAGTGGTCCACGCCTTTAGCCCTACTCTCTGGTGAAGGGGTTTCAAATTCATAACTTGCTGAGATCAGTTAAATAAAAGTGATGCAAGTCTATTAGATGTATAATGAAGGATAATGAAAGGGAATAAATATATCATCTTTTGTGCAATCTGGTCTTTGGTCACTTTGACCTTATAACCCCTTTTGGGTTATTTTGTGAAAATTTTCTTCCAACTTTTTTACTAGTTCATTTTTTATTTCATTTATTTATTTAAAAATTTGTGTTTTTAAAATTTTATTATTTTATTGTGTATTTCACTGATATTAATTATATTTTTTTTCTAGTGGAACGAAATTGTTATAATAGTTGATTTTATTGATTTGTTGAATTCGTAAAGTGCGTTATGGGAAGGAAGAAAATACAAATAACAAGGATTCAGGATGAACGAAATCGTCAGGTTCGTTTTTTTATTAATTAGGTATTGAAATAATGGTTCAGTGATAATAACTTAAAATGTTGTCCAATGAGGCTAAATGATAAAGGTGGCATTCAACAAAACGAAATGATAAGAATCATTCGCATGGCGAATTAAAAGGAGAAAGAACAATACTAAATTAGTCGAAATTCACCGAGCTAAAAGCGGACGAAGTGGTGATAAGAATAGTGTGCCGAAACAAATTAAATGATCCGATGATCTACGGAATGATCTGACTTTTAAAATTTTTTGCATTATGAAGACTTTACTTGCGCCAGTTGTTATAGTTCATTGACAATGGAATCAATTGCTCAGTTTTTTTTCGGTTTTTTCCCAACTAAAAGATTAATTTGTTTTTACTGGGATTTTTGAAACTCGATTTAAAATAGTCTATAGAATAGGTTTTGATAGTTTTTCGCAGTGTTTTGTTTTTTAAAATAATAAAGTTATTTATTTATTTAAAATTGAATAAGTAACTTGAAATTAAAAATTAATTGAAATCAAATTAATCATTTATATTAAATTAATGAATTCGGAAAGAAGATAGAGGAAAATAACCATTGCCTAGATTATCATTTTAATCCTTTTAAAATTCGATTTGATTCCTGGTTCGAGTAAACCATCAAAAAATCCAAAGGGGCATATTTATATGTCTTCTTTGTCCAATTGAGTCTCTGGCAAATACTGTTTCTATTAAAAACCTATAAGGCAGAAGTAAAGAGTGCTGACTATACTTTCATGGACTTTTCGATTCGATTCGATTAATTTGATTATTGAAAATTAGCAGTTTTTCTCATTGTTAAAGTAGTATTTTTATTATTTTTTATTTTTATTTATTTATTTTTATTGTCGTTGTCATTAACATTACTGTTGTCTTTTATTAGCATCTTTATTTTTGTGTTATCGATTAAAGAGTTAAAGATCAGCAACAATATAGGTAAACATCTCACTTATTTGACCTAAACCAAAACATTAAGTGCCAATCAGAGACCTTATACTTGTTTGCTATAAATCAAATGACATTAAGTTCATTCATAAAAAAAAAATACGCCTTATTATTTCTGAAAAAGCTAGCTCCTTTATATGTTAAATGGTTAGAAACTTTCACTGAGTCACTTGGTGATAGATGTGGTTTATCAGTATCAGTGAATCAGTATCAGTGAACTGTGGATTTTTAAATCAGTGAATTTTAAATTAAATTTTAAATTTTAAACTGTGGATTTTTAAATCAGGATTTTTAAATCAGTGAACTGTGGATCGAAATATGAATGTCATTTACTTCTATTATTAGCAAGAATGGAGTTCTTATATCTTAATAATCCAGGCAAGTATGCGCTCATTTATTCTGCTTCCCTTCATTATTCATATTCACGAGTTTGTTTCCCATATAAACAATTTTTTTGAAAAATGAAAAATGTGGTGAAAAATTTGAGAGAAAACAATTTTCCATAAAATTTAAGAAAGTAAAGATTCGTTTTTCTCCAGCATTAATAGATTTAAACAACGAATTTCAAAATGTTGCAAATTTAAAATTTTCAGATAAGGAAATTTTTAAAATTAAAAAAATTAAAATAGTTTCGTCTCTTACATAAAAAGGATTTTTTTCTTTCTAATTTTGGTTCTGCTGACCAGATATTCACGTTAAGAAGGATCATTTTCATAAGAAGGATCATTGGAACATTTGGAACATTTGCTTCAAATATTTGCAACCCACTGTTACGTGTTTCATCGACTTCGCGGCTGCCTTTGATTCAATTGATAGAGCGGCGCTTTGGAAGATGATGGAACGTGATGGTGTTCCAGAGAAAATCATTAGACTCATAAAGGCATTTTATGAGCACACATCGGCGCAGATCTGTGTATATGGGGAGCTGCAGATTCCTTCGAAATAAGAACAGGTGTCCGTCAGGGCTGCGTCCTTTCCTCCACAATATTCAACTATGCGATAGACTGGATAATGGACACTGCTTGTCGGCACTCAATAATTTGTTAGAAACTGCAGCAAGAATCGGACTAAGGATCAATGTAAATAAAACGAAAGTCTTTTCGTCTTATGAGCAAGAAGCTGATAAAATGCCTCTTTTTGTAAATTCATTGCCGGTTGAGGAAGTGCTTGATTTCAAATACCTTGGGTCCACTCTAATACCAAATGGACAGGCAAAAGATGATATTATAACTCGGATTACAGCAGCTAGAAATGCGTTCTTCCAGTTGACGAAACCTTTATGGAATCGTCGTGAAATCACCATAAAAACGAAAGTCCGCATCTTTTTTGCCGTGATCCGTTCGATCTTACTATATGGTTTTGAGACATGGCCACTGAGAGTGGAGGATATTAAGAAGTTATCTGCCTTTGATCACTATTGTCTAAGGTATATTTTACGGGTTCGCCGAGTGGATAAAATCTCGCAAGGTCGCATCCATCTTCGTTCAAATACCACTTGCATAAATAATGTTATCACAGAGCGCTGCCTTCACTAGTTAGGGCACATTCTCCGTCGTCCACCTCAGGAGTTGACGCATATTTCGTTATTTGCTAAACCCTGTGACGGTTGGCGTCAAAAGCGAGGTGGGCCAATCAAGACCTGGACTGATACGGTGGGAAAAGATTTTGAACGTATAGGTGGACCAGCAATATATGGACTTAGACGATGGAAAAAGGAATGGCTTCCATTACTGTCGACGATTGCATCAGACCGCGCTGCTTGGAAGCGTCTTACTCTTGTAGCCGTTGGAGATAGCCTAACCAGTAATAGTGAGAGCTGTTAGAAGAAGAAATTTTGATTAGATTTTTATCAAATAATTTAAAAAAACAAATTTTAATTGAGAAAAGAGGTCTAGGTACCATGGCTTTATGACCCTTTTCAAGTATTCCCCGGAGAAATGTCGATGTCCTATAGAAAAATGATTATACGCAGGAAAGTGAAACAAGTAGTACTGAGGAAAGATTGGAATGCTGAGATTTGATCTATTAATATTCGAATATTCAAAAATGCAATTGGGTTAATTATTCCGACTTATTAAAGATTAAATCCGAAACAAATACTACAATTATTTTCATTTGTGAATTGAAATTTATGGGTTGATGAGAAAATTAGAAAGGAAATATTTGTAATCATTTCTGTGGATAGGTAGATGGTATCGATTTTTATGGTACTTTTTCAACATTCTCTCATTAATTTGATTAAATCGGTTTAATCGAAAAAATAAAGAAAGTAAGTTTTCTAAAATAAAATCACGATAAGATAACAAACAGCCTTCAGTTATTCTGAATTGTTCTCAGTAGATGCCTTTTTCCTGAAGCCTTGTTGGATTCGAATTTTCAATTAAGTTTGCAGGCATCTAGGTTGAATGCTTCATTTTTTGATTCGCTTATTAAATAGGGTTCTTATTAGGTTAAATCGAGGATTTTTTGTGATTTTTGCAAATTTGTTTTATCATTTATAAATTTATTCGTATCTTTCACCATTTCGTTTTTAACCAACTCCACGAATTTGCTTATGGTGTAATAAAAAAGCTCAGAATATTTTAGTTGTTGGCTTGTTTCTTCGTCAATGAACTATTGTATCATATCGTTCGACGCCTCAAACTTGTGTAATTAAACCTTTATTTGAAATAACAATCTCGACAACATTTTTTTTAGAGTCCTCACCATTACTGGTTAAGCTCGCTCCACTGACTTGTCACATTGAGCAATATGCCAGGGAGTCCCTTGGCGATAGACGTTCAGATTATTCGCCAGCATCACTCTACAGGTTTACCTCTGCGGGGAATCGAACCTCAGCATCGGCGCTTCCAATTGAGCAGCAAATCTATCGCTCAAAACCATTAAAATTGTCACAAATAAAAATAGACTAAATTGAAAGCGAAATATAAAAAGGTAACAGCCATGCTTCGACTGTTATTCGTCGAAACTGATTTATTGGTCTTCGCTGGTCTTATATAACCATATCACTCGAAGTTTATACCTTTGCCATCGGATTGTTGATTTATTCTTTTATTTCTGGCGCAGTGGATCGTGTTTTGCTCATTTTTTTGAGCACAACTGTGAAGTCACTTGGATTGGTCACTCAGAGAATTGTTTATGGGTCTCTGTGGATTGAGTTTAAATGAATTAAATAAATAAAGAAAAGCTTTGTATGTATATATATATATATATGTATATTTTTAGGTGACATTTACGAAGCGTAAATTCGGTTTAATGAAGAAAGCGTATGAATTGTCGGTTTTATGCGACTGTGAGATCGCATTAATTATCTTTAATTCAACGAATAAATTATTTCAATATGCATCAACTGATATGGATAAAGTTTTATTAAAATATACAGAATATAATGAGCCACATGAAAGTCGGACTAATTCGGATATTATGGATGCACTACAGCGTAAAGAAAATAAATCAAATAGTGGTATAAATGATTCGGATGATGATTCGCCACCACCGCCACCAAGTCAAGCGACACGACCTAGTATTATTGCCAATGGTACTATTTCTAGTAATAGTAACTCGGTTGCAGCTGTTAGCACCGCAACAACAGCGAATAGTGATGATTTTAATGGCATCACCCAGCAAATATTCAATCATCCGAATGCTTTCGTACCACATCACCATCATCATCAGCAGCAACAACATATAAATGCGTATAATGCATCAACAAGAAATTCTTCATTAGTTTCAGCTGTAGCTTCAGCTCGATCTCAATCTATAAACGATAATTCGAAAGCATCACAGCTAGATTTTGCATCTACAAGTGCTTTTGCTGATTTCAGTAATTGTTCAACAGCAAATTCTGCGACAAATATTAATGACGAACAGCAACAACAAGGGATAGTACAACGAATATCTGCTACTCATGAGACACTTGTAAATAAACGACTTGAGCGACAAACTGCAGTAGCAGCAGCTGCAGTTGTCGCAGCTACAGCAGTCGCCGCGCAACAACAACAACAGCAGTTACAATCATTATTGAATGATTCACATAATAATGTATCACAAAATTCATCAGTGAATACAGCTGGATCATGGATTGATTCGTTACATCATCATCATCATCATCACCATCATCATCATCAGCAACAGCAACAACAACAACAACAGCAACAACAACAACAACAGCATAAGTCATTTGTGAAGATTGAGCCGAATTCTCCAGCTGAAAAACGACCTCGAACTGATGATTGGCGAGCGCAACAATCTATTACTTAATCCCTAGTAGTTAGTTAGTTACAGATCGAACAAGGCTTAAATAATACTGGAAGGGAATGGAACATTGTCTTCTATTTGTCTTCTTTTTTTAGTTTCAAATTCAAGTTCCTTGGAAAGTTTGTCACTAAAATCTACCTATTTGAATGAATCAGTCGCTCTCATAACTGTTATTTCCTCTTTTTTTCACCTCTTTTTTTCGTCTTGAAGAAAACAAGGTATGCTCATTATTTTGATGTTTTTAACTGGTTTATGTTTGGTATTGTTCTTTTTCGTAAAAGAAGGAAGTTTAGTTGTTTTGTTTTTTAGTGCCAGTTTTATAATATTTAATTAACCGATTCGTTTTTTTTGTATTCATCTTAGTCCGTTTAGTAGTAATAAATTTTCGAGTTTTTTGAATATTTTTTATAATTCATAGAAGGGTTTTTAGTTGTTTAATTTTAGTTCTTATTTTGTTTCTTTGAAATAGTAAAAAAATTTGTAGTTGAGTGGTTAAGAGGCAAACGTATGGCTAAAACGCTTGTCTCAAATTTTTTTTTCATGGTGTATGATCTCGGTTTCTTTCTTGTTCAGTATTTATATTGTTCAGTTGCCCAGTGGTCATGTATTTTTTGGGTAAATTTATATACGCTAATAGCTGATATTTAAAGTGAAGGCAGAGAAATGATGGTATTCGTAATAAAAATTGGATATTTTAAGAAATATAATGTCAGAATTTTTGCCAATCTTTTTTCAAAAAATAAGCAGAATTCATTGGGAAGTAGGAAAAATCAAATTTGAATTTATAGGAAAAATTTTTTTGAAGGAATTTTGAGAAAATTTTCATAAAATTTTCATCTTAAAATCTTCAAATGATTCAAAATAAAAAGGTAAATTTTATCTAACCATTTATTTACTCTGTATCATTTTCCATTAAAAATGCGGTGAATTTTGTGCCAGTTGCTATATTCTTGTCTCCATTTCAATTCGATTTTGGATTGTGATGAAAGTGTTTTATTTGATATGAAAATGGATAAGTCCCTGGAGGAATGATTTTTTCCGGCTGCTTTTATCAGCTTATCACGAAGGCAAGTTAAAATTGGATTAACACTTATCCCGTTTCGTTAACTGATTTGTTTTACGGCTCATTTTTTGTATATCATTCTGGGATGGTCATCATTCATTTTTTTTACTATCTACCTAATTTTTATCCATTTTTCTTTTTGTATGGATTAACGCAATGCGCGTGATTTCTTTTTTGCCATGTTGTTACTAGTTTGGTTGGAGAAAGGTGACCCTCACCGTCCATCTCTTCTTCCTTCACTCCCTGTTTTCATCCCTATTTTACCTCCTTTGTTATCATTTTTCTTTTATTATTATTTAATATTAATCGACTTTGCTACTAATAATCAATCTAGTCACGCATTCTTAGGTTTAATTCTGTATATTGTGGTGTAAATTCAGCTTCATTTAGCGACCGTGTCGCATTCACCCGGTATTATGTATTGCTTTTCGTTTTTTTTTTTTGCATTGTTTCGGTGATTGAAAAAAATTTCCGAAATTTATTTTGTGGAGATTTATGTATTGTTTGTTTGTATGCGCGTATTGCAAAGCTAATAATTATGCATTGTGGTAAAGTGGGGTTTCGTTGGCAGAGACAATTCTTTTTTCTTTTATTCTTTGTACATTGTTTAATAAAATTAAGAATAAAATACAAGAAATTGTTCAACGAAAATACAATGTGACAGAATAAAAAAAAACGGAAAAAATGGAGGAAACAGTTGAACGAATGTGAGCAAATATCTTAAAAAAATGAAATTTAAATCAGGCAAATCGTCCGAATTTTTTTCCACAGAATTTATTGAAAAACGATGTAATGAAAAAAAACATAAAATTGATGTATTTATCAATTTCCTTAATTTAATTTAAAAGACAACAGCAAACAAAATACAGATTATTGACAAACCTATTCTTACACCGAAAGTGGACTTTCGCCAGATAATGTTTATTGAACGTGGATGTGCAAAAAAATTTATTTTAAAATAGGGGAATGTTGCAAAATTTAACATAAAGTGCGCATTTATTTTTATTTAATAATTGATATTATTAGCTGATTCTTCAATATTTGCCATAAAAGAGCGTAATGAAGCAGCGATAATCTGTCTATTATGATCATTTACCTGATAAAACGAATATAGTGGCTGATTTGGTGTCGCCGACATTGCTGCTGTTGCATTATTTGGATACCATGATTCTGATACTATAGGAAAATGTAAATTTTGTAAATTACCAAGCGGCAAAGTTTGGCCAGCTGATGGTAAATGTGTATTCATTGCTGGACGAATTGAATTCATTCTAGATGACTGCAAAGCTGGAGTGATAACTGTAGCAACAGGAGTAGATGGGTTAATAGCTGCTGCAGCAGTCTTATTTATATTCACTGGAACTATAGCCGGCAAAGTCGACGATGATACGCTTGCTGGTGATGCTAAATCAACAGTGCTGTCACATTCATCCAATTCAATACATACTATAGGCGGTGGAACGCTAGAAGACATCTTCTTAGAAGCAATCTGTGGTGATATCACCTAAAAATAAATCCATTCATTTGTTAAATAAAGTTCTTTTTATTCTAAATGCATTTTCCCTTTTATTATTTTTTTTTTAAATGTTAAATGAAATGCTGAATTAAATGAACCTCATTGTCGTCATCGCTATCGGATAATACGATTACATCGTCATCATCATTTCCATTAGTCGACAGAGATGGCACTGAACATGAAGGTTTCGTTGATGCAGGATAAGTGTGCATATATTTTCTTTTTTTGCATCGAATTTCTTGATCTGAATTATTTTCTGATTCACCTGTTATTGCCTGCCAACTGCCATCCCGAAAAAGTTCCACTTCCGTTATGCTTGAATCAATTGCTTTAAGTATTGACTCAAAATACCTTAAAAAAATCATATATATTGGTATATATTGGTTAATTTAATGGAATAAAAATGTCCTCGAGAATTCATCTAAAAAATTGATTTATTAGAAGCAAAATTCTAAAAAAACGAGTTTAAACGAGTTTAAAATCAATCAAAACAAATATAAAAATTCTCAAAAAATTTATTGCAAATAGTGAATTAAGTCAAATAATTTCTGGTCTCATTAGCTTTGAAAAAACTGGTTATTTTCAGGAGAACAGAAAACACAATCGAAGAAAAAACCCAAGAAAAACTTTAATTTCTAGAAATTTTTTTTTTTACCATTTCTTCGCGTAAGCGTTATGTCGAAAAACTTCAGAATTCAAGAACTAAAAATTTCGAGAAAAAAACAGTAATGAAATTGAATGTGCTATGAAACTAGAATGTAAGAAAATTAAGGCAAATCAGTGATCAAATAAACCGTGAAAATGTTTTTAAAAAATATTAAAGGGAAATGCTATAATAAAATTGAATGGTAGTAATACTTGAGTTTTTTAAAATATATAAAAAAATTTCTCGAATATCTAATGAAAAAACTATTCCCAATTCCCTAAAAAAATATTTAAACGACTGAAAGATTTAAATTATTTCAATTTAAATATAATATAAATCCACAGAGAAAATCACTAAGGCATAACGCGTCAAGAATTTGCATAGTTAAAAAATAAAAAAAGCCAAATCTACCCACCCATCAATAATTAGTTTTCTGTATGGCGCACCATTATCACAAATTGGACATTTCCAAGTTGGACGTTTTTCATTCATCATTAGAAATAGTGACAAATCAAAGCATTGTAGATGTGTACAATCGCTACATCGCGACGGTATAACAATTCGAGTTTTGCCCAACTAAAAAATTCACTTAATATTAATTTAGTTGCTTTATCAGACTACCAAACTTTTAATTCCGTTAAAGCCCCTTCAAGCATAGTTGTAAACATTAATCTATTAAATCTGTAGCAAGAAAATCATAACTACAAATTAACAAAAAGAAATGAACGAAATTTTAATCACAAATCGATATAACGATTAATAAAATACAGGTTCAATAAACCTAAAGATCAAAAATTTATAAAGGAAGATTATTTAAAATATAATATGTCTATATATTGAAAGAAAGGAAAGTACCGGGCATAAGAGAGATATTCTCAATGTCTCCATTCGTATTCCGTCTTCATCAGCCATTGAAAGTCGCCTCTGTATATCACGTTTAGTTATAATACTGCTAAATCGAGCAGCAGTATTGGATGTCAATCGTTTCCTATAAGTTTAAAAAATAACAATTAAACAGATAGAAAAATGACAGAAGAAACCGAAAAGAATTGAAAAAAATCTATCGATATATGTATATATATACATCGATTTTTTGTTTTATAATATATATTGTCTAAGGATGTTCATTACTTCTGGACATACTCGCTGATTTGTTAAACAAGATAAACTGTGCCAGAAAATCATTTGGTGACAGAAGTACAGACAGACTACCAACATTACCCATTTTTTTGAAAACGGGCTCTCTTCGTCGGCAATAAAGCACCAACATTGGCGGTCTATAATTCACTGAGCCACTATACTAGACCTCATATTAATATGTATCATAAGAAAAGAAATGAGCAATATTCAAAGTTCAAAAATTCCTCATTCTCATATTTTCTTTGATCTGTATTATATGGTGAAATATATAAATATAAGATAAGAAATATACCTTAAAAATAAATAAAAAGCAAACATAATTAGAAAATTAAAGCAAAAATTTCCAAAAAAACAAGTTGATTTTAATATATTAGAGATATATACTGAATGAAGAATAATAAAAAATTTGATAGCAACATATTTACTTTACTGAAATAAACAAAAAAAAAATATTACAAAAGAATTTGAGATGTGAGTCGATGAACGACAAAAATACCAACAGCCCAAGTGCGTTTATCACCTGCCCATTCAATAAATAAACGATAAGAGTGATCTCGTCGATGCTGACAATAAGGAGTAATGTTTACCGGTCTACTTGGTCGTTTAGGTTCTGCATTCGGCTTGTTTGTAGGAATTACAGCCTGAAAATATAGCATAATAAATCCACAATTTCTAGGGAGTTTTCCTTTTTTTCTCATATTGTTACCTTTTTCCTTTTTTCGATTCCAGCGAAATATGCATGACATTAAAAATAATAAAATAAAATCAAACATAACAAATAAAAAACTCCAGTAAAATGATCTTAAAATTCTAAACTATAAATAAAAAGCAGAAAATTTTAGTAGGGGAAAAAATTTAGCTATTTCTTTTTCTTCTAAATAATATGAAAATGCTAGACAGTCAAATTTAAACTCTTATAGTCTTTGACGATTTATGAAAAATGCAAAATTTTTAGAAACAATGTAAGCATCAAAGGATTAGAAAAAGTTACTAACAGGCAATATGACTTGTTCATCATTGATTTTGACCACACAGTTTGGTGGAAAATCATCATGAAGTTCTGCACACTGATGCATCAAAAAAAAACGAAGCTGCAGTTCAAAACGAGGCAATGCCGTCGCTTCACTTCTGAAAAATTTTTCATTGACTTGTCTTCGCGAAAACTGACGATTTTATTAATAAAAAAAACTTTTAACTATATAAAAATAAAAGAAATCAATATAAAACCTGTAAAGAACTTTCGGAACTATTTCCGACGGAATGACAAAATTAAGCAACAAATGTGATGGTATTCGAACAGCGAGAATATTAGGCGGTAACTCTGTCAATTCGAGAAGAGTATCTACCTGAAACCAAACCAAAAACTTTCCGAGCAAAATAATAAGAGTTTCTTTATATTAGTGAATCTATTTACAAAAACAATACGATTACAACCACAAAATTCATTCATTGGCATTCATTGCGATTCTTAAGATCTTAATCTACTGATCCTCCTATAGTCTTGTTAATCTTCTTGATACTTTCTCCAGCCACGCAATAACATTCTAGTAAAATCACTTCATCTCATCGCAATTAAGTAATCCTTTCTTCATAATGATAATACCCATCACCATTTGCAATCAATATCAAAAATTATCAACCAGACCAAGAGGTTGGTTCCATACACTGGATTCCATCTAGCACGCTGCTTTTTGCTCATTTGTATATGCATTGCATTTCATCCCCTATTATGATGAGCATTTTTCTTTTTTTAGGCTATTTTTAAAATTATTTAAATCTTCCCCGTATCTGTCCTTTTTGCTTCCTATGTTTTTCGCAAAAATAAAAATAAATATATACATATATATATATATAAAACATTAGGTAATTATTATTTAATTACTATTTTATAATTATTATTATTTATTTTTAATTATTTTTACTTTGTCATAAAATGGTAAATCGACAATGCACGGTCCTCTTGCGGTTCGATTTGCTGAGGAGATAAAAGGCTGTTGTTGATGTTGTTGTTGTTGCATCTGCTGCTGCTGTTGCTGTTGCTGTTGCTGTTGCTGTTGCTGTTGCTGTTGCTGCTGTTGCTGTTGTTGTTGCGTAGACAAATACTGATTCGGCGTAAAAACATTGCAAGACTGCGCACACATCTGCCGATACCACGTTCCATACCAAGAATTTCTGTCATATGAACTTTCAGCATCCATGTTATTGTATATATTTGCAGGTAATGGAGGAGAATTACCAATGCGCCTGTTGGCCGCACAGATTTCACGAATTTTATTAATAACAGCTGCTTTATTATTAGAGCAGCGCAATAACATAAAGCATCTGAAACTTTTTCATACATAAAAAACACTTCATTGTAATTTGCGATTTCATTATTATAAAAATATCAACAACAACAAAAATATCAACATAAAAATAACCTTTGTACTAATTCATTTTTCTTACCCAATTTTGAACATTTGAAATATGATAACAATGAGTGAAGTTCATTAACGCGAAACTGTTGTATTAACTAAAAAGGAATTGTGCGAAAATAGTTCAAATTATACTTTGAAAATGAGAAAAAAAATTTAAATTATGAAAATTTTCTTAGTTTTACAAGCTATGATTATTAAGAAACTGAAAAATAAATTTAAAATATGAAAGAGTTCTCAACCTACTCAGTCACCACCAAACAAAATCTAGATGAAATAGTAGCTACAAGAAAAAAGTTTAAACACATGCCTCATATATTTCCACTTCTGATTTCGTCGATGCCATAAACCATTGATAAATGAAATACTAAAAAATCTACTTATTTTGACTATAAAAGGCTCAATAAGAATAAAAAAATAAGAAAATGAATAAAATTAGAATTCAAAGAAAACAAAAAATCGGAAAAATTTACCACATTTTTCGAGTTACTTCCCCTCTATTCTTTAACTGACTGAATTTTTGGAGAATAACCCCGTCGACCTCTTCACCTTTTTTATTGCAAAGTTCAATTCCAAAAAAATATTTGTGTCAAGACAATGTTTTTAAAAAGTAGAAAGACCAACCTTTTATATCCAATTAATCCTACAATAAGAGCATAAAAACGTTTGGTTTATAGCTCATTGACCAATTCCATAAAAAGCAAGGTAGCAAACGAAAACTGCTCGAAATTATTTGTGAATTTAAAAATGCTTTAGTAAGTAATAACAAATAATAAAATCAAATAAATAAATTTTTATAGCATTTTTGTCGTACAAAATGCTAGCTCTTTCTAGAAATTTTGCAAAAACGAAAAATTTTACTATATTATAGAAACTCTGGTCGTAAAATAACCATTCTTCTAAATTAGGAAAAAGTTTTTGCTCATCTATTCATTTTTAATCAAATAATGAAATCCTTTTCAGTATATTTTTAAAAAAATATGCAGTATAATCAGAAATATCAATAGAAATAACTTTAGGAAAGTAGGTTAACTTGTCACGGCCCATATTTTGTACCGTAACAATACCTATATACTTTCTCCAATAGAAAAAGAAACGGTAAAGATATATATGTATATACCATATACCAGTCGATTAAATAGCGACTGAAATTAGAAAATTTTCCGCATATAGTTAAATATTTTATTGAAATATACAACTTTACAAAAGGTAATACTACCAATATTATACAAATAAACTTGCATCAAATGAACATAAATATTTTGCATAAAAATAAGATTACTAGAAAAATTTGAATTTGCTCAATTTTAACCTATAAAATTAAAATTTTTGGAATATCGCTTATCGCTTAAAAGAAAAAAAGTGGAAAATTTACTCTAAAAACACTACGCAAATAAATAAATATCTCTAATATAAACGAACTATCAATGTATCAACGCCTATACCACTTTTGAGCCTCTCGTTTCCGTTTTATTTTCTTTTGCAACTGCAGAACACCATACAGCAATGCTTCTGCAGATGGTGGGCATCCTGGTATATATATATCTACAGGAATTATACGATCAACACCTTTTAGAACTGAATATGCATAATGATAATACCCACCACCATTTGCACATGAACCCATACTTATTACCCATTTCGGTTCTGGCATTTGATCATAAATTCGACGCACTGCTGGTGCCATTTTGTTTGTTACTGTACCCGCTACAATCATCAAATCTGTCTAAAAAAAAAAAAAACAATTAAGAAAATTTTAGCATAAACCATGCGATTAAATTTAACATTTGCCTTTCAACTTATAAGTTTTCAAAAAACTCAATTAGACTTGTGAATAACTAAACCGAATTAATTAACAATTAATTAACAAAATTAAAATTAATTAATTTTGGCACTTTTTTTTCTTGTAATTATACGGATTTATTTTTATTCTTTCTTTATTATAAGAAAGGATAAGTAAAATAAATAAAATAAACTAATATTTTGGCCCATAAAAAGCTTAAAATTTGTATAAAAGTTATTCGTGAAAATTTCCACTAAAAATAAAACCTGTCTAGGTGATGCACGAAAAACAACGCCATAACGATCCATATCATATCTGGGAGCAGCAAAGTGCATCATTTCAACTGCACAACAAGCTAAACCAAAAGTTAATGGCCAAATCGAATTTCTTTGACATAAATTTATGATATCATCAATCCTTGCTAATGCATATTCACCACGTGACATTGGTTCCAAAAATGGCGATCCAAATTTGCCCCATATTCCCTTCAAGATTATTTATTTTCACAAATTAACAAAACTAAAATAAAATATAATATTTTCTTAATATAATCATTCAAATATTTAAAATAAAAAGTTACAAGTTACAAGTCAATTTACAAAATAGAAATGACTGGCGGTATTTTAAAAAATAGTAATTAAAAGCAGAATTAATTAATTTCTTCTTTTTTCTTTAAATTTCTTCGAAAATTTTTTTTTATCTATAATCAGAACATAAATTATTAACATCTGCCAACATGATACAAGGGCATTTATACTGAAAATAATGATTTTCTATTAACAAGTACCGATTATTGTATTTACAGTTTCCAGCGGACTAACCCCAATTTTCTTTATTAAGAAACTCAGCTATTATTGATATATTATGTTTTAGGATTTTAAGAAGCTACAGTAGATCAGCAGCAGAACATCAAACAGTGACACAGTCGTCTTTGAGTGAAGGTCCGACCAAGAATAGAAGGGTTCAATCCTACCATTGCTTCCCGATCAGAATCCACTTTTTGCCTCAAGTAAAAATCTAAAAGTTCAAAAAAAAATCATTTTTGTATCGCATTAGCAGTGACATTTAAACGTATCCTCACATTATGCTCAGCTAATTCGTCGGATACCTATTTGTCAAGCCTTTTCTTTTTCTCGACATAGATGATTCTAAACAGCATCACGAGAAATTCCATGTTCCTGAACTCGCGAAAATGGAAATATGCACTTCTGAATCCCAGATACAAAATCGCATAAGGTACAAAACTGCTCGAACTTTTTGACTGGACCGATAAAATAAAGGAAAACATATGTAAATGAAAATACAAATAAAAATTAAAAATGATAAACAGTAAAATCAAATAAAATAAGATATACTGGACAAAAAAGTGGAAAACGTGGAAACTGTATATAAGTAGATAAACTGAAAACTAAAAATAAATAGAAAGTCCAAGTGCAAACCCATGAAATTTATGGACATAAATATGCATTTAGTCGATTTAATTAATGAAATTTATAAATAATAATAAAAAATAATAATAAAATAATAAAAAAGTGAGCAAGTGAAAAAAAGAGATTCATTCTGATCTAGTGGCAAAAATAACAATTATACCAGTGAAGCCTAAGAAAGGAAAAAAGAATGCTAATAACGAATGCGCAAAACAAGAATTCCAACTTCCTTAAAAAATAGAAGGCCGTAAGACCTTAACAATAATGGAACATCGATATGGCTAAGGTTATTGGAAACCACGCGATAAACTTTTCTTTAATGGTATATTTGAGTCCAGAAATGCGACAAGACCAACCTGTTGGCCTGTTTCAAAATCTGCAAAATTGGAAAGACCTGCTAGCCCGGTGTTTTATATCGCTACCAAAGATTAAAAGATAATGAATTATATTAGATGGACAGAACAAATGTCGAGAAAATTAAAGTATGGGAGAGAAATGGGACAGCCTAGAAATGGATAATGAAAATGTACCACCTAAAAATGAAGGAATATAGCCTCAATCTAACCCACATGGCCCTTTCCTTTTCTTTCATTCCCTTCTCGTAAATCTTTCATCAGCGTTTTTCCGCATAGACTCTAGTTTTGTCTCATTGATCTCTTGGATAATACGTAGAAACCTATAGACTTTTTGAAGTTTATGGACTCCTTCACTCATTTTCGACATTTTTAAACATATAAAAAAAATATACATATATACATGAGTGGAGTGAAAGGGTGGGCCAATATCATTCTTTACTGATAAACTACTGTTAATACTACTCGTAATTAAAGGAAAAGTTAAGACTGCTGAAAATAAAGATTCAAAATCCACGGGTGCTCAAGCCTGCCCCAGCCCCCAGATCAAGAACTCCCGCTCTGGAACTCAATATTATGATGAGACTATATTATCTCCATAACAATTACTCATATTTTAAAGTAATTTACATTTTGAATATTTTCTCTAGTCTTATAACTTTTCTCTCACATGTGAAACTGAATACTAACCACCATATAGCTTAGATTTAAAAAATAATAAATATTAAAAAAATTAAAGGAAAATGAAACCTTAGGTGCTTCTTTTTTGATCGGTAGTTCAGGTGTTGAAGAAGAATTACTTGAGATCAATTTTACTGCCCCCTGTTTTGAAAAATTTATCCGATCTTTTAGCATATGTAAAAAAGATTTGCTGAATTTCGCTAACATCACCTAAAAGAGAATGATAAAACTGCTGATAATATGCTGATAAGCTGAAAAAAAGACTATTTAGTTCTCGTTCGAGGAAAGGAACAGTTAATTAATCCACTACTAAAAACAAATTCATTAACCAGATTTCCCATACATGATGTAGTGTACCATAAAATATACATGTGAAAACACTTAATCTTTGAGGATACAACCCACCCATCCCTCTTATATCACTAAAATAATAAAAATCACGTGGTACGTCCAACCTTAAGAAGTAATATAATATGAAGCTCATAAGTTCGAAGAAATTTAAATTCCCGACATTGAATATATCCATTCTTTATCGTCATCCACATATCTACTGTATTAAGGCGGGAATTTCAAATAAAGTTTTGGTACTTGATGAAATACCAGTTTCGAAAAGGTTTAATAAAGAAGCTAAAGACAGTATTGACTTGCAGTTATCGTCGAACGATGTCAGTCATTCAATCAATTCATTAGCATTTTTTGAAAGACTAAAATATTCGCATCGATGTCGACTGTGCTTGTGCTTTTCGCTTTGGCACCATACACCCTAATTCGCTTTTTTTTTCAAACACGCTTGTCTTCGCGTACTTTTTTATTTGCCCCAAAAACCATCTGTTTAATCGTAGAAGGGATTTCTTTACTTGTCAAGTAAAAACTGATATGATTGGCCATAATTTAGCCGTATCTCTAGATTATTAAACTGATAAAGCGGTTCAGCAAGAATATCGCGAGAACGCGAGGATTCAAGTCGTCAATCTGTCCTCGGCTGTAATTTTTAATCCCACCTAGTTTCTTTTACAGTCATTCAATCAGTTCATCAATTTCTTTTTTGATCAGCTTTCTAACAGAAATTTTCTTCCAGCATAAAAGTTTATTACTTCGAAATATATTAATTTTTTTAAAATTCCATAATAAACTGATATCATCATTTTGCTTCACCGTTATGTGAGGTGATAACTATTATAACTTTTTTTTTAAAAAAAATCCATTATTGGTTAAATTCGCTCCGCTGGCTTGCCGCACTGGACAAATATGCCAGGAACAAATATCCCTTGGCGATAGAAGTACAAGTGAGTCACGAGCATCACCCGGATTTTTGGACAGGTTTCCTCTTGCGGGGAATCGAATCTCAGCATCGGCATTCAGAATTGAGCAACAACCCACTGATTATTACTATTATCTTACTATTATAACTCATAATAACTTACAATTAGAGCCCCGAATTTTGTGAATCTTGCAGTGGAAGAGTGGCGAACAGTGAAACACGCTTTGCCACTTAAATTCATACATTTTTAAGGCCACATTCGCAAGCAAATATTCTAAATATTCATAACATAACATAGCATCTTTCGAAAGTTTCGAAAATATGAAGCAGACGTAGGCAAACGTAAAGACACGCGACACGTGAAGGACACCTCGAAAAGAGAACTTCAGCGAAAATTCGCAACCTCTTTAAGCATCACGTAATATCCTAAATTCGCTAATGACTTTATGGTACTTTATTCTGTTTTGGTGCATACAAGTATAACATATCGTTGCTTCTCATTTTTTCCACCTTTTATGCATAATACCACGATATCAGTGTGGATAGATGTGGATGGACAGATACAACTATCGAATATTGTGTCACGCAAAAGCCATTAGGTTATCTAAGCTGTTCATCAGGTTAGAGGTTACGCGCAGTTCTCACTCCCAAGCTCCCAACTGCTGCAAAAACTGTGAAGTTATGTGATGGAATTGCACGGAAAGAAAAATTAAAATGAGAAATAGAGAAGAGATTTCAAAAAGTTCCACAGTTATAGGAAATAACTACGCAAAATCCCAGCTGCAGCTAGAAATAATTTTTTCATTCATTCATTCGGTAAGACCTGAGAGGAATCGCTGAATGAAAGCTTGCATCCCTCTCACCGTAGTGCTATGAAATGCTGGTTGTGGCAAATCTGGCGCCACAGTGCATTATCATTATTATTGTTTAATGATAGCGTTATCAGTGGGACGGCACTGCGGGTTAGTAATATACACGTAAAAAAATAAAAATTCGAAATAAATAATGCAATTATTTAAAATTTAATAAATTTGATTTAATTATGGAATGGACTTTGTCTCAAATATCTCTTTTAATTTTTAAATTCTTCATATAATTGTTTGTTTCGCTTGTCTTTGAATTATGCAAGTTTCTCGTAAACTTCATCCACCAGAGGGCTCCACCAGAGCAAATATGCGCAAATATGCCATCTGTTATGGGCGCCGAAGAACAAGGCCAACGAGATGATGACGCTTTATGACGATATTTTGACGGTATTCCAAAGAAGATGAATGCAACCATGTGGTAGTTAATTCGACGAACCAAACTCACGCTGCGTCACGTGAGCTGGACCAATGCATAAGCTCGACCATTTCATAATTTACTTGGAAATAAGCAAGCTCTGTCAGCTCGCAATTGTCGATCTAACAATTGCGCTTATCGCGGTTGGCAACGATCAATTTGATTGTTTATGAGCATTACTAATTGACAGCTGATGAGCCGTTAAAGTTCTTGGTAAGAGGAATTCGAAAGACGATGTAGTAAATAGAAAGATAGAAAAATGGATGGCGAACATTGAAGCTGAAGAATAGTAATTCATGGACAAAAAACATGGTTTCTGAGCTGTTGGTTGTCGGGTTTAGGTAAGTGTGTTGTGAGGATTTGTTGCTGTTTTGACCCGAGATAGTTTCCAGAGGAGGCAGCCTTGTCCGAAGTGAGTTTGAGGCTATTTGGGCCGAAAATTTGTCTGCACATTTTTGTTGCAACGCCATTCACACGAAATTTGCATTTGCCAAATATTTATATGAACAATCCTTTCTTGTTTAAAGGCTGAAAATTTTATTGGAGATTATAAATGCTGCAAATTCTAATGGTCTTAAATTTCCTGTGAAAATTGGTGGGCGGTTCGGTGAACAAAAATCACATTTCGTCACGAATATTTTTTAATAAAGTAAAAATGCGTAAAGCGACTTGAAGTGACTTAGTGAGAAACGTAAAGGCAGTTATGTTCGCAAATTGTAGAAGGGCAGCGATGGCTACGAATTTCTACGAATTTTTATACTGCTAATGTAACTCGATCGCCTTTAAATGGGATGCTAAAGAAAGAAGGAAAATTTTGGAAATTAAGAGGGAGAGGAATGTTTGAGTTAAAAGTATTCGCGCAAAGTTCCAAGGCTAAATCTAGAAAATTGCAACTAGGTGAATGGAACTGTTGAATTTTACATACGTCGAATCGAACTGAGTTCGCAGCGGAATGGGGTTCATATGAATTATTGTGCAACGCCGAAATTCTCTGAGATTTTCAGAATCTTCGACGTATGTCGTTCAAAAAATCCCATTCATCCACAGTCGAAAGCGCTGAATCGACGTTAGTTTTTTTCGAATCTTTATAATTTTTAATGGCGTCCAGTAATTTTGCAATTTCAGCGTATTTCTAGGTTAGAAAATTTTTTTTATTCTCATTTTATAATGAATTTGCGAATTCTGAAATCTTATGATTAAAATGGTTTTATTTTTTATTAGTATTATTTTATTATTTATGCATAATTTTGTGCACATTCGCAATTATTGCTCAATAAAAGAAATATGACCGTATCTAAGCATTCGCTATTGCTTATTTGACGGATTCCACTGATTATCGAGAATAAAGCGAGAAACCCACTTGACGACGAGGGTCCACTGTTTAGAGTCTAAAATGATTTGGGGACATAAATTGAAAATATATATTTTCAGTATTCAATATTTTTAATTTCAATATTTCAGTTAGAGTATTATGAGTATACATGAAGATATCAATGACAATAAAGGCAATCATAAGGGTAAGTAGAATGCAAGCAGAAAATGGAAAGTTGAAGTCTTATCTAAACATACACATTAAAATAGGCGAATTTTATATATACAATGCGCAGATTTGATGTGTGATGTGTGAATCTAATGTTATAAATTTCACAGTTTTCACAAATTTTTAATTTTTTTATGTGTTTTCAAAGCGATTTACGAATAGTGATCAATAGAATCAATAAGACATAACTTTCAGAAGTTTTTCGGATGAAGAAGAAGAATGGGATGACTCGAATGAACTGCAAATGCGTTATACTTCAGTTGTATGGCCAGCACGAGAAGATCTTACCTTATCATATGCACCTTGGTGTAAGAAACGTTATCCTCTATCATTTAGAGGGTTAGTTTTTCTTTAAATTTCGTTGCATATTTATAAGGCTAATTTAATGCATAAATACAATATTTGAAGAAACATAACGCTTGAATTTAATTTATATGTTGATATAAATGATAAATATGCAATATTTAATCGTTCAACTAGGATAAATCGCTCATAATAAATGTTAAAGTGGATCATATCTGCTTTCATCATTTTAGTCGAAAAATATAATAGAAAACTGAATTAAAAATAATTCATGAAATTTTTAATTTGATAAATTCATTTGATAATTTGAAACATTACATTATGAACTCGAATTAAGCACAAAAAAAGTAAAAAGAAATAAAAAAATTAAAACAGACATCCAATATGAACTATAAGATAGTGCCACCAGATTTACTGGCAGTATCAATTATATATCAATTTTGCGGATTTGCCCCGACTATCGTTAATATAGCTTCTTTAAAAATTTTTTACCTTATTAGCGAAGGCATATTATTAGCATTTTTTTTTTGTATTTGCGAAATATTAATTTTAGCTGATATTATTAGAAAAATTCACTAAAAGGTTGAAGAAGAAGAAAATTAGGTTATAAAAAATTTTGCCATAAATTTAATTCTTGAGTTTTAATTCTTTCGAAATTTTGATTTAATTATTAATTATTAAATTTATTAATTATTTATTAATTAATTTTTTTCATGATTATGTATACATAGTATTAGTTATGTATATATTTTTTAAATATATTATTGAAGGAATTTTTCAGAGGCAAATTTTAATTTCAGATTGCATGAAGAAATGATCGATTTATACGAGTGGCTAAGACCATCGCCTTTAGAGATAGCACTTCGTTTTCGAGTATTTGAACGAGTACGTTGTATTCTTCAGCAGATCTGGCCATTAGCACGAATCGACTTTTTCGGAAGTTTATATACTGGTTTATTCCTACCGAGCTCTGATATTGATGTTGTGGTTGAGGTGGAAACAAACTGTGAAAATCCTCTTAGTAGAACGGCCGAAGTCTTGAGGTTTTTCGTTCATAATTTTTTTTTAAAAAGTTCTAATCTAATGAATGAAAAGAACCAAAGTAAGATTACAAAATGTTTAGTTTATTTTGGTAGATTTTTTTAATAAATTGCATTTATTAGACATATAAGAAAAAATAATAAGTTTAAAAAAAATCTCTCATTTTGTTTGATAAGAATCATCCTTAGCCTATTGTCCTCTGTTAGAGGCCTTGGAGATCGAGGGTTTTATGCAGTATTTTAGCTGTTCCTAGTGCTCTATGTTGAATAGAGATCTATGTGTTGAATTATTGATGTTATCCCTGGAATCTGGTGAAGCTGCCTAGTTTAGGAGGCATAGTTCCAATTGCTTCAGTTATCACTGGAATTATTTTGGCCTTTACTTTCCACTTTTTCTCTAGTTCCTTTTTCAGTCCTGTAACTTTTTATATTTCTTCTTCCGAATGTTCTAAGCACTTACTGTTACTATATCAATCACTAGTGCTGATTTCTAATTTTTGTCTCTACCACTGTATGTGGTTAATTGACCGATATTTGTTTATCTATCTGAATAGAGAAGTACCGTAGGATTTTCGCCTTATTATTCTCTAGATTTTCTCAAGAATCTCCCATCTAGTCTTGGGCGAATCTAAGCTATATACTGAGCAGATATTCTTATAGATGGTGTGAGCTACATGGTTATTCCTTCCACCGTATGTTGTTCCTGTTTCGATTTTACATGCTTCCCATTACGTGTTGCACTATTTCCGAGACATTTTTACATAATCCGCATCTAAAATCCTGTCTAATATGGTTGATCTCTACTCCAATGGACCTTAGTTCCTTTTGCATTTAATCGCATATATATAAAAATTATATATATATATATTGATATGGCTGAATTTTTTTATAAAGATAAATTTTTTAATGAATTTTTCATATTTTATCAAAAATTTTGCTTATATTCCTTCAAAATATGTGAATATTTTTGGTATTTCTAGAAGCAAAGTTACTCAATTGATATTAATATTGTTTTTTTTTTCATTCCAGTATCAGTTATTACTATAGTGCTTTGAATTTTATGTTCGAGATAATTCTCTATTATATTTTCTATTCAGGTTATCTTGTATAGCGGATTCCATACAAGTCCTTGACAAGGCTTTTGTGCCTATTGTTAAATTGGTTGATAGGGATACAAAAATCTCCTTTGATATATCATTCAATACTCCAAGTGGTGTTATGGCCGCAGGCTTTATTCAACAAATGAAAAGGCGCTATCCATGTCTTGAACCACTTGCTTTAATTTTGAAACAGTTCCTTACTCAAAGGCAGTTAAATCTAGTTGGTGTTTTTGAAATCAATAATTTTTTAAAAGTCATGAAACCATTTTGAATCCATTTCATTAAAGTGGTAACGAAGTGGTAAGTGGTGATTTATAAATAATAAAGAGAAAATTGAATATTGGAATGAGTTTACCGTATAGCTTAGATTTCAACTATATGAATGAGTAGATTTTAATATTTTCAGGTTTTCACTGGCGGTCTCTCTTCATATGGCCTTATATTGATGTTAATTAGCTTTTTTCAGGTGATTAAAATAATTTTTTATCATATGTTGATTAATTTTTATCTGCACATTTAATACGTTTTTTTTTTTAGCTGCATCCATTTTTTGATTATACACAGCGAACGTTGAACGAAGTTAATCTCGGCGAAATTTTTTTAAGCTTTTTGCAATTGTATAGCTTAGATTTCAACTATATGAATACTGCTTTACGTATTCGAGATGGTGGTGCTTATATACCTAAAGAACAAATGCTAGCTCAAATGAATAGACCATCGAATTCGAATCTTTGCATTGAAGATCCACTTCAGCCTGGTATTACTTTTGCTTGTATTTACTATATGCTATTATATAATTATTATTTTTATTTTTTAATTAGCTTATTTAGAACAAAGAGTTTCGAGGTCCTGTTAAATTATGCTCTTTGTGCCTTAATGTATTTGTCTAGTTTCACCAAAAATATATATAGAATATATATAAATATATATAATAAATATATAAATACATGTATATAAATATATATATTTTGAAAAAATATAAAAAATATATTTTGTAGAGAACGATGTTGGTCGTTGTTCGTGGAATATAGTTTCAGTACGTCAAGAATTTGAACAAGCATTCAAGAAACTTTGTGCGGTATTCATGCAACCTCGAGAATACTCATCTGTTTGGCGTTCACATTACAATGGTTCATTACTTTCGCATATTTTGAGTATTCCGCCAAAATACACTCGTTATCGAAATTGGCTTCGTGGTCGTGTTATTCTTGATGGACAATTTTCTTCACCACCATCTTTGTCCAGGTCTTCTTCACCAGATTTATTATCTCCTTTGAATGATGATACTTCGTTGATCTATACTCCTGTCGATTTCTAATTTCATCCAAACTTTTTTTCATCCTTAATCAACGTTTGATTTAAAAAATTTGTTAAATTGTAATTGTTAAATTGATACGGAAAAATTTAGGCTTTTTCCCTTAGCATTAAATGTACTAATCTTCCGTAAAAAATTGTTTCATTTTTCTGTTTTGATTTTCGTAATAAAATTAAGGTCCCTTTTTCTTCTTGAATTGGATAAAAACATTTAGTTTAAAGAAATTAAAAATATTCATTTACATATTTGTGGTGTAAAAACAGGATAATCCTTTCTTTTTTTCCCATTTATTTGATACACGATATTTGTATAATGCGATTTATAGACGGGTGTTTTTGTTTTACGCAACAGTGATTCAGTAGTATTTGCAAAATTTTAAAGAATTTGTTTATGAACATTTTTCTGCTGTTGTAAGTACTTTTTATTGTTTTCTGGCATAATTTTTTCTTGCAAGAATTTTATTTTGTTACTGTCTATTAATATAAATTTTTCATGCAAATTTTTATGTTTTGATTTATGGTATTCCGTGTTTATCAGTTTCGCATAGTTTTTAGTTATTGTTTTAATACATTATTCGCTACTTTTTTGGAACATTCTTTTCCTGCTTTTTTTTTATACACAAATTGTACTATTTGTTGTTATATATTTAATTTCTTAAATGAGTTTATAGTGTTTAGTTTATAGTGATTTTTACGACAGATAAGTTTACATAAGTTTATCGAGAAAAGAAATTGTCATTAATATTGATAAGATTATTGACGCCAAAGAATAATAAGTATTTGATAAGGTTAATTTGCTATAATAATTTATAATAATATTAAATATTTATGTTAAATTAAATTTACATATTAAATTTTTAAATTTATATTTGAATTTTTAATATTGACATTCAATTTTCAATTTTAATTATTATTTATCAAATTTATTTTTTTGTGAGAATAATCACCATTTTTGGTTAGGTTCTCTCCTTCAGCTTGCCGGATCAGGGAATTTACAGGAAAAAACAGGGATAAATTGGTGATAGGAGATAGAAGCAAGTAGGTTACTACCCGGGTTTTTTAAAGGGTAAGCTTAGTTATATTGGACGTAGAGCCCTACTATCGGCTTCTTAAGAATTAGAGCAACAACCCACTGAGCCACTCTACTTTTAACTTCATACTGCATTATAATTGTTAGGGATTTTAAGTTTTTTTTATGGATTTATTTTCATTTTAAGATAATTTTCATATTTAATATTACTATTCATATTGTAAGTAAACATGCAGAGAATTAATCGTCTTTATCATAATTGTCTAACCAAATTGTCTATTTGTTATCTAAGGTTTCATTTGCCTCAGTTTATCATAATTTATGCAAAATAAGAATTTAAGCTTGAAAAATCTATTTTTTTTCGGTAATTTTGAATTCTTTCTGCCGCAATCATAGTTTTCTAGAAAAAATTTAGGAAAATTTAGTTAATTTTTTATTGGTTTTGTAAGATTCCTGTTAGTTAATTCTTTTAATATTTATTTAACATTTATATAATTAGTTTGGAGTTCCATAATTAATTTAATAGAATTCACAAAAAGTTTTATTTTTTAAGACTACACAATATTAAATAATTTTTAAAGAGGTCAAACTGATTGTGGAAAACTGCTGGTCAACAACCGAAAAGATGGAACGATTCGTTGAACAACTCGATAAATCTTAAATTAAAACGTTTTCCAGTGGTTTCGTATAACAAATTTGGTTAATTTTATCAAATATTTTGTTTTTCTTGATTTTTGTTTAATTTTCTGTTTGCTCTTTTATGTTAGAATTGCGGAAAATTATTAATTTAATTTTGTATTTGTGATATTGTTAATTGATGAATATATTTAATTCATTTAATTTTTGGATTTGGTGAGCCATTTAAATTTTACTTATTGAAACAAATTTTTAGTTAAAATCTCAGTCGTTCTTATTTTGGAAGGACGTTTCCAATCACCGCGAAAGGAAATCGGTGACTCCTTGGCAAAAATTTGTTCGGTCAGAAAGCGAGCTAAGCAAATCGAAGCAAAATGGTGCGCGCTCTTCGAAAAAGTTTTGCATAATTAAATTGAAAGGTTTTATATTGATCGCAGATTGGTAGGTGCAAGTTTTTAATGGACAGTGAATAGTAATTTCAGTATTTTTTTCGGTCATAATTCGTTTCACAATTTATCGCACTTTTTAGTTTATGAGTGGTCTATATCTGGAGTGAATGAGTAATTTATGAGTTTTATCAGTCATTAATTTTTATTTCTCATCATTATGTTGGTTTTTGTTGATAATTACTTGAAACATTGGCGAATTTTCAATACCCTCACATTTTTTTCGATTCTTTTATGCAGCTTGCGTTGTTAGAGAATGAATTGATTGAAATTGTGGTACTAGAAAATTTTTTTAAAATTTTTCTAAACCCAGTCATTTAGATTTTTTTAAATATTGCACGAGTCGATTATTTCTTGGCCAATTTTATTTTCGCATTAGTCCATTTTTTTATTTTTTTCAGTCTTTAATGGTTTTTTCTAAAATTCTTAAATAGTGGTTGTTTTTTTTTGCTTAAATAGCTTTTAATTACTGTTTAGATTTGCTTTTTTGATTTGTATTTGATATTCAACATTTTTCTTTTAGATTTATAATTTATTGAAGCAAATTTCAAATGCATTTTTGATGGCTTTCAATGAGTAAGAAAACGAGTTCGTATACGAGTAAATGGTTCAGCGTAAGTGCATATAACATTACATCTACGATTGAACAGTAAATCAATTTTTAAGTTCTTTTCTTTGCACTATATTTTTACTTCATTTTTCGCTTATAAAGTGAAATTATTTCAAAATTTTTTCAACATGATTCTTTTTTAAATTTCTTTAATTCATTTTATATAATTCATATTTTTTAAAATTACATTTTCGATCTTTCAACTGGTATGGAAGAATTTTTTGAAAAAAAATTGGGTTGGTGTCAGTTTTGATGAAATTTTCATGATTATTTCAAATTATTTCAAATTTCATTTTTATTATTTCAAATTTCATTTCACACCTTTGACCAGCAACCATCGATTAATGCAAGTTTCTTTTCTGCCTTTCGTTGGAATGATCTTAGCATCCATGTTTGTTGTTTATGTATAATTGATATTTCTTTTTTTTTTACAGTTTTCCTCTTACTGGTTAAACTCGCTCCACTGACTTGTAGCATTGGGCAATATGCCAGAGATCCTCTTGGCGATAGAAATACATATGAGTCGGTAGCATCATCCGTATTTTTGTACAGGTTTATTCCTGCGGGGGTTTTTTTCCGATTTTTTCGATTTGCTTTAATTTTCTCTTGATCTGTCATCCCTATCATTATTGTTGCTGGAGTCAATCGCATTGATTTTCAGCCATCGGATAAATTGGTATTTTTAAATAACCTTTATTTTATAAATTATTCCGAATTTCTTTATTTTATTGCATTTTTTTAGATTCTTATAATTATAAGTTATATAATAATGAACTTTAAATTTTATGAATTTTAATTTTTTAAAGGTAGTAATTTTCAAAATTCAACAGTTTAATATTTTGCTTTTAATAAATATTTCATGGGTATTTTGAAATTTTGATTCCAATGAGATGGCGATCTACGGTACCCATTGTTTTTATTTTCTTATTTCATCATACATTTTTATATCGATATTAAAGTTTTTTTAAAAAATTTTGTTTGAAGTGAATGTTTTGCTCGTGAATGCGTTTATGTTTGGAAAATTTATTTTATTCTTTTTTATTATAATTCAAATTTCGAAACATGAATGATTTATCTATTTCGATTCTGAATGATTTATATGTATTTTCGACAATAGAAGAAAGCATAGTTTTTTTTTAAAAATGCGAATCAGTTTTTAGAGAAATTTGTTATATTTATATTATTGTAGCGACTACTGGTAGTAGTATAGTTCAGTGTAAAATCGCACTTATCGCCAAAATCGCTAAAATATCATTTTTTAAGACGTTAAAATACTTAACCGAATTTTAGTTTCAGGTAATAAGAAAATTCTATCCCTTGGTACAAATATTATTTCCGCCATTTCTCTAATTTTTCATACAATATGGTTAATTTTATGATTATTTCAAATTCCGAATAATAATTTACATCATAGATATTTCTCTGCAAAATTTACCAAATTGATTTGTTGTATAGTGTAGTCGAAAAAAGACGAACTGGAATGGCAACGAGTAGAATATTCTTCACATTGTTATTCAAAAAATCAATGGAACAGTTAATATTATGTTGATATTAATATTTATATTAATGTTATATTTCATTGACTTTTTTATTTATGTGTTTTATTCTTTATGTTATATTAATTTTTTTTTCAGATGGAGCCTTCAAATACAGAAGTGACAATGCCAATCGAATCATCTTCAACAATGCCAGTGCCTATATCAAATTCATTTCAAACCGAAATTAAAGTTGAAGTAAGATGTAGTTTTTGTTCCCTTAATATCAAGAATGTTCATATTAAAATGAAGACTTGTTAACCATAGTTCATGTCACAGTTCATGTCAAAAAATGTAATAATAAAATAAATACTTTAAATGACTATTAAAATAAAATCGAAACTAATTAATATTATTAAATTGTATAAGAAATAAAAAATATTAGAAATCGGAAAAGAAATTTGCATGTTTCAGCATGTGAAACATACATGGACGGTAAAGAATTTTTCATATTGTTATCAAGAATATTTGGAAAATTTTATACATTTACATCGTGGAGAGGATACGTTGACATGGTCTATTAAAATATATCCAAAAGGTAACGGTGAAAATAACAAGGATTTTGTATTTCTTTGCCTCAATAGAGTTGTAAATAGCGCAAATGCATCATGTAAAAGTGGAAAAATCGGATTTACATCACGGTTTGTTTCTATATTTTTTAATTTAAATAATAATAAGTAATATGATAATACTTTATGATATTTAATAAATATGCGTTTTTAGGAATTTCAAATATGATTATCTTCGTATATTCCTGTAAATCTTCAGAAAATAATGAAGTTAGGGACTCAACCTGCAGAACTTCGTCTTTTGGACCTCATTTGTCCCAAAACTTTACTTTTTTTCATAATTTATTGACATCATCTTAGGCCATCTTCCACCATTTTATCTCAGATTCAGTTATGGCTTCTTAACTTCGTCCACTCTTATTATTATTTTATATCATGTCAAATCTTTTTAGTTTATTTGCATTTATAAAATCGCAAAAGACATTAATCGGATCATTGTGGTAGAAAGAAAAGCGTAAGACATCGATGAAAATCGATGAGTTTTAAGGTGTGGTAGGGACCAGATTTGAAAACGATTCTACCTGTCCACAGGATGTGTAAAAAGTTTGTGAAGATTTCTTGTATTTGGATGACATGGTCCCTCGAGTTATACTGTCAATTTTCATTCTTTGATTGTTACGTTGAATAAGTTGGTTGCTGCCACAGCATTTTGATTGCCACTCCGACCACTCCGACTTTTACCTTCGTAACAAATCTTTACCACTGATTAAGGGAAATTAAAGAAAACTTTAATTGTCGAATCCGAATTAGTGAAATGGTGAGTAATGAAAGAAAAATTGAAGAAATCTCTATTGATGATTGTTTAATAATAACAAAATTTGAATTTTTTTTCTATATTTTTTGTGTATTATTTATTATTATATATACCATATCATAATTTTAATAATTAAGCTTCATTTTACGGACAAGTGAAATGAAAGAAATTGAAATGCGCATTCATCCGAATCCATCACATTCAGATTATGTCTCTTATATTAAGCGAGATGTGCTTTTTCCACAGATTCATCCAAGTGATTCAATAATCGTTAATGTTGAAATTGATGTCGCAGTGGAAACGATTACAACAATCGTGGAAGATCTTCTAACTGTAGTATGGATCTTTGAATCGTTTAACTGCAGCATTTTTATTTCTACGAGAGTTTTTTGTTTTTTTCATAAATTTTGGTTTTGAGGCGAATTGTGAACAGCAATTAATGGATGATTATTTGAAAATGTTAAAAGAAAGTGTATTAACCGATTTCTTAATAAAAATTGGAGACCATGAAATACGAACGCATCGAGCTATTCTTGCTGCTCGTTCTCCTGTTTTCTTTGCTATGCTTAAACATGAAGACACAAATGAAGTAAAGACGGTTAGATTTTGTAAATATAATTTAAAATTTTTATTTAATTTAATTCAGCTGAAGCTGTATGTATGCATTAATTACAGTTATATTTTTTTTTTTTTTTGTATTTTAATTGTATTAATATCAGTTATACGTTTTTGAAAAATTGAAGCATCTAAACATTACCATGTTTCGCAAACATTGTGGTGATCTAGAAATATTTAGTTGCTCAATTACTTAGGCCGTATCTTGAAAATCATGAAAGGGAAAAAGTGTGGTTTCTTGAAAACACCATGTGATTTATCTTGCTTTACAGACTGTAATATAACTACAGAAATGTAATTGTTGTAGGGAATGGTGGTTATTGAGGATATTGAATACGAGACATTCTTGGAATTGCTTAATTTTATTTATTGTGGTCGATGCTCAAAAGACGTTACTGAATTTTCATTCGCTTCCGATTTATTAATTGCAGCTGATAAATATCGGCTTGATGAACTAAAAAATTATTGTGAAAAAGCTTTAATTCAGGTTTTTAATTTTATTTTGCTATATTTATTATTTTATAATTTTATTTTAAGAATTACACTATTTACGAAAAATTAAATTTATTTTTAAATTTAATTTAATTTTTTATTTTTAAATTTTAAATTTAATAAAGGTAATGTGAACGAAAAGATAGAATATTAAATGGTCATATGGAATATAAGTTTTTTGTTTTTTTGAAAGTCTTTGACATTTTTCAGATTATGAATTACGAGTTTTTTGGATTTTTAGGCCATAACGTTTGACAATGTGTGTGACTTACTTATCATATCCGACATTTATAATGCACCGCGATTAAGGAAACGCACCCTTAGTTATATTATTCAGCATCCAAAAGAAATTACATCTACTTCCAGTTGGGCAGCACTTATCAAAGATCATCATGCACTTGTCACTGATATTGTTCGACATTTTGATAAATCAGGTTTTGCATAATGGTCAGCATTTTCATCCTCATTGCTTAATTGCTTAATTCAGAAATATGAAGAAATTCTCTTTTAATATTAATAAATTTTAGATGTATATACGAATAAACATACGAATTTTTGGATGTACATAAATATAATTTACACATGTAATAAGAACAAATTTAGATTTTAATATTTTGTAATATTTGTAATGTTCATTTAATTTTTTTTGGGTTTTCAGGTTTATAAAGAGGTTTATAAGTCAGGTTTAAAATTCTTCCATGTTTTCTACGATGCAAAAATTCTACTTTAAAGATGATTTCACTTGTAAATTTTATTCATTTATCGCCAAACTTACTATTACGGGCATTCGTTCTTATTGCTGTATTTGAGGACGCTTATTTGATGTGATTCTCTTATTTTTTATTTCGATTTTAATTTTATTAAGTTATCAATTTTTGTTTCAATGGTAAATATTTTCAGGCTCATTGTTTCCTTACCATTTCCTTTAAATTTTGTCTTCCTTTTATTTATTTCTGTAATTTCATCGCATTTCTCTGAATATTTTGGTGTTTTGAAGTATTATAGTTGAATATTTTGTTTTTGAATAGTATCTGTATGGATCCTTTTCTTTTTGCTGAATTATTGTGTGAACAACATGCAATTAACGATGAGTTAGTAAAATAATCTGTATTTTATTGTTTCTGTAAAAAGTTTATTGTTGTTGGGTGATGTTTTCTGGAAGATCTTTGTTCTTGGTTCCGTCTTTCAAATTTCATGGGATCATGGAATAAATTTTCATTTTCTATTTAGAGAAAATGGTCCAATTCTTTTTTTGTTTCTGCATTATTTAACCATTTTTTCATTAATCATGTTAGAATTTTATATGAGTTATTTTTGTTGTTTTTTTCAAAATATTTCCTTTTATCTATCATTCATTTGTTAATTTCCTGCCAGCTATCGACCGCATTCTATATATATATATATATATATTTGCGTGATCGAATTGATAAGAATAAGAATAATGAACTTTTATTATTGTAGTGCGTCAAATTTCCTCATAGTAGTCAATGGGTTTTCAAAGGAATACAGAATGTTATGAAAAGGTCATAATAGAGAACACCTCTAAAACGTTGAACTTCATGATCTTTTAAAATAAAATAAATTTTAAAATAGATAAAATAAAGTAAAATAAGTGGAATAAATTTTCCAAATCCCACTGATCTTTTAATTCTATTAATTATTATCTAAAATGAAGCTTTAATTTATTATAAATTAAGAGATATCTTTTCTACCACAGGATTTTACGTGGATATGACGACGATTACGATAGATTTTAATATTAGTTTGGATTCTAACGACACGAATAGGTTGGAGTTATCAAAGTATTTGCAGAAATTATTTGAAAAACTAGAATTATTTTATTTGTACCATTCATTAACTGATGGAATTGAATAAAAAACTAATAGTTTGACTCGGAAATTTCTTAAAACCCATTTTTGGAACACAAGGATTAGAATTTCTAATTATTTTGTGAATGGTTGGAAAAAATGATTTAGTGCATAATCCTTCCACATTACACATTGTATATCGTAAATTTAAAGTCATATAGTTTTTCATCAACAAATGGTCTTCTGTTGTGCTCGGTTCAATGTTAAGGTAAATGCATCAAATATTGGACTCAATTTTTAGTCGATTATCGATATCTTTTTCTAACAGTTCTCGCCATGACTTCACGGGCTAGAAGGATAAGACGTTTCCAAGATGCACGATCAGATCAACAGCAATAGAAGCCATTCCTTTTCCCCTCGTCTAAGTCCATATATTGCTGGTTCCTATATGTCCTTTCCTGACCGTGTCAGTCCAGATCTTGATTGGTCCACCTCGCTTTTGATGCCTCCCATTACAACTTTAGCAAGTAACGAAATATGTCTCAACTCTTGTGATGGGCGACAAGGAATATGCCATAACTAGCGAAAGCGACGCTCTGTGATGGGAGGTAACGAAATAATAGGAGTGTTAATACAAGTGGTAAGCGAAGGTGGATGCGATCATATGAGACTTTATCCGTTTGGCAGATCGGCATTTTAGATATGAGTGGTCAAAGGCAGATAACTTCTTAACTCCTCCATTCTCATCGGCCATGTCTCGCAGCCAGATTGAACGAATCGCGGCTATACAGATGCTATATGTATATATATGACTTTCGTTTTTAAGGTGATTTCGTTTCGTCAACTGGAAGAACTCATTTCTAGCTGCCGTTATCCGATTATAATTTCGTCTTTTGCCTGACCATTAAAACTTTCGTTTTATTTACATTGACCCTGGGTCCGATTCTCGATGTTGATGTGTTGTTTAGCATTATTTGCATTTTTTCATAACTGGAAAAAGAAATATATCATCAAGAAATATATTCAAGATCCGATACGATGTGATACGATATGTGGTACGACGCTTCGGAAAAATCTGTAAACCTCTTGAATGCCCACAAGCGATGTTCATTATCCAGTCTATCGCACAATTGAATATTATAGAGGAAAGGAATGAGCCTTGACGGACACCAGTTTTTATTTCGAAGGAGTCTGTCAGTTCTACATGTAAACAGACATGCGCCAACGTACTCTGATAAAATGCCTTTATAAGTCGAATATTCTTCCCTGGAACACCATCGCGTTCGATTACCCTCCAAAGCGCTATTCTATCAACTGAATCGAAGTCAGCAGCAAAATCGAAACAATAACGATGGGTTGCAGATATTTGAAAAAGGATGTTTGAAACATCCTTCTTAACGTAAATATCTGGTCAGCAACTGCGCCCCGTTCTGAATCCAGCTTGATTAGGGTGCATCCTGCTGTCTCATGCTTTCATAAGTCTGTTGAATAAAAAAGAAGCAAAAATTTTCGATGAGATGTCTAGTAGGCTGATTCCTCGATAATTGTCGCAGTATGTCCTATCATCTTTCTTGACAATTGGGAGAATTGCCTTGCTCCATTCATCTGGTATTTCTTTTTTCCATATTAGAGAGTACATTTGCCAAAGGTTATAAAGGACGATGGACAACATTTGAAGAATTTAGCCCGGGTAACATCCTTTCCCGGAGTCTTATTGGCCTAAAGCTTATGGATAACGTAGATTATTCCCTCTTCTGCTGGCAGTTCACAATTGCAAACGTATGATTCGAGGAGTCGTTAAGGTTAAATTTAACTTCAAAAAACTTCTTCCATCTTATTAAACGATCCTTACTCTTAATAGGAACGCCATTGCTATTTCCTGCCATTTGATTGATCGTGACTCGAGTTATTTGCTTTATGAAGAAGGCGGAATAGTTTTCTATTATCGTCTAATCAAGCCGCCTCTCCATTCTGAAGGCCATCTCGCTCCAACAGTAATTTCTTTCTCGCTGTGCTACGGTCGTTGTAATTCTTCGAAGCATCTGATAGTTAGTCTCCTGACATTCGTGCTTTGGTAACATTTTCAGGCAATTGGAAAGTACTTCCGACACCCAACTAGCGCACTTCCTACTAGTACGCTTTAGCGTGGAAGTGGCTGACTTTCGGAGACATTCCTTTGGTTCGGACCAGTATTCATTTGCCGTTCCAGAAAAATCATTGATATTGACATCATTGATATCATTGATATTTATACCAATGAGATTCCTCAATAATTCGGTTTGAAAGGCGTCCTCAATTTTTTAGTTTGAGATAGTTGAAGGACCTTGGGAGATGCTATTTCTTGCAAGTTGTCAATTTAATGCAGATCTCAGCTCGGACCATAATATGGTCAAATCCATGAAGATAGTACGTTTCGCCTCGATAGGAATTCGGCTATCTAGTACGGAATTCTTACAACATTGATCAACTAAGCTATCTGGTTGAAATGTTAGTTTTCTAGAGAGTTCCATGTGATTAGATGTTTTCTACGATGCTGGAAGCAAGTATTAATAACAAAAGGTTCATACTTTTCAGCATAACGAAGGCGTTCCTCATTGGCGCATCGGTCTCCGATGCCATATTTGCCAATTGTCGAGGTCATCGCATCGGCATTAAAAAAAATTTATCTTAAAAAATCTTCAGAAAACAATTTAACGAATTTTATTCGTAAAATAATTACCGTAAGAATATATATATATATATATTTATTTATTTATAAAATAAATAACGCCAACAAGAATGTAAAAAATGGATCATTTCTTTGAACAAAAATTACGAAAATTCTTAAGTTTAAAATCCAACTCAACACAATTTTCGAAAAAATACAAAATGCAATCAACCAAAAATCTTTTGTCCCACCACCAATAAAAAAATATAACAAATGCCGTCGACCAAAAATTAACGTAAAATTTCAAATTGGCTTCAGTAATAATATCAGCAGAGATACAAAAACAATAAACATGTTTTGATAGAAGTTAATCATGTTCCGATTCAGAAGCTTCAGTATATTCTTCCGATGTTTGTTCAGCTTTTTCTTCTTCAGAATCTTCGTATTTGATTAACGGCACTTCTCGCGCTTTTTGTACTTCTAACTAAAACGATGTAAATTTACTCATTCTAAAAAATTTTTCAATCCCTCATTTGCAACTGAAATTTGGGAATAGCTAAAATAAAAATAAAATTTGGGAATACCTAAATTTCTGAAATAAATCAGAAGCCCTATTAAGAATTCTCTAAAAGCACGCAGAAACTGATTTGCAAGTCAAAAGTCAAATAGGTCCTAAAGGACAGAAAAATTTAACCTTCAAATCAACAGAATAGTCGCAATCCACATAAGAATCGGATTTCACCAATAGAGTATAAAAATATATTCCTTTCTGCTGTGGTGCACCAAATTTTATTTCAATCTGAAAATAAAATAATGGTGATTTATCCAAATTACGTGTAATATTAAAATAATGAACCCTTTTAAATAAAATAAAATGATGGCGACTTATACAAATTAGGTGTAATATAATATTAAAATGAATTATTTCAAATAAAATACCAATCAAAATATCAAAAACAATCGTTTCTAAACAAAATTGAAACAAACCGATTGTTCATCAACGAGTGTTGTACAATGTACTGCTGGAACTACCAGTTTGCGAACCTTTTTATCAATCAAAAAGAGCCACCACCATTCGAATTTTTCACTTGGATAAAATGGGCAATGCACCGGATGAGTTTTTTTACTTTTGCTTTCCAAAATTGATTCCTTTTTGACAAAATTTTCGTTAGCCCAATCGTCTCCATCGGAATCATTCGAATCTCTATCACTGGCTATACTTTTTCTATCGAAACTAAAAAAAAAGAAAAATAATGAGTAACCATAAACAACTTTTGAAATGTTTTAAAATGTTAATATCAAAGATGAAAATAAATATAAATATATTTGGCAAAAAAATATGAAGGAATGAATACTCTCGATCATCGTCTTCTGTATCTGTTGCATCCTCTTTATTAGATTCGTCAATTTCTTCATCATCTTTCTTAATTTTCCTTAATTCTTCTTCTTTTTTTGATTCATTTTCATCATTCTTTTGAATAAACTTCTTGAATTTAGCTTTTTGAGATGGACGATTTTTTGAAACTTTCGCTTTCGTAGGCTTTTTCTTCGGTTTTTCCCAGACTTTCCTCTTAGGTATATTCTCTTTTTCCTCATTATTTTCTTCCTCATCATCTAATTCTGGAAAATCTGGAAGCTAAAATAAAATGGAGTTATTAATAAAAAATTATTTAAAATAATTTAAAATAAAAATTATAAGAAAATATACACTTTTAAAGAAAAAATTTTAAAATTTAAGCATAATTTGATTTTATTACCTCTTGAATTTCTTCTAATCGTCTGTTTGGATCAAGAAGATGCGTTCGTTTTAACTTAACCTTAAGTGTAACGAAAGAGCCGACGGTTACCTCATGAGCATCATCTTCTCCTTGCACTGGAAAATATTTTATAAAATTATCTTGTTCTATATTTTTAATTACCGATTTTTTTTTTAAATCGATAAAGCATATGGAAAACAATTAAGTTTATAAAATCAGAATTATTAACAATACAAATAACCTTCAAAATGAGGTTCGATGGTCAATTTTGGCATCGATTGCAAAACGAAAATTACATCCCTGTATTCCGCATCAGTTAATGACTGTAAAATAAGTCTACGTTTTGATTCGCTGAGATTAGCCAAATCAGCGCACGTTTTCAATCGATTCTAGATTAAACTATTTTTGTAAAATATTACAGAAATTTCATTTAATTTTATATGAAATCAGTATTCCTATATAAACGAATAAATATATAAATAATTCATGAGCAAAAAGATCCTTTCTTTAGTTTTTGTAACAAAGTAAGTGTGATATATAAGTAACTCTATTAATCGAGATTTTTCTTCTTCTTCTAACAGCTCTCACCATTACTGGTTAGGCTGGCTCCAACGGCTACAAGGGTAAGACGCTTCCAAGCGGCGCGGTCTGATGCCATCGTCGACAGTAATGGAAGCCATTCCTTTTTCCATCGTCTAAGTCCATATATTGCTGGTCCATCTATAGTTCAAAATCTTTTCTTACCGTATCAATCCAGGTCTTGATTGACCTCGCTTTTGACGCCAACCATCACATGATTTAGCAAATAACGAAATATGCATCAACTCCAGTGGTGGACGACGGAGAATGTGCCCTAACCAGCGAAGGCGGCGCTCTGTGATAATATTATTTATGTAAGTGGTATTTGAACGAAGATGGATGCGATCTTGTGATATTTAATCCGCTCGACGGATCCGTAATATGTACCTTAGAGTGCTCAAAGGCAGATAACTTCTTAATATCCTCCACTCTCATTGGCCATGTCTCAGAACCATATAATAAGATCGAACGGACCACGCCATTATAGATGCGGACTTCTGTTTTTATGGTGATTTCACGACGATTCCATAAAGGTTTCGTCAACCGGAAGAACGCATTTCTAGCTTCCGTGATCCGAGTTGTAATATCACCTTTTGCCTGTCCATTTGGTATTAGAGTGGACCCAAGGTATTTGAAATCGAAATTTATAATATATTATTAATCGAGATTTATAATTTATAATTCTAAAAAAGATTATAAATTATAAAATGGAAACAATATAAATAATTTAGAAATTGCCTTTCTTAAATGGTGCAAATTTTGTTCAGCAATGTGAGGAAGTTGTAGAAAAGAACTGTTTTTTGGCCACAATGCCTGTACAATCATCGGCAACAACTTCATTAAGTTTTCAATCGTATCCAAAGATGGACAACGCGTTGGATTCCCATAGAAATATAGATGTTGACTGATTGAAAGCATTTCATTGATTAACATTATACATTTTGAGATTATATAATTGCTATCTGAAGAAAATGAAACAGCAGTTAAAATGATGGAATAAAACATTTAATATCCAAAGCTTTATAGATTTTTTGATTAATTAAAAAATTAATTTGCGAGAGTTATAACTAACAGAAATCATCTCTTTTAGCGAAAAATTTCTGAAACCTAACAGAGGGCTTTGCAAGGAAGAGAAAAAAGAAACACATACCAGCTTTCATAGCCTGCGAAGGCAAATCAAAACGTGATAAATGCGCATGAATAAATAATCGAGCTTTTATTGAATATGGCTTCGATAATGGCTGCTCTTTTTTGTTTTCACCCAAATTTTTGAAATGTTTTATCAAAGGAGGCAATTCTATATCATCACTCTCTCGTTCAATTATATCTTTATTGTAAGTTTTCCAAAATTCAAACGATCCACCAAGAACCATCAATATTCCTAAAAACCTATAATAGAAGAAGCAAAAAATTTTTTACGGCAATTTTACTTCTGATTATTTTTCTCTCTTAGTAAAACTTTTACTTGGTTGTTGAAAAACATACGATTTATTTCCATTTTCGGAGTTTTGTAAAAAAAATAATAATACATTTGAGTGGTGTCCATTAAAACCTGATCAACACTATATTTAATTGAATTATACCACCAAAGGCCCTAAAATATTCCAGCTTATAACCCCGAAAAGCAAAGAAAAAAGTTTTAAAAAAAGATACGAAAAGAATTTTAAGAGAAAAACATACTACAGCCGATGGCAGAAGAATCATTAAAACAAATCCATAGAACGCTAATACCCATACTCCATATTCTTTGCTAACGATCCATTTGGGTAAAGCAATACCGAACGTAGTTGCTAGGATTTTTAAGAATAAACTCATAATTATGTTTATGAAGAGAAACAAATAATAAAAAATAAAAATGGAAAATACCATGATGGAATTCATTGTTTATTAAAATAAACAAAAGCTCCAATAAACAACCTCTTACCAGTTGGACCGTCGGGATTTCCATATTTCTCCCAATTTTCACGACTTTCTTCATCAGTCAAAGCTTGGTAAGCTTTCGCAACACGATCAAACTGAACCGGATCTCCACCTTTATCAGGATGTAAAGTTTTACTTAACTCACGATACCTTTTCTTGACAATTGAAATTTCTGCACCCTGTAACGAATAACAGAATCAAATATCCGGCTGCCAATAATGTTTTGAAAACTGATGTAATTTACTTAAATAAAAATAAAAAGTAAAGTGAAAAATAATCACCTGATCAATACCAAGTATAGCATAAGGATCATATTCAGCATAATCTTGCTCAATTTGTGATACTTTATATACAATATAAAAAAAAACTATCCAAGCAATAACTAGAAGTATAAAAGATGCTGCCTTCTTTGTTCGACGCCATGGTCTTGTTGATTCTACTATTTGAAATTTTTCAACACAACCATCACATCCACAACGCTCTTTACTTTCTGATCCGACTAAAAATTTGCAAAATCAATTATATGCTGCGCAATATAATATTATTGTTACAATTGATCAGTTTCGTTCGCCTTCGAAATGAGATGTAAACTAAATGCCTACATTGAATCCTTTTCATAATGCAAAGTGATAAGCGCCATTTGCTTGAAATTTTCGAATAAAATTTTCTAGTTGCTATCAGGTCAGGTTTAACAGCATACCTGATGATAAAAACACTTATTTGTCAATTATTTGCTCAGCACTGACATTTAGCTGTTAAAAAGTTGGATTATTAAGACATACAGATAAAATTATGAAGCAAATAAATTTAAACAAAACATTGAATAAGAACACTATAAGGTGTGGAGAATGAATGGAAAAATGTTGAAGTAAAAAAGAAAAAAAAGGAAAAAACTGGTTGAATAAACTTTAAAAGTAACTCGTCATAGGAAAGTACAATTATAATTCATACAATTCATATTCGTATATGCCTGAATAGTGAAAAAATTTATAGAAAAAAGAAAAGTATATAATAATAAAACGATAAAAAATATTAAAATTCAAAAAAATAACCTTTTTTAGAAGATGGCCAGAAAAAATACGTTAAAGGTAATAAAATAAGAGCATAAAATGAGACGATAACATAATAAAATGTATTACCCACTTCATCATATTCAAACTGTGCCCTACTCATATCTGAAAAATTATTTAAATTAAATTATCCTTCTTTTCTGCTTTGACTGGGTAAACCACTAAGCAATAAGGAATCAGAAAAGAAATCAACAGAAGACTAATCGGATAAATAAATTCACCTTTCGCTTTTGATCAGTTAACTTATAAACACCTCTAATATTTATTCGAATAAGCGGATAAAAAAAATTCGCGCTATAGAAAAAAAACAAAGCGTAAACGTAATAAAGAAAATTATTAAGCTTTCGGGTATAAAATTATACACTATAATAAATGAAAGGCGTTGTACAATACAAAGAGTGTGATAAAATCATTTAAAATTCATCCCTCCACGTTTTTATATGACTAATTTTTTGTTACTAATTATCTTTACGTATGCAATTTTAAATTTAAGTAGCATTAATTTATCATCATTTATTGAATAGTGATACAGAAAGGTCGAGTGAAATATTCATTTGACCGGGATCAAATCACCATTTGAACTCAGTGGGCTGTTGGCAACTCTGGAGGTTTTAAGGTCGGAAGGAGTGAAATCTATATTTCAAAAATTCGGTGGTGACCGCGATTCATCTGAATTTCTATCGACAAGTGATTCCCTCGCAAAATTTCTCTGATTCCACAAGTCAACAGAACGAACTTAGCGAAAGCGCCTTTAGAAAAAACTGAAAAACTGTACAAACTAATGATATTTTTGTTCCGAATTATTTTGTTATAATTATTATTGATTAATTATTATATACATATTAAATAAACACCAATGAAAAACCATAAGATTATCATTTAAAAATTATTCCATTTCATAACATTATTCCACTTAATTATTAAAATTTTATCAACAATTTTTAATTTTTCCAATCATATTAATCTTAATATTGATATTAGTATTTTAAACTTTTTCGTGGCAATTTTAGATTTAAGTAGCATTAATTTATCATCATTTATTGAATAGCGATATAGAAAGGTCGAGTGGAATATTCGTCTGACCGGGATCAAATCACCGTCTGAATCCTGGCAGAAACAACCCTGCGATTAAAGGCGAAATACCAGTGGTCCTGGAAATCCAAGCAGCTCAACTGACAAAGAGCTTCCATAGTTAAACACGTCGCATTAGAAATGGCTTTTTAGAAGAAAGTTGATTTAAAAGTGATTACTGGAAATTTATTAACATTTAATGTTAATAATAATACTTATCAATTATTAATTGGCATAAAAATTTGTTATTAACACTAAACATTAATAAATTTCTGATAATAATATAAACAATTTCACTTATTTAAATAAATCTACACATTTTTCTATACAACTCTTCCACTCTGAAAAACTATTTAAGAAAAAAGCCCAACAACAGCCCACTCAAACCAAACTTAGAATTTCACTAGACATATATTATCGTAAGCAAACAATCGTTTACGAATATTATCTGAAAACTTGCAGCTAAATATTAAGACATTTTCAGATGATAGTATATGAAATATGGTGAAAGGTGTAAAATCAAGCGAGTGAGTGCAAGAATGGTAACAAAATAAATTGTGGAGGAGAAAACATTATGGCGTCCTATAGACTTCGTGGCCTTTCGACCCTTATTTTAAAAAATATTAATATTTTCGTAGCCCACGAAATAAGATTTATAAAACAGCGCTTACTTATTAAACAAAGCATATAGGTGCTTGGCTTTATAAAAATAATGGGAGAATGGTTACTGCTAAACTCGATTAAATGTTAAGAAAAGCATAAAACATCGATTTAATGCCGAGGAAACCCTTAATTCGACTTCGGTCTTTTAATAACGCTGCAATTAATATTTTAACTTCCTCTTAAAACTATTCAGGGACGGCGCAGCGAGCGGGTCATAGGGTGACATATTCGAGTAGCGTGAATGGCCCGTTCGGTAACTTAGGCTTTGCTAGTTTCGGCCCATTAGTCGATTTAATTTATTTCATGCTAAATTCATGATGAGGTAGTATACTTGGTGCGATATCAGATCCTCCTCAGTTCTTCGCTGTTGATGAAGTTTTTCCTTATTGTTTATGGTGTTGCTAGGGTTGTATTTCTATAATTCTCAAAGGAGAATACGTTGTACTTCGAAGAGTAAATAAAAACTTCGTTAATACATTTTTATAAGGTTTCCCTCTGTCTTTAGACGATGATAAAATTCAGCGATGAGAAAATTTTGCTTTGCCGCAGGCGAAACAGAGAGTCGAATAGTCGGTTCGAGTCGCAAGGCTGAATAAATCTGCTGAATTAAGGGCTAATGAAGGTTATTCTTATCTATTCACATTTATTTTTTCCTTTTTTTTAAGAGTCCTCACCATTACTGGTTAAACTCGCTGCACTGGCTTGTCGCATTGGGCAATATGCCAGGAAGCTCCTTGGCGATAGAAGTACAGGTAAGTCGCGATCATTGGTTTTCTAGGACTTTTTTGTTATTGTCACCAAAATGAAGATTTTCGTCCGCAACCACACAACAAAGTTAGAATGTTGTAAGAATATTATTTATTATTATTGCTATTATTATTTATTATTATTAATTATTATTAATAAAAAGCTTTGGAAGGTGGACTTTCTTGAATTTATGTGCAGAATTTATGACACCGCATTTTTGGACTGCAACAGTAATTTTTCTTTCTTTCTTAAAACAATTAACAATTTAGCAATTTCGTTAAGAACATCTTGCAGTGGGAACAAAACCGATCTATCACAACAGAAGATCGAGAACAGAGGGAAATAGTGGAGTCTAATACAACTTCAGAAACACTATTTATGAAGACTGCAAACAACAAAGGACCAGTGTCACTGCTTAAGGCATTGCTAACTTGACCGTTTCCACAGCTTCGAACCTGTCGTCGAGAGATCTGATATTCACTTACCACTTTCCACCATGCCGAGTTCCGAAATTCTTCATAATTTTTTCTTTCTTTCGAGATTTTGAGATTTTCTTTTGACAGGACAACTGTTGTAAAAGATTAGCCAGTAGTTGTGAGCTTTTGTGAGTGTGGACTTTTTTGCATAAAAGCAATATTGATAAATGAATATCATATTTTTCGAAAATTATTTTCTTTAAAAACACCTACTATTACTGGTTAGACTCGTTTGTCGCACTAGATAAATTGCCAGATATTGCCTGCTATATCCCTTGGCGATAGAACTATAGTCGCCAGCATCACCTGGGTTTTTGGGCAGGTTTACTCCAGCGAGGAGTATAATTGGAGGAGTTATCCCCTTTCTAAAATATAGAAGTTATATAACTTGCAAATTCTTCAATGAATGCCAGTTTTTTTGCTATTTCATCCAGTTTAGCAACATTTCCCGTAAAGGATCTCAGGAAAAAAAATATACTTCCAGTTTGTCGTTTTTACGAGCATTTTTATCAGATTATATTACAAAATTATGCCGGAGCTCTCTTAATCCTGGTTGAAATTCCCTTCGGTCAGATTTTTTTTTCGTACTCTACCCATGCGCGTTTTGGATTTATTAAAAGCAATGTAAAATGAAAATTCTTCTATTGGTAAGGAAAAAAAAAGTTATCATTAATGTCTCAAAAACGGATCCATTAATATTCCATTATTTGGCTAAGTTTTTACAGTAAACTTCTACGTGGATAATACGTCTTCTACGTGTTGAACAGAATCGGAAAAATCCGGGTTCAGAGAGGAACGAAGTAAACTGGTGGAAAAAATGCATTCAATGCTTGGTTTCGATCGGAGTTGTCGTTTATTTCAGAAGTTACTGCTTACTGCTTACATTTTCTGCTCTAACTTTTTTCCTTTTCTTCTAACAGCATTACTGGTTCTGCTGCCTACAAGGATAAGGCGTTCATGACAAACCTAATAGATGTCACTTTTTTCCATCGCCCATATACTGCTGAGCCATCTATACCTCCTTTCTGCTTGAAATCTGCTTCGACCATATAAATGCAGGTTTTGATTGGTCCTCCTCGCTTTTACACAATAGCGCTCAGATAAAAAATAGCGAGATAAGCCTTAATTGCGATTGGCAACAAATAATAGTCTAACCACCGTAGGCGAAGGTCTCTGATATCAATCATGCAGTTAATTTTTAGGTAAAGGTGAAGGCAGTCGTGTGGAGATATTATCAGCTTCTGATGATAATTTCGTGGCGATCCCTTAAAGATTCCGACATATAAAAGAACTTTTCTCAGTTCCTCAAATGCGACGAATTGATGAAGAAAGATATTTTATCAGCATATGATATAAAGGTCTTTCGTCTTGGAAGGGTTAAAAATGACTTTATATCGCAGGGAATTTGTTTGTAACGTGAGTATCGAAAGATCAGCAGTATGATTTTATAGCATCAAATTATAATAATCCTCAGCTAATTAGTAACCATGCAACCAGTTAATCAACCTGTTAACCTGAGCATTCGCCTGACGCAGTCACTACAAATATTCCACTGCAATCCTTGGCTGAGCAAAAAAACTGAGCATTTTATTTTGTAGGCTGGATGAGTGCTGGGAATCATTTAAATGAAATCACGTCTATGAGCTCCGTAGCATAAAAAAAACAAACTTTTTCTGCAAAATGCCAAATCTCTACGAAACCTCCGAAGTTCATATTGTATTTGCATCACAGCCAAACGAAATATTAAATGGAATATCAGTTTCTAAAACTCTTACTCTTTCAGCTCTTACCCTCAGCTAAACTGCATGAGTTGGAATAGGAATGAGATACAATTCATCATATCACATGAATTTCCAGGACTATGAGAAAGTTTGGCATTATTTCATCACTGAACCATCAGTCGAACGGTCGACTAATGGTCACCATTTTGTCGATAAATTTGAAACACTATCTGATACATTGAAATAGGAAAAACAATACCAGAAAATTTATGAAATTTCTATAGAAAAAAAACCAAATATTATACGGTAAACCATTTACGCAACTACATAATGCCAGTAGAAAAATTGAAAATGAGGCGGTAAATATGCATTCCTTTCCTTAGGATCTTTCGTAGCCAACCAAGAAACCACGGAACAATTAAATTTTTGATGATGTTTTTATTTTTTGAAATTTCCTTCTTTAAATATGGATATATCAGATTATCGCGAAATGAGTATTCATAGAATTACGTTTGACAATATCAACGCGAAACATGGATTCGAGATTATAAAAAGAATGGAAAAATTGTTTCAACTACGACAGAAGTGACGAAAGTCTTTGACGACGCTTTCCAGCCACTCGCTAATAGTGCAGAAGTATGTACAGTCAAATCGCATCACAGGCAAATCCCCCCGAGGAGGAATTAAAACGCAGGAAGAACAAAATTTGCTCCCATCAATGAGCAAAAATTATTTGAATAATTAGGATGAATAACATTCTACTACTACGGAGACGAGCGAATCAGGCACTTTCGAGATTTCGCCAAACCTAACTGCAGCAAGTAGTCTCCTAAAACGAGAGCGGACCTATATAAGAGCCACTAAAAACCTACAAAGAATAATCGATAGCCCCCAAAAATAGCACTTCACGGCAATCTGATATGTGCACATTTATAAAAGGGAATTTCGCAGGCAAAAATAAGCGGAAAAAGGTTTCATTAAACAAAATTAGAAATGTTGAATCAGAATTCATTTTGCTACACCAAAGAAAAGTTGCCGCTTTGTTTTTCGTGAGCGCCAGCAGCAACTGAGCAATATCTTCCAAAGTGCAGAGGCTTTGTAGGCACCGCACGGTGCGGAAATCTACTCGCTGTGGAGCGCACGCACTGAATTACGAAACAGTAGCTCCGTCGAACAAAATGTGTACGAATTTATTTGAAATTAAAAGCGATGCAATTGCATATAATTGCAGAGTTCCAGAACTATTTAGATTTTTTTATTCCGTTTTGTTGTAATGTGACGATGGAAAGGAAAAATTAAGCAAAACGAGTAGAAAGAATTTACGTGAAAGGATAAACGACGCTTTTACGCCGCTGATCTCTCAATAATTTGCCAAAATCTCCACGCAACGTTCATCACAGAGTTAGGCGAACGGTTTATCCATACAACTGTCCAATACGAATACAAATATTATTTACTCGTTCCATGAAATAAAATAAAATATTTGCATAGCAAAAATCATTTTAGACGACAGAAGGATGCGAAAAGTGAAAGGTGGCCAACTTTCAAGAGATGCACCGTTACTTCCATAAAAATGTGCTCTGTTTAAGCGAGCCGTAGCGAAGGTGATTATAGAGCCAGCAGAACAACACGAAGAAAATACTTCTCTTGTTGAGCGCTATTATTGCACTGTTCAGCTACAGCTGAAGAATAACTCAGTGATTTGTTGCGAAAAATAAAAAAAAGAAATGATTACTCAGTAGCATATTCTGTCAGTTAAAATAAAATTGGTTGAAGAAGAAATAATGGGGAACGAAATAAGTTAATCTGATAATAATCTGATAATGATAATATTTTTGGAATAACAAAAATGGTTTTGTTAGGCAGCGATTTTTTCGTAAGCGAAATATTTATTTTCACTGTTTTGTGGTAGACAAATTGGTGAATATTTCGGTTTTCTCATATAATTGGAAATCAAATCGTAGTACTTTGAGAATTTCTCAACTTTAAAAGCTTGAAATCATTTAATGTGTGTTTTAAAAAAAATAAATACAATAGTCATTCATTTTATTATTCTTAAATGAGTAATCAACGAATGGTTACAGAAAAATTCATTTCACTTCTGAATGTTCAAAATCTTAATTCATATCGTTGCAATTGATAATAAATGAATAGCGATGATAATAATATAATAATATCAACAATAATAATGTAAAATTCAAATACGATCAGAAAAAAAAAAGTTTTCTTTCGTTCGCTAATGATAAAGACTTTAACTGATTAGGGTAGCTCCACTGGTTGCAAGGCTGTGATATTTTCAGGTAGCTTAATCCGATGCTCAAACCGAAGTCACCACAAAGTGACTACTCCTTTTTCCAGCGTCAGTGCGCCGTTTATGCCTTTAAATTCTCTCCTGTCTGTATCAGTACACCTTATGGATTGGTCTTCTTCGCTTTTGGCACCATTTACAAGACTTTGGTAGCGAGATATACGTCAATCCCTTCGATGGGCTGCAAAGAACCCGGCTTAACCTGCTAGACGACGTTCTATGACAATATTTTGAATGAAGATAGCAGCTGAGTGGAGGTGGACGCAAATGCAATCGCAGGCAATTTTATTAGGCACCTTAGAAAAGTATGGTCAAATATAGATAGCTTCTTAATATTTTGCATTCTAGTTGGTTATGTTTCGCGATTGACTGCAGCCAGATAGTGAGATTAGGAAGCGATTTGATAGGCTTCACGAGACAAAAAAACCTAGCTGCTGCAGCTGTGCTGACCAGAATTGCGCTTGGTTACTTGGTACAAAAGTGGATCGAAGATACTAAATTTGAAATCGGACATTTCTTCAATCGGTGATGATTGATATAAAAATAGATACAAACAGATTTTTCTCATTACATCTTTTTTTTAGTGCTTTTAGTGCTTTTAATCAATTTTTTCTTCATTAAAATAAACAAATAAATAAAAATTAAAAGAGATAGATTCGTGACAAATCTCTCAAAATTTGAACAATGGAGCCAAATCTGAGTGGCATTTGACTGGAACATCTTTTCCTATCAATGCAGCACTTATCATATCTGAGCACTGATTTGATCGATCTTTTCCGCCATTCATCCCTGGTATTTGATTGTTTTCCTCGATGAAATCAAGCATCAAGCATGAACAGTTTAGATCAAATCTGAAAGCATTTATTTTAAAAATATCAGCAAATCGAGAAAATCTCTGCCAAAAGTTCGAATGTGTAATTTCAATAAATGAATCCACAATATTCTTAAATTCATTCTTCTTTGTTTTTTACTAAAAATTATTTTTCATTTTCCATGCAATCTTTTTCATTTTCCTAAATTTTTCCGCTTTCTTCTTTCTTCATTTATAATATGAAGATTTTAAGATCGTTTTGAAGATTTTAAGATCGTTTTTTAGTTCGAGTTATTTGTAAATCTAATTTAGAGCGGCGCAAGCAAAGGTCTCTTATTTTTTTGATGGATTTTAAAGGTAAAAGGGTACTTCGAATAAGACGGATATTCGTTCCGAGGTACCATTCCTAGATCCAAGCATCAACTGGAGCATTGTTGCCTTATATCTCGCAGCGTATAAACGCTCGAGACCCTCAACATCTAGAAGAAAATGACAGTCGCATAGCTAGACCATGAGCTGGTGAAAAAAGACGCTGCGAGACAATGTGCTAATGCTTGGAACGGTCGGTTTGTGTCGATGTTGACCTTTTTCCCTAAGTTCCAGTGGTACTTTGTTTCAAAGGCATGCGACACAGTAAATTTTTTTGATAAATTTCTATTACTGTTCTATGTTCTAAACAAATTTTTACGAGTGAAGACGAGAGTTTTAAAATGTAAATTTTATGACTTATGAAATCTTATGAAATTTTTAATTTATTGCACTACAAATATATAAACCGTATAAAACACATAGAATTCAGGTGGCAAGGATATAAGAATAATTCAGAGTTTTTAAGCACCGATCGACCTTTTCGAATTTATGATTCTTTGGAATTTGTGCTTACAGCATTTTAACCACATATAAGGTCAACCAAATTATTTTCTTAGAATTCGAGGAACCGAGAAAGATATTTACTTGCACCTGTGAATCTGTACTTCTCTGTGTGAATGAGAAAATTCTTCAGTAGTATTAAATTTTGATTTTATAGAGATTAGCACCCATCATCACAGTTCGTATTAGTAAACAGATAACCATTCGCGAAGAAAAATATATTAGATCCTAAGTACCATTCAGATTTTAGTTTTAATAACTTCTCTCACGTCAAGAAACAGGAACGGACCAAATGATATTTGACCTTAACCAATACATATCGTAAGAAAAAAATTAGACCACACCAACCCCCATTCACCGATATGAGAGCAATGAGACAATCAATTAGCACCATAGTTTTCACCTTTTTAATTATTACGAAATATATTCCAAATTATCGATCATCTAACTGTCTAGAATCTGCCTACCGAATAGAATGACGAATATTAGTGATCGATAAAAGTTTGGGAAATTGGTCATAAGAACGGGTAGATAAACCCGCGGGGTACACTCTTCCATTCCGCCACTCCTCAAAACTCGTTATATTCTTTTAATATGCCGCTAGTTTTTATTACATTTTCACTTAATATTAATTCGCCCCTTAATTCCCCTTGAAATTCCCGAAATGCCCTCCTGCAGCAAAGATGCACTGCGTCAACATAATGGAGTTGAGTAGGTACCGGAGAGGTTACAACTGGTTTTGAGGATGTCAGGAGGTATTGAACGAAATAACTAAGCGTTTAGCTTTAATTAGCATTCATTCACTTGAAGTCCTTTACCTATCTCACTGATCTCTCTGATATTTGATATTTGACAATTGAGAGTCAAGCAGTTGACCTCTTATGCAGGAAGTGATTACTATGTATTATCATATCACCAATCATTTTGCTTCCCGATCATTCATCGCTGCACTTTCATTTTTAAAAAATGCATGCAGCCAGAGCGAAGCGGGAAAAGATATACAAGTGCAACTCAAAAGCACATTTGATTGTAAAGAAAAGCGCCAGTCAATTGTATGGGCGTGGTCTATTATTTGGCTAGCCAATCGATTGACAATAGAAATACATGAAGGCGTGGCAGTGAATTATTGTACACGTCTACACGATCAATTGACAGAAGTCAGTTAATCCCGGCGTATCGCCATCATGTTTGAGGTGACGGTGGTGGTAACTGTGATTGTCGTCGTAGGGGTGGTGGCCGTTGTCGATGTTTCGTTAATCGAATTTTGTTGTTTTTGTTTTTATTATTTTTATTCCATCTATTATTTCTTTTTTTATTTTTTTAAAATTATTATTTTTAACTTTCAAAATTTGTTTATAAAATAAATTTTAAATTAAATAATAAATAATAAATTAAATTAAATAATAAATTAAATTTTAAATAATAAATTAAATTTTTGATTTCTCTACAGTAAGTATCGGTCTCAGTTCCATTTCTTCCTCTAGTGGGTATAAACGTGACATCTCTGGCTTGGCTGGCTTGCTTACTGCCAGGTCAAAACCCGCCCGCCGGAGAACCCCCTTGAAACACAGTTTGAACCTTGATGCGAGCCTCATTTAATGACTATTAAACGAAGGAAAGAATTTTGAATTTCAAAATTCAAAAATTGCCGGAGTACAGTAGCCAAGAAACTAACCTATAGCACTTTTCGTTTGAAGACTTTAATTGCGCGTGTGGCAGCCATTATGGAAATTAAGAGAAACCTTTGTTTTGTAGAGAAGTAGAGAAGTAGATCGATTAAAGATGGTGAATTTTAAGAGACTGGCAGTCATAGAAAGGGACTTGTGCGTTGCGAAACGAGGTCTTCATTGTTGGTATGGGGGTTGGTGCAGGGTGGCTGTTGTCGTTCATGAAATTTGTTTGGTTGTGGTGCTGTTTTTTCGTGTCTCGATGCAAAGATGCTCGTCCTTCTGCTAAATGATTTTAAAGGGTTTTTTTAAACTTTCTTTGTTATTGAATTTTATTTTTAAGAAATTGGTAAAAAATTAAAAGTTGCTAAAATTTTTTGTAGGGATACACGTCTTATGTTTGTAAAACAGCCGTTTTTCTTATAAATGAGTGGTGAGTTCACCATGTTTTACTTAAAAACTGACCATTGATATGAAATCTTTTTTAATTGCATGGATTCAGTTATGAAGCTTTTTTAAAATCCCGTTCAAATCTTGTCGGCGAATTATTTAAATGTATAAGTACTGAATATGCGTGTTCTAACGTCGCGGAATTCCTTTGCAAATTTGCAAATTTAATTTAACCTTGATTATTTAATTTTTTGATCATTTTTTTGCCCATACGCTGAAAAGCATATAATGTTTTCTATGCAATAAGTGACCCTGTAATGACGGAAAAGTTGGTATATAGCTGAAAAAAATGTATCGCTTATCTACGAAACAAATCAAATCACAGCAGTTGAGATTTCGCAGAGAGTTATGTAAATTTATTCGTCTTCGTAGAACATCTGAATGTTCAGCTTTTTTTTTTAATGCAAAATGAGTGGGCGAACACCACAAAGGAAAATGAATTTAAGTGGAGCAAGGTAGGAGCCAGTTTATTTCCACCTTTAGAATATTGTCGGTTATATTGCAACTTTTATCGATATAATGAGAAGGATTGCAATTGATTTCTTCGTACAAATCTGCAAATATGGTGCATGACTCTAAATCCAGTTAAAAATCTGAAAATTGTATCCTTGTTTTTTCCCATTTTGTTGTTTGTAGATCAGCAAGGCACAAGAGACGAACAACTGTCATTATTTTTGAATTTGAGCTACTAATACTCTTATATAATATCAAATAATGTATCATTAACAGTTAGCAATCTGGCTAATCGGTGATATATACTGAAAAATCGCATTTTGCGCAAGATCTTGACAAATTCTGCAGTATTGAACAATGCAATTTTACCCCATTACGAAAATGAATTTTGCAAATCGAAAAAAATTACAATTCCATAAAGTTATGAACACCATAAAACACCAATTAATTCGTCTTGCAACATATATGTTTGTACGAAGTTTTGGTCTTTTTGGCTTGGGAAGAGGGGAAAATTACTTTAAAAAATTGTTCCTATAAGTATTATAGGAACCGAAACATTTAATTTGGAATTACTTGAAATTGTTGAACATTAATATTTTGCCTCTTTTCGATCTCGTTTGCTAATTAATCTATCTATTAAGTGCAACACAGATTCTGAATCAGTCTCAAATTTTTCATTCTTAGAAGCATGAAGAAATCAAAGCAGTTATGAAGAAAGCGGTAAAATCTAGAATTGGAAATGACCGGTTAGTTTCAAATAATCACAAAATATTTAAAGTTGTATTTCCATAAGTTCTCTGGATTATTTCTTCAACTGCTCAGCTTACGGCAAAGAAGGGATGATATTTTACACATAACTATTTTTGATAATCTGTCAAGGGCAATGTGTTTTATTTATCACAAGTAAAATGTCTTTATAAGTATAAATTAATAAGTTCTTTTACAAGAAAGGCAATAAGGATGAATTCTATTGTATATTAATAGTTGTGGAATTTATTTCTTGTCTTGACAAATCACGGTGAAAACTTGGAATTGAGAAATTTTGCCATATAATGCTTCCGTTAATTATTTAAAACAAGACAGCTAAACATGCCTGTTAATGAATAATTTGATACAAAGGTTCTGCCGATATTATTTTGCAGAATATATTTTTTTAATATAGTTATAATAATAATAGTATTAATATTAATATTGACAGTAATAATGGTAATATTAATAGATAATAATTTGCTGTGTTAAAATATGCATACCGTCTTTATATGCAATATATGTGGATATGAACGAGAATAATGGTAGTAAGTAATGATGGTAATAGTAATGATGATGATATTAAAATGTGTATATAACGAGAAATGTAAATGCAAAGTAATATTGCATTATGAATCAAATTGATTAGCGATTCTGCCCTTTCGAATAAAAAAGTAAGGAATATTAAATGGAAGACTTCATAAAAAGTTTGGTTTGGCAGGAAAAGATTTGAATTGAAAGGTTTTCAGAAAAGCTCATCAAATTGTGTTCGCGACGTTAATAAATATTTACCTTCTTGCAACAATTAAAGTATTTCATCTAGGATTATCTAAGGGCTAAAGAAGGGGTAGGGTGCGTTGGCAGGTGTTTAAGTTCGATGTAAATAATCATTTCCCCGGTGGTGGGAGATTAGGTTTTCTCCTGCAGTCTGGAAATGGGATTGGAAACGACTATGTTTTCGATAAGGTGATTGGCCTCGTGATAGTGTTTTTTGTGTACTCATTTCAACAGTAAGCGATTAAGGATGGTGGCAGGTTCAGGAGCATTAGTGGGGGGAAGTTTCATTACTGCGGTTGTGGTTCGTTTATAAGGCGAATGCACCATTGTGTGTTGATTTATAAAGGATTGAATATTTATTGAGGTGGTGCCCCAATGTATGGTTCGTGCACCAAGCCATTTAAGAAGGGTGCTTAGATGCTTGTGTGAGATTACTTCGTTTTTAACTGGAACATTAATTTGGGATTGGTAAAATTGCATTAAAATTGATATTGATGACATAAAAATTGACATAAAATATTTCGCGATAAAATGGTAATTTATAGGAAATCAAATGGTTGATAATTGTTTATTTTCGTAAATATTTTTTTTAAAACAGTATAAGTCGTAAAATGAAATGTTTATTCGAAAAAGTAGTGGTCGGATGAACATTGCAGTTGTACGATTAATCGAGGACGGTAGATGAATCGATTAATCGTTTAATGGCATTTAACAGCGATACCTAAGTTTTTATAGGTTTGTATTGCCTTTAAGAAAGGAACTTGGATTGGTCAAAAATGATTTTTTATGGAGTTTTTAGCAAAAGCTGTTTAAATATAAGCGATTACATTATGCTTAAAATATTTGTACTGTCAATGATTACTGAATAGGTCGCATACAATGGCTTCTCTCGTAGGGTTGCTGCCCGATCGAATGCCATTTTTGAAAGTAATAAAAGGCACAGCACTGTTCGTTGCGATATTGGTGGGCGCAAATTATACGAAATTTAAATTGAATTCTAAGTTCTTACGGAAAATTTAAAATACAAGTTTTTTAGATTTTATAAAAAAATAATTCTATCAGAATTTTATACCATTTGTATTCGTAACTTTACGTCTTAAGTGGGTAACGGTTGTTACGAGTTGGTTGAACGTATTTAAACACTTGCATGCATATATTTAATATATATAAGTACTTAGAAGCATTATAAATAAACAGCGCTCGCAATTTTTGGTTTAACTGGCATCCCAGTCTGATATGGTATTGTTTTGCTATGGAGTCACCTGGCAATAGAAATGCGTGTGGGTCATCGGCGTTTGAACATGCAATTTGAAGTTCGCCCTCAAATACACCTGTATTTAAAGTATATTATTTATCTGAAATAATAAAGAGTTGCAAATGTGTTTTAATTTGTTTGATTTGATTTCTGAAAGATAAAGGATGCTTTTGGGCAGTACAGCCGAGTGGTGTTTTAGCGCTGTATGCCGCGAAAAAGTTCAAATTATCGTAAACTCAGTCTTTGACGCGAAAGAATCTATGAAAATAAAGTTTCGAAGGTGCGGGGCACCCACATTTCTATTTCCAAGTGTCTTTCTGGTGAAAGGATGTCATATCATGAAATCACAGCCGGATGGGAAATGCTTGAAGAGTTCGTTGAAAAAGTATTAATCTGAACAATCAAGAATTGAAATTAGTTTGGGTTAAATCGCCTTTAATATAATTTTTGAAAGGTTATTTTGCATAATTCGAAAGAAAATATGATAGAGAAAAAGTCAAATAATTCCGAATATCAAAGTCAAAAATCGAGCTTTATATAGAAATAGGAGTTGTATGTATATGTTAAGTTCGATGTGTTGCAATTAGTGTGGAATTTTTTGCTAGAAAGAAATAAGTTGCTGTAGAAGGTGGGCTGAGAGGGCATTCGGGTGTGCTTGAAGGGGGGACTCAGTTCTATGTGGAAAGTAGGCTTCTTGTGGCTTTCAAAGTGAAATTCTTCTGATTAGGTTTTGATTTGATTAGATGTCCATTAAGGAAATTGTAACTGATGATACCAAAAAGGTAAAAAAATTGTCAAAGGCATTTATTTGTCTCAGCGATTGTTCTGATAAGCTAATGAAGAGAAATTTAAATTACCAGCTGGAAATAATCTATTTGAAACGGAACAGTGGATTTGGGGGTTTGGTCGTTGGTTTCGTTAATTTTTTAATCTAATTCGACGACGTACTCTAAATTGCCATGAATTGCCATGTAGTAAATATGTTGAAAATAATTTAGATTATTTAAAAACGAAGAAATGTCTTGGATAATTCGGTTACAACATTTACCATTATCAGCGAATGCATCAGATATTCGAGCATTCTTTAGCGGTTTACGCATACCCGACGGCTCTGTGCATATTGTCGGTGGACCAGATGGCGACGCATTTATCGGTTTCGCGACTGATGAGGATGCGAGACAAGCAATGAAATTTGATAATAGACGTATACATGATCAGCGAGTGAAACTATTACTTTCATCACGAGTCGAAATGGATGCCGTGATCGCAAAAGCGCGCTCTGGTGATTTAAACCTCGCAAATGTGCCCGTTACAAGTTCAGCCATAACACAACCGTTACGACATGAAATAATTCGTGCAGTTAATGGTACTTCTGAACAACAACAACATCAGACAAATGTTACATCACAAGTGATACCAACATCGACATCAGCGATTTCAACTCTTTATGCATTAAGAAATACACCAAACATTAACCAAAATAATAGTTATCAACAAGAATTTATTCGAGGTATCAAAAAATTTTAAAAAACCGAGTTCAAATATTTGTTTATTCGTAAATTTTGTTTTTTCTATAAAGAACTGGAGAAATTAAGTTTTCCATAGTTTTTAAATTCCTAAAGTTATATTTTTTTTCGGGAAATTTCCAGGAACTTATTTATATTGATGTCAATATTAATTTAGGAGTTGATAATGGCGAAACATGGAATCGCAATGAAAACGCATCAGATTCGTGGAAAAATACAAATACTTCAAACTATGATGGAAAGCAACAGCAACAGCAACGTGTTGTTTTACCATGGCAGGATCCAAAAATGCTTAATGTTATTGGACAAACAACAACAGCACCAATGTGAATATTCTATTTTTTAGTAGCAAAAGTTAAAAATTTAGAATTGATTTAAATGATTTTATTTATTTTTGTTTATTTTTAGTTATCATCAAACACGAGATGAACGGTATAATCAGTATGAAAGTGAGAGTTTTCAAGGATATACCGCTTCATTGCAACCGTCCTCAAATTCAGCAGTTTATCAGCAACATATACAAGTCCATTTATTGAATTTTTGTCGTTAATTTTCTTGAGGAATTAAATTAATTTCAAAAAAATCTTTTCATATATAATTCAATTTCGTTATGTTTCAATAGAATTTTATAATTTTTAGAATGCAGCAGAGGATAGGCGCTACCAAGGATCACAGAAAATAGAAACACCTAATCAGCAGGCAATAATTTTTTTCTTTCTTTATTAATGTTTTATCAAATTACTTAATCTTTTTATTATATGGAAATTTTTAGGGCTACCAGGGTACTGGTATTGTGGGATCGGTATTATCTGGCCAGTCCTTACAAATACCGCCAACATTATCCAGCATATCTCCTTCGACTGTTGCCGGAACAAATGCAAGACTTCAGAATTCTGGATCGGTTTTGCCGAGTGCTAATCCATTTGCAGTTTATCCTCATAATGTTCCAATATTTCCTCCAGTTGCATCAGTGTAAGTTTTTGTTATGTTTAATTGTAATTATGTTACGTTGGATGTATTTTTACTTAATATTTGATATTTAGAGGATGAAAATATTAAATTAATATGCTGTGCGTTTGCAGATCACTAAAACATGAAAATCGCTATGTAGAACTAAGTCGGCTTCCATCAGAGTTGCTGCGACCAGCTGCTTTAGAGCAGTTTCTTCAACCAGCTGTTCCTTTAACACTTTCATCTGTTAAAGTTATTTTTGATCCTAAAGGTTGGTTAAATCCATGCAATTTCCTCTTTTAGTTGAATTTGTTTGAATTTATTTTATGAATTTTTATCAATTTTTTACAGGTTTTCCATTACATTCATTGGTTCGATTTGAAAATGTGAAAGATGCAGAAAATATCCTGAATCGAGATGGTGAACAAGGGATAAGGTGACAAGGAATACTTTTTTGGTTTTAAATTTTCTATACATGTTTTGTACATCTATATTGGTCAATGAAATATTTAACTGAATGTTAAATGTTGTAGGATTCGTCCTTCTTCTAAGGAGATTTTCGATGCTGCTGTCGATGGGAGTTTACAAATTCCAGCATATTATTTGCAAAATAAAAATGGTCAAAGAGTTTATGATCGAAATCGAGAAGATCGCGGTCGAGAAAGACTTATCGGCCCTTCATCTAGACGCCATCATTCACCTGTAATTATTCATATTACCTCCAATTTTAAAAAAATTACAAAAAGCATGGGTTCATTTTTTTTTGCTTTATCCGAGGAATTTACTAAATTTCACCTGTTTTATCTTACTTTTCAGGAAAGGCGTGATGTCGATCCTCGTCGCGATGAACGTCCTATTGTAGGTATTCGTGATCGTGAACATCGTTTGCCACGACGTGGACGTTCTAGAACTCCTCCTTCTCTAACACGAGATCTACGTGATACAAAGCGTCGTCGCGAAGATACTGCACGATTTTGCATCGAATTTACCAATCTTCCATTTCGAGTGAGTGAAGCGGAAATCCGAGAGTAAGTCACTATTTTGGCTATCCATAGTACCATAAATTTTTCGAAATATTGTAATGCTTAACTCATTTTTAAAACGGCAATGAAACGAATATAAAAAGATCTGTGAAATTTTTCTTCAAATTTTGATTATTCTAATTTTAATTATCAGCGATTGAACCAAGAAAATTAAATATAGAATTTTAACATCAGGTTCTTTGGCGTTCGTTGTCAACCTGTTAAAGTTTCTCGAGCATATAATGCTGATGGACAAGCTTCTGATCGATGGATCTTAGAATTTGGTGACATGGATACAGCTGAAAGGGCTTATCGTACACGTGGCAAAATTCAAGATCGTCTCATACGAGCTAGAAGGTTGGCCATTTTTATTGCTTTTCTTTCAGATTTCAGCTCAGGTTTTATTATCACATTCGACGGCTAGTATTTTATAGACTTACCAATGAAGAGGCAGATAATTTACTTTCTGTCCCGGACAAATTTGGCTTGCAAAAGAAAGAAGAATATGAGCGTAAGTTCGGCCAAGCTGAAAATGTGATTGGAGATACATCCAGTAGCCATTTGGATGGAATGACTGTGCCACTTATGAATGGTCCATTCCCTCAAGCTAATTTTCGAGGTAAAAATTTCGAAACTCGCTTTCTTTTTTTTGCTTATGGAGCTAGAATGGTTCAGCAGGTTGTTCTCTTTTCGAAGCTCACATTTTCCCAAGGAGTAAACTTTTCAAAAATACACTGTTGAAACTGGTGATTAACCTCTATTTTTTATTCTGACGTCTACTCCTACTTATCGCGTAATGAATCCTTGGCTGAATTAATCTGAACCAGTGGAGTGAACACAACCAGAAATGGTCTGTACTATCAGAAAAATTTTTCCTTTTAAGGTCGCGGTCGAGGTCGAGCTGAATTAAGAGGTGGAATGCGAGGAAATTTCGAAACTGATAACCCATCTGGTATGGGCCGCACAGTAAATGGTCCTCTTTTTAATGGTCCTACCATTCTCCCTGGAGCAGCAGCAACTAAAGGAGTGTCACAGGAAGGAAATGGTCTCTCAGCAGGCTCATCTACTGCTTCTCCACTTATTCCTGGCAATCCAGCAATTGCTCACCCCATGACTTATCGTCATCAGCGTAGCAATGGGCCTCTGATTCAAGGTACCATACCATTTTTGCGAAAAATTTACCGACTCAGTGCTGATTTTCGACGTTTTTTGAAATTGCGATGATTTTTTATTTGCAGGTGGCCCACCACGCCCACCCTTGATCCGCCCTCCTACATTTTTCGGTGCTACACCTTCATCAACAATTCGACAACGTGGTCCGCCTCCAACTCGAGGGTCTAGAGGGTCACTTTCCCATCGGGTAGTTCATAGTGGACATGTTGATAATGCGTCTTCGTCAAAGCAAACTTACGTGGCATTGGAAAACGTTCCAGAATCATGTTCGGATCAAGATATTGTTGCATTTTTAGACATAAAACCATCAAAAATGAGTAAATGTATGTTGCATTTATAATACTTTTTATAATACATCAGTTTATGATTTAAAAAAGCATAAGCTTTTAAATTCTTCATGTTTTTTTTATTTTTTATTTTAGCAGCAACTATTCAACATGCATTAAATGGAACCGTTTTTGTTGATTTGGGAAATGTTGATGACGCATTAAAAGCTGTTTCCAAAAATCAACAAAAAATTGGTGAAAATGTTATTACAGTAACTGCAGTAAATCATCAACAAATGCAAAAAAAAATGGAAAGTAACACTGATTTGCAACAGGTTAATTGAAATTATCTGCTTTATAACCTTTTAGTTTTTTATTTGAGGTCATTTCATGTTGGAAATAATAATTGGGCCACTTAGTTTTCTTATATTCACCTTTTAGAAGATGCTTGAACCTGATTTAATTGCATCAGTTGGAGAGCCTGGCACTGTAATCAGCTGTGATGGCTTTCCTCCCAATGTCACGCTTGCTGATGTTTCTCAGTTCTTTAATCAGTTTTCGCTGGTTGAAAGCTCAGTAAAAATCAAATTAGATGATCGTGGTATGCCAACTGGTGAATGTCTTCTTTCGCTTGGTTCCGTTGAGGTATTCATAATTTTATTGCCAGTCTTATTTATTATCATTTTTTCTTATATCTACCTTTGTGAAAATTTTATAATTTCCATTGTTTTAGGAAGCGAGAAAGGCAGCTTCGATGTTAAATGGTCGAAAATTAAATGGTTCTGCTGTAACTCTGACTCTTGTTCAAGCAAAACAGTAATTAATTTTTATATTGCTGATTAAACAGTTGTGATCTATAATTAAGAACCTAATTTCGAAATTATTATTTGCTTTTTGCTTTTTATCATTCTGTAAATGAAATTAATAAGGTAATGTGGAGGAAATATCACAATTAATCTGTAGTTTATTAGTGCAAAATGTTTTTGACTATTCGTGCATCAACCATATATATATTATATTACATATTACATATTATTATATTACATATATAAATATGTGTACATATCGATCTTCACTTTCCTTTTTTTGGCAGCCGCGAAATATATGAAACTAATGGCACAATTTTATTTGATATTTTTTATCCATTATTTACTTATTAAATTCTGGCTAATACGAAGCTTCTCTTCGCATTCACCAATCTTTTTGTTATTCACAAGCATCTTTTAAACTTCATGCAATTTCCATTATTGTATTCAGAGCGTGTAGAAGTTTTCTAATTTAAAATTTGTTTTTTCTTATGATACCATAATATTTGCTGGAGAAAATGAATAACCATGTTGAACTTTACTACTATATTGTTTTATTTTTATTTACAATGTTTTTATGGCACTAGTGTTTGTTTTTAATTGACATTATTTATAGAAATTTTAAAAAAAAGTTTTTAACAATTTAAAATGTTTTTTCATCACAGAAAAATCTTGTTAAAAAAACCTGTAAGATGGTAATTGTTAAAAATGTTTAATGCAATTCACAAGAATTAATATAAATTTCATTTTTGATGAATTCATGAACAGAACGAACAAATTAACAAAATTCTAAAATTTTTGAAAATCGGAATAAAAGAAGAATAAAAGCAAGTTGGAGAGATCACTGAAAATGTTTTTACTAAAGTTTTTTTCTATTTTATTTATACAAAAGTAAAATAAATAAAATGAATATTTTACTCGACTTTCGCAAGTTTTTTTCAAAAGTAAACGATTTGATCGACTTCGCTGAATCGTTGAATTTTTGAGAAAAATTAAAAATTGTGGACAAACCAGTTGATCCATTGTTGAACTAATTCATTGGCTTGAAACGAATGATTGCAACTGTTGTAAGATTTTTGCATCGATACCTTCAGATAAATCGCCCACTGCATTCCGCCTATGTATTTTACAAAGAACTGACTCTGAAACACTTGTATGCAATCGATTTGGCATCGAGGCTATCGCTTGGCTTTCTGGTGGACCATCATTTAATGAACATTGGTGGAGCAAAGCAGCTGTTGATGATATCACTGAGTGATCGGTTTGATTATAGATATGAGACATCTGAAAATTTACTTTCTTTCAATATGAATATTATTAAGCATTGGGACAAATATTAAAGACTAATAATAAGACTAATAAGACTAATAATAGCCGTTCAACGGATTCGACAATTCTCTTCCTTGGCATATCCCTTTTATTTTCCCACTGCATTCTTTTAACATTCTCTGTTGTTTCATACCAACCAAATTATTTTCCTCACCTCCGAATTCATATTTTTATACGCCATATTTCCAGTCATCTTTTGCAGTCCTTTTATAACTTTATAATTTTCATAACTTATAACTTTATACGTGGTAAAACAGCAATATGAGATTTATCAAATCTATCAAGCGTGTTTAAAACAGTACACAACATTTTTTTAAAGACTAAAATGATGGACTGTCGCAAAAAATTGCAACAAGATTTAAGAAGTGTTAAGAAGAAGTGATTTAAGAAGTTCAAGATTTAAGAAGCAAATGCATTTTAACAGGTTTGGTGAGATTCTCCATAAAACGTAATATCAGGTGATATTAAGAAATTAAGAAGTTTCGCAAGCATTATTGGAGGTTTATAAGGCAATGGCGGGTTCTAACAAAGGAACGGAAGAACCTGATAGTAAATTAGGATTTTACAACCAGGTAGACAGATAATGAGATAATAGGAAATGTAGAAGTAAGCAGAGGATAAGAAATGGCCACAATTTAAAAAGTTTTCAGTAAACAATACAGAGGAGTTTGATGGAGAGCTGGGAGAACACAACGGGCTTTCGAAGAAACTGGGAGAGGCTGCATATATATTAAAATGGTACTCATGTATTTTTAATACAAAGGGGCTTGTAGGAATAAAATGCTATAAATTTAAAGTAATTGCGAGCTGAAAGTAGGGGAAATTTTGAAGGACATTAACTGAAAAATCAGGCGCTGAAAAGAGCTCACAGAATGTTAATGGAAGCATAAAGGAATATAGTGGGATTTGAAGAAAATGCTAATGAGGGGAAAGGGATATGGCAAGATTTCAGAAACATTCGAGACAATCCTCGTTTCCTGGCAGGAAGCTTTTAGTACACAAAGGTGCTGCCGATCCGATGGATAGCTGTGCTTCTATTATGAATTGTTCGACCAAGCCAGAAAAAGGAACCAAACCATGAATAATGAGAGCTCTGGGGAAAAAATGACAATACAAAGGGGTTTCAGAATATGCTAGTGGCTTGCAAGGAAAAGATACTCCCTTTCCCTCATCATCTTACAACCTTTTGAAATTTTGTAATTTTCAATACGGTAAATCACGACTTCGGGGATTTTAAGTTGCACTAATAAATTATAAGAATACAATGGGATTTTCGCACTACAGTATATTAGGCTATCATAGCAGAACTGAAATTATATAATGGAAATTAAGGAATTTTTCCTATCTGTTAAAAAAAAATATGGCACATAATTTAATAGGATATTAAAGAAGATCAATGGGATTTCGGGATTTAGGAATGGGCATGGAAGGTTATAACAGGTTTTGCAAGATAAAGGTTTCGAAGATACTAAGCGAGTATAAAAGATTTCGATAGATTTCGATAGAGAAGGCATTGCCAGATCTGAAATATTACACAATAATATTGTTAAGGATAAGATAATACTGTTCGGCGGAGGAAATCCCAAAGAGAAATGAGTAGATTTCGGAGAATAGAAGTTAATATGTAATGAAAAAAATTTTTGATAAATTTAGCCAATTTTGGATTAATATATATAATATAATATATATTAATATTAATATAGATATATTAATATAATTAAAACCATTAGGTGCTTTTCTAAGCCCCTGTAGGGATAGAATGGCTTGGTGGGTTGTTGCCCAATTGAAAGCGCCGATGCTGAGGTTCGATTCCCCATAGGAGTAAACCTGTCCAAAAATCCGGGTGACTCACCTTGTATTTCTATCGCCAAGGGACTCCTTGGCACATCTGTCCAGTGCAACAAGTCAGCGTAGCGAATTTGACCAGTAATGGTGAGAACTCTTTAAAAAAAGCCTCTATATGGCATCATTATTACTGACTACTACTATGGTGAGATTTTTTTGCTATAAAATCACTTGAAAATTTACAAATTTGTCAAAGGACAGTGGAGTCCAGACCTCCCTCCCCCCTGCCCCTCTGATATAGATAAGTAAGCGATATACAGCCATTCCTTAATTTTCCTTTTTTTATGTTGGGAATCATTTTGAAATCTGGTTAACACTTTCTAAGAGAAAAGTGTTTGTGAGAGAATTTGCGAGAAAGTATTTTAGTTGCAAATGACAATGATAATAGATATTATTGAGAATGAAAATATAGAATGGTACTTCACTATTTCTCTTGGATCTTGGATCCTCATTGATTCTTTTAATGATTTGTGCCTTCTTAAAACTGTTCCTAATCCATAGTCTCGGTAATGGAAAGTAAGCGTTTAGTCGCTCAACATTTCTGGTTCAATTTTCGATCTGGGTACAAAACAGTTTTACCACCAGTCGAGCTAACGACAAGTTTTTTTTTTCAAGAATCCTCCCCATTACTGGTTAAACTCGCTCCATTGGCTTGTCGCATTGGGCAATATGCCAGGGAGTCCTTTGGCGATAGAAATACAGGTGAGTCGCGAGCATCACCCGGATTTTTGTATAGGTTTACTCCTGCGAGAATCGAGCCTCAGCACCGGCACTCCCAATTGAGCAATAACCCACTGCGCCATTCTATCCCCAACAAGTGGAGTGAACTTAACCAAAAATGGTAATAGATAACTAATAAACCAATAATTTCTTCTATGTTCCACGGTCAATCGATTCAGACTTTCGTCTGCACCTTCTTTGGTTTATCGGCTTCTTATAATCTTTAAAATCTTTCTTATTTTATCCTTGGTGATAGAAAGTTAGGCGCATTAGTAAGCAACCTAAATCCTTTTTTCCTGGTTGCAATTACCGATGACAATTATTAAAAACGTTTTGTTGTTACATTTCTGCTTTACAAAATATGAAAATAAATAATAAATAAATAAAATAATAATAAATAAATCATAAATAAAAAAATAAATCCATTTCGAAATGTGGAAATTCCTTTGGCCTGCGCCCCATAGGCCACAAAACATGGCCCATCGGACAGTGTAAAAACGAAAAATTGGATGGCTATCATTTCATATTGGATGGTTATCATTTCATAAATTCAAAAATAGTTAGAGAACGAATAAAAAGAAGACGAGGAGAGACGTGCGGCCTTCTAAGAGGCAACGCGCTTTGCATGTGCCCATCCATCCATCGACACAACAATAATGCTTCACTTGTTTCCAAAAAAGGTTCTTTGGTTCCCCTCTCCTCCCCTTACCCCTCCCTCCTCGCAAAAATTCAGACGAACTTGCTTTTGGGACTAAATAAGCCACAATTCGATGATGACGTCACATCAAGTCTACGTCACAATAATGTAAATAATATCGTGGAATAATTTTATAAAAAAGAATAAAGATCAAACAAACAAGCAAACTTCACTTTTTTCACGCGTTACGTCACAAGTTACTCACGCGTAAAATATATTTCATATAGAGCGATATGGTAAAAAAGGAAATAGTATAGGGTGACATCGCGTGAAATTTTTCAAGTGCAAAATTTATAAAATTCAAATATTGTTTTTTATTATTGGAATCCTCTTGTGAAAAAACGAAGCGAAAATAAAACAGATGAAAATAATTTGGAAAGAAGAAAAAAAAAGCGAAATTATATGTTTTCAACTATAATCAATAAAAGAAAGCATTCTATCTACACATCTACTAAATATCGTTGGGACGCGTTTTACGTTTCACGCAAAATTTCACGTAAATAAAAGTTCATGGGAAAAGTGAGGATTTTCCCATTATATAAGAAGGAAAGAAACGAGATTTCCACTCATTTAATTTCACTTTTGCAGTGGTTTTTTAAATAAAATTTTTTAATTCAAAAATGAACTTTAAGGATGGAGGAATGCAGACGAGTGGTTACTGCTCAAATGATCGCGTTGAGCCTCAGATTCTTTCTCCGACAGGTGCCATAAAAAAATCCGAGTGGTGCGTATACGCATTCTTTTATCGCCAAATGACTCCCTAGCAAGAATTTCTCAACAATGAAGACAACCAAAAATGGTGCTTGCCAATCACTTACTTACTTAAGCCAGTTTTAAACAACTGTTAACAAATAAACAATGCAGCAGTAAGGATGCAAACACGAAGGAAACGAAATTCTTTCGAAGATAAACAATTTTAATTGAAGTATTTAAGTAATTTTTCATTAATTTTCATTGATATTTTGCATAAAAAATATTAAAATTGAAAATTAAAATTTTTAAAATGATTTTAGATAAATTAAATTTTACTTAATACAATTATAACTATTTATAAAATAAAAATACGAACAAAAATTCATAAAATATTAATTAAAAAACCATTCGGCGAGGTGTAAAAGTTAGAAAAAATTATTTATTTTTATTTATTTGCGCAATATGGTCAAATAAAAGGCTTTCATTATCATTTATCACGTTATAAATATCCTCAGTTTTTATCAACTAAATATTTGATAAAAGTTAGAATGTTCTACTGATCATTTAATTTTTTCAGTCCGATCAGAGCGCTCTGAGCTGTTTTATATCTCCTAGAAATGAATAATTAAATTGAAATTTACCACGAGTTTATAGTTTCACAGCCTCGCAGATTCTATTCGTTGTCGGCAATAAAACTTACGGGAGTTAAAAATTAACGAGTGATTGCTGGTGACCCACCTGTCGCTATATCTTCTTGTGATCTTTTGGCCAGGCCAACAGGATTATCGAAGCATCAGTAGATTACCAAAATACCTCAGTCCGATATGCTTTTAGAGGAAGAAATATATCATTTAGCTGACTGGCTGATTGACGAAAAGTAATGGGATGAAGTAAACAAAATGAAATCGCATAACAGCCAAACAGCTACGAAATTTTTCTTTCATAGATCATTATCGTCGTCATCAATTAAAATCATAACAAATTACCAAATTATATCTTCTACTCTTTTTTATAAAATTAACTAAATCTTTTACAAGATTAGATTAGATTAGATTAGATTTATTAAGTTTATAAAGCTTACATGAAAATAATAAAACTATTTTTGGATATGGTTATGTTAAACTAGGTTATTCAAAATATAATTTTAGGCTAAATTTGAATCCAACAAGAACTATTGGGCTAAAATTACTAAAACCTATGTGTAAAACTAAACTAAGGACTCATGATTTCTTTATTCTTAATATTAATTTCTTAAGCTATCGAACGATATAACTTGTGCGCCATCCCTAGCTATCTTTAAAAAGTGGTTAGATAATATCATTTATGATATTACTTAAAAAGTTCATATCATGCAGGAAGTGTAAAATCTCGGCTTTTACCATCCGATTATATATAATAAGTTACTTCGAATTGTGCTATATCATATTATTTTATAATTTCCTCCTTATTTCTTTTTTAAATTGTTAATTTAATTAATTTTTGTCATATTTTATTTTCCTATTTTTTATCATTAATTGTTATTATTTATTGTTTTACCTGTTGTAATTAATACAAGTACATGGCGTTGTCGCCCTGCTTGGCTGGTTTTCCAATAAATAAATAAACCCGGTTGCGGATGAATTAGCTGGAGAATAGCGAAAAGTATCATGCCTTTACCAAACCTCAGAATCAATACTCCAAAATGAGCATCAATCCATTGATTCCATCTTTGTGTTGCTATATCACTATGAAAATGTGTTAGCCTCAATGGTTCCATCAAAGGGATTCAATGAGATCCAATGGTCCTCAGACCCTACATTAAGAACCAATGATCTAAATAATGCACCAGTCGGTGATAAATTCTGAACTTTTAAATTCTAGCCTACGACTCGTGAATTTAAAAAAATTAGCAAATAGATACTGCGCCATGCGAATAGAAAAATTTAAACGATTCGATTGACTTTACTTTCAAATAATTCTTCAAATATTTATTTAACCTTCAAACTTCTTAAATTATTCTTAAAAGTTAGTCAAATAGTTTTCATTGTTTTTTATTTGTTATTTTAAAAAAATGTAAAATCATTGCTGAAAATTTAAAATATTTAAAATATATTTCATAATAAAAATATTTTTAGAAGTTTATTAATCAACTCGGAAAACTTTAAACTTCCAAAAAATTTTCGGATTCATTAAAGACAAATAAATGAATAAAATAATGATAAATTTTAAATTAATTAAATAAGAAAATAAATTCTTTAAGAAAAAAATACCACAAAGATTGTAATATAAATATATGTAAATTTAACGAATTGAGAAATTAACCAAATCAACTTTTTTTGAATTAAACGATTGATAAATATGAGCGAATATTCCACCTGAAATATACGAAGCCAATGGATAAGGCGTCGGACTTCGGGTCCGAAGATTGCAGGTTCGAGTCCTGCCAGCGTCGAACGGTACATTTTTATTCTTCCGCACTTCTACGAAATTTTTGAAACATGAATTTCGAATGGTTTTTTTTCAATAAATAATCAGTTTTCTCTGTTTCCCATTGGTTTCGATGTGCGCTGAGACCAATAATGCAAGCCATTCGCACATTCGCCACTTGGTAAAAGAAGTAGAGATGGGTCATCAAGAACGCCCAGATGGCAGCTGATCTCGCCAGACAATGAAATCCATGGCAGTTTAGCCGAAACAATATGCTTCCAACCACGCTATCCTTCCCATCCCAGCACATCTCCACTTTATTTTAGGATAAAGTTACAATAAAACTATTCAAAATGCATTAAAATAATTTAAATTATCCAAATGATGATTCAAACATTTATGGTTGTTTTGTAATCGAATTCGCAGCGTAGTATTCTGCATTCGAAAAATTCTTCATCAATTACTGAATTTCCGAACTGATTTCAAATCCACATTGGATGATTTTTGAAGCGCAAAGAAAAATGATAATCTTTTTAACGAATTTTATTTACTTAACAGATTCAATTGGAAGCAAACATTTCAATAAAATTTGATGGAAATAAGAAATATTTCTCGAATAATTCTCACCTAAAGCACTTAAACAATTATTTATTCAAGTTTTTTTAATTTTTTTAATTAAATTGTTAAAAAAGCGAATGATATATAAACTGACGGCTGAAGCACGAACTATTCAAGAAGTTAATCCTATTGAATTGAATATTGTTATCAACATTATACATATATATATATATATATACAAAATAAATTTCACCATTATATGCAAAAAAACTTTGCTCTATCTATGATAATTTTAAACTGATAAAATTTGATAAATCAAAAAGCTACATCAAAATTTCATCAAAATCGCCCTCCATGATGAAATTTTTTGATCTTTTTATATAATGAAAATTTTGTATAATGAATATGAAATATGAAAATTTATACTATACTTGTGTTTTCAAATGCTTACAGTACGTTCTACATAATTAAATTCCAAAAAAGCCAAAAAACGAGTTAAAAACTCATTACTCATTTGTTATCGATCACATATTCACTAATCCTCACGGAAATTTTTTGTCCGATATTTATGCAATTCTTTTATATAAATAATTTTTGTTGGCTAATGAACATAATAGCAATAATAATAACAATAATTATCGAATTTCATCAATGTTCTACCAATTTTTAACAATAATAATAAGAGTATTCCCACAAAATGGTTTGTATAGTCAGACAGAAGATGGTTCCCTTTCTTCATTTAATTTCTCTATTCCACTAATTTTTTTATTAGGATGCCATAGACGAAAAAAAGATTTAAAAGAAATGCTTCATATAAAACGTTTGTTGAAAATAACATTAAGCATAAAAACAAAGATTAAACTAATTCCTGAAAGCTCAAAACGAATGAAACTATGTAAAATTTCCATAAGATTACTCACTACAAAAATTTATGTCATCTCGCTCTACATCTCCTTAAAAAATAACTCACTGAACAAATAAACCAAAACAAAACAAAGAAAATAAAATCTAAATCACAAATGAAGACTGAAAAAACTGGAGATTTAAAAGTTAATTCAAAGAAAAAAGAATGTTATTCGCTGACGGGAAAATCTCGAGCAATAGAATGATGCATAGGAGGTGCGAATTCACGAATTTTTTCGTCGAAAAATTCTTCGCCACTGTCATTTACTGATTGTGTATAATTCAATAATGTTCCAAATATTTGGTTGTTCAACAGCTGGAATCTACGAATTCGTTCCACCATACGACTTACTTTCTAAAAAATGGTATAAAGGATAAATAGCAATGAATAAAATTTCAGAAGCTATAAAGGATTTATTCCAAATGGAAATAAAGCACTGAAAAACGAAAATTTGCCATAATCTTAAAATAAAAAGAGAACACTTGCAAAATATCCAGAAATATTTAATAATTCTATAAATTTTGAGAAATTTATTTGTTATAAATTTTACGTAAATAACAGAAATAATAACATATAACATACTATTCCATGGATAGTATCGTCTTTGCCATCTGCTCTGTGCACCCTTAACAAATGATAACAAAAATCTAGTACTTCAAAACGACGATTTTGTTCTAGCAACATTATTAATGTACAGCCAGCCCAGTGAGGACCATCACCATAAATAGCTCTAAAATTTAAGAATAATTAGAATTCGGATCTGATATTAAAATGAATGAGTAGACACGAAAATTTTACTCAATCAAGGGTTCATTACTGATTTCCAAGCCATCAGCACCAATAGAAGATGGCTGACAGAAGAAAAATTGTAATGCTGACCATGCACGATGAAATTCAACACATTCATCCAACCACATCACCTGCAAAAAAATAAAAGACTAAAAAGACTGTAATAGCCTTACAACTGAAATGAAATAAATGAAATTTAAAAAATTAAGAACCCCATTAGTCGGAAAACCACCGCTCCATACAGTATCAGCATTTAGGATTTCTTTTAACTTGGACAAAATCATTTCAAAAATACTGAGCCCACAACATAGGCGCTCCTTCGTCAATAATTCAGCTTCACGAGAAATTGCAGTTTGCTGCGATAAAATTCGTTTATATATTACATATATATCTTGATGACGACGAATTTTAATGAATTTAAAAAGATTAAATAAAAAAATATTAAGCGCAAAAAATTATTGATGCTCTTATTTTGACCCTTTACTGAAAAAAAAAATGGATTAAGGATGTTAAATTTGAACAAAATTTTTATAGCGCTGATGACAAAAAACTGCAATTACCTTCATATCGCCGACTTGCTCGACGACAGAAACAATTTGTATACGAGCATACTTTTGCTCCAATTTTTTCATTTTCAATTCCTGATTGTCGGTTTCTAAAATACAAAATGATACTCTTATTTTGACCCTTTACTAAAAAAAATGGTCATTGGATTTAGAAATAATAAAAAAAAATGGAAGAAATAATTAGAAACCACGAAAAAATTAGAAACTTTTTGCCGGTGGACGTGGAATGACGTTTGTAAAAGGTGCAGCTGTTAGCAAATCTAAAACTTCTTCCTGCGTTAGAGCAAGCTCAAGTTGCAAACAAAATATAATTATATTTCCCAGTTCTCGCAACACCTGTAAAGGCAATGGGCCTTGACAAATAAAAAAATAAGACACAATAGCAATAGCAAAAACAAAGACACAATGAACATATCAAATAACCTCGCAAAGCTCCTTTTTTAATTCAGGATAACGACCTACATTAGCCAAATGAGCAATGTAATATTCCAGAACAGCTTAAAAAAATGGAGATGAAAATATAAACAAATAAAATTCCATTTAAAGAAGCATAGTAGAAAAATTTTGAAACTATATAGATTGAAAATAAATTAGAAAATAAGCGATGGATCATTTTTTATTTTCAATGAAAAAAATGAAGTGTCCGAAACTTGCGAATAATCTTGAAAATAAAATCCTAATTAATAAATTAATAACCAGGTGAACCATAGTCAAAACGAGGAAGTTTGCAAATTTTTGGCATTAAATTAAAAATTGAACGAATATGACTGCGTAATGAACCATTAATCTGAAAATTTGCTTAAAATAATTCTTTTGGTAAAAAAATCAAAATATTATTGCCAAAAAAAAAGAAGTTTAAAATCCATTAAACACTGCAATTGCTAAAATCTTTTGAATCAGTTATTCACCAAATTCCGAGCCATTTTAATCAATTCCTCGAGAACGACAGCTATTCCTCGGTAACCCAACAATCTCGCCATTGCTCTGAAATTTAAATGAATATTTAATTTAAATAAAAATAACAAATAAAATAGATTTTTTGGAATTTTATAATAAATCGTAATTCTAGCTTAAATAAAGAAGAAAACTAACTTGAGATGAGGCATGCCAGTGAAGCCATTATATAAGGAGTAAATATTGTTAAAAGCAGCATTAAGTGACTGAAAAGAAATGTAATGAACAACTAGATTTTTTTCCATACATTTTAGTAAATTTAACAAAATTATTTCAGTAAATCTCCAGTATTTAAATTTTAATATAATGGCTACAATAGAAAAGGAGAAGAAATGCGCCAAAATTTAAAATAAATGATTTCATCCTAATCTCCGCCCTATCAAATTATTCAATTTTGAATTTTTTATGAAATATGGAATTTTCATGAAATACCTTAGAACCCCAAAAATATTGCATAGAGGCAGAAGGAGGTCGATCTCGCTGTGGAGGCTTGCGCACAGTATATTTTGATTTTACGAATCTAAAATGAAGCAATCAAAAATTCTATTAAAAAAGTAGAAGTATTCTTAACAAGTTTATTTAATCAAATAGGATTATCAAAGTTACTGGTTTCGTTGAAGAATTACCTTTGAGTAGAGCCATTATAGCAATAACTCGAAATGAGATCACAGTTTAGCTCCCAAAACACATGAAGCGTTATTCTGCCATATGGCACAGATACATTATGATTTGCTTCGAGGAAAAGATCTGAAAATTCGGAAATGGATCCAAGCTGATCTCTGAGCAATCTATGACAAAGACGATTTGCTTCAATTAAACCATCTAATTCCTGAAAAAATTTCCTGGATGATCCAAAATTACTTCTCGAAAATGAAATTAAATAAAGAAAAGCAGGCAAAATAAGACCACAAATTATAAAAATAAAAGATAAAAAAACCACAATCGATGACAATTCTTCAGATTCAAATTTTGATATAGCAATATCAATAGCTCGAAGAATGGCTATATTTATACGCTGACTTATCAAACGATTAAGGTCAATTGAACGGCCAAGAAGCTGTAAAAACTAATGAAATTGTGATATGCATAAAATAATTTTTCCAAAAAAATGATAAAAAATGAAAAGAATTTTTAAAAACATTAAATGAAACCAAGAAAAGTCAAGTCGATCATTTTAATCACTGCAAATTTCCACTTTAACTAGGTAAGATAATAGCTTGCAACATATTAGCATATATAGGACATAATGGCCGAGCTTTCATTGCTAAGACAAATATTTCAAAATTATTATATCACACTGCATTTTGAGGGGACTATCTTGACATTAAAAGTCAAATTCTGAGGATCCATCAGCATTTCTCTAAACAACTCACTATTATATTATATTAACCAGTATCAACTAGCGTAGGAATGGTGAGTATTTCAAAAAAAAAAAAAAACAATCATACCTGGACGTGTCGCTGCCTTAACAAGCTTTCATATCGAGCATATGGAGGAACTCGAATGGATATTCCTAGTGCATGACAATCTCCTTTAAAACGCTTATCCAGTAGCATACTAAAATCTATTATGAATTGTTAAATTTAGAGCAATGATCAAATTTTATATTGACCAATATTAAAGGAATGAAAAAGAAAAAAAAGAAACCAAGATGCGATTTGTTTATAATGCGTGAAGACTGATTCACTAAGTTTGAAAACGAACTGATCGAAACAAAGATTTACTTCGGCTTCAACCTCGTCATATAGGAATTGCTTACGGAATTTGTATAGTGAATAATCAGCCGCATCATTATATAAATCAAGTTGATAAAGTATACACCTGCATTATAGGAAAAATAATTTATATATATGCCTATATAATCATAACTAATTATTAAAATATTTTACTCGATAAGTTTAGGATCTTGACTGGTCAAAATATAATCTGTAAGAATCCATGGCATTGACATATCAATAGGGAATTGAATTCTTCTACCCATAGTCATTTCCAAGTAAAATTCGCGAAACCACAGCTGGGAAAGCTCACAACATTCACTTAATGTTTCTGCAATCCGCAAAATAAACAAGTATTTAAGCAATAGAAAAAAAAGAAATACAAAAAATATAGACTATTCCTGAATTGATAAGAAAAGGATAAATTTTTTAAAAAATGAACCAGAAAGGGACAATAAATAAGGCCAATGATAGCTCATTCGAAGAAAATTTGCGATTCTATCAACATATTTTGCTTCAATATCCTTTTTCAAAACTCGGCGACTACCGCTTCGTTCAGAAATCAAGGACTCCGTCATCGTTCGCGCCATATAGAGCTGAATAGATCTTATCTATTTTTTCAACCGATTCTTCATTTTATGCAGAAAAAATCAATGTGCAAAATGAAAATATCTAACCTGCGTGGTACTTGGGGCGATGGAACGTCGCGCCTGCCGTATATCACTAAAAGAACCCACTGTAGATTGTCGCTGTTTTCTTTGTTTGACGAATTCAGAAGAATGCGAATCAAACTGACCCATACGGTTATCAACACAAGTATCACAAACTGACTGAATTATGCTACAAAATAATTTTATAAATAAATACTAAATAATTCTAATCGAATGGTTAATTAGTATGAAATAAAAACGCAATTTCAAAGCATGGATCAAACTTATTTCGTCCTTAATTAAAATATATGAAAATGCACCTCGATAATAGATCCCTTTTATTCTTCAAAGCTTTATGAAGAGGTTCTTTAAGAGTAAGCTGAACGAAATCTTGCAACTCAGCATAAATATGCCTTCGAACAGCCATATTCAAAGTAGACTCCATTCTTCCCAACATCGACTGGACACTTTTGATCATGGATATTGTCTGAACATAACATTATAAAAATTATCGTAAAAAATAGAATAAAAAATGAAAAAATACAAAAAATAATAACTTCAATCAAAGCAGCTTTTTCATTAGACGAATAATTATATTTTGTAGCTCGTTCGTATTCTTCAGCATTTTCAGGACATTCTGGATTTGACCGGTGATCAGTGGGATGCAGAAGTTTCCAAGATACTGTCTCGACAACATCACTAGTCCAACCACATAATAATTGTATTCCACTTAACAACAGTTGCGTAATTTCTCTGTTCTCAGCATCTGAACGAGGTCCATCTTTATCACAGACAGCAATCTGAAATCAAAGAAGCAAATCACAAAAATATTTGAAACAAATTAAAATTTTAAAAAAATTCTGCTAAATATTTTGGAAAAAAAACCTCATTATTTAGACGAGAAAGATGAGTAACATATTCAATGTGATGGTCTCTTATAGTATTAACTTTTTCCGCTATATTCACATGACACCTATCGCCTTAAAAAAATAAAAATTTAAAGAATTCTTATGATAATGGGTAAGCCATTCAAAAATTGGAAAATGCCGATTTGTTTAATTCAATCTGAAATTAATAGAAAAGAAAATGCGAGAAATTCAACGCATAACACACCTTCAACAGAAGAATATGGCCATTTTGAGGAATCAAAAAATGGCGAACGCTTTACAAAAGAGAAGGGCTGAATTTGCATATCACCAAATAATGGTACCACTTCTAGTGACTAAAAATTATTATAGAACTTTCCAGTCAATTGATGAATATTTTATGCATCTACCTTTTGATCTTAATCAAACCCTTCTTACAAATTTCAAAACTTCAGAAACCTGGAAAATTTTATCAAGTTTGGAAATATTGATTCGTTTGCGTTGATCAAGTTTAGCAACATTAGGAACATCACCATCCATTAAGAAAAGTGCGAATGCAATAACCTAAAATGCACCCCGCAAAAAGTGAGAGCAAAAATTTTACGATTATTCTGAATAAAAAATATGAAAGAAATACTTTAACAAACATATGACGCTCAGATGGAGTAATATACATATGATTTTCAAAAAGAAGAACACATATATTTACGACGTCCGCCAATAACTCCTCATAACCAGCGATCTAAAGATTCTAAAGATTTTTAAGATTTTTAACTTGAAAATGAAATAAAGTTTTTTCAACGATATCAATGAAATTGCACTCAAACTTCCCTTCTAAAAAATTTTTTAGTTTTTCAAAATTTATTAGAATCTACCATTCTAGAACCAAACACATTTTTTACTACATCTACTACAATAAATATCATTTCCATAGAATCAATGAAAAAATAAAAAAAAATAAAGAAGCAATAAATAAGGATTAGATATAGGAATAACAAATAACTTCTTATAATCCTTGGCTCTTCTGGTAGAAATAAAAATAAAATAGATTATCTGGAAAAAGAATTTTGAAAATTTATGCTGGTTGACGCTTTATCGAAAGTAAGATTGTTAAGGTTGAGATTACTTTTATATTACATAATCAAATTTAACAAATTCAGGAAATATTTATTAGGAAAAATTTAACGAAAATGACTCGAGTTCAAATCCACGCTACAGAGCAGGAAGTGTTTATGGTTTATGGTGCTCCGATAAAATAAAACAAAAGGGAAGGCCGAGCTATCTTGCTTTAAATTATCATAAAATAACACAACATTCGGCCAGACTACATTTAAACCAGTCCACATGAACCAAAAAAACGATAAAACCAACCAGCTGTAATTCAGATTTTAAAGCATCTTTTATTTTATTCTGCGTTGCCAGGAACATACTAAGATTTTGCATTTCTTGTATCATTCTCGTATCAGACATTACTTGCAAAAACTGGGCAGACCTATAACATCACTTCCAAAAGTAGGCAGACGTGCAACATCATTCTTAAAAATAAGGAAAAAATATTTTTTTCAAAAATCCAAATATTAACGATGTACCGTCGGAACGTAGAAAAGTCATTTTTTATTGATGCCTTCATATTTTTTAGTTCATCTAAAACAGCGAACATGTTCAGTGTCTTTCCAAGAGTCAACAAATATGCTTCTGAGACAAAATCTTTGCGTTTTTCAGGATGACAAAGCCGTTTCACTTCATCACAGAAACGACTAATAGCTCTATTCTTAAAAAAATTTTGGTTAAATATCAAACAAATCAATAGTGTAAACCTTGCTATTACTATTACAGAAGAAAATAATTAAACTCACGGTAAAATGCATGAACTGATGAAGTTTTTCCACTTCAGGATTTAATACTTCAACAACTTTCTCATTTATTTCCACGCGATTCGGCTGATCATTTGATTTTGCCTTTAAAGATTTTTAGAATCCTCAAGAATTTAATATAAAAACATAAACATAATATAAAAACAAAACAGTGCAATTATGAAAAAATATACCGGTGAATATTTGAAATAAAAGAAGAAATCAAAAAACATTAACCATAGGAACAGCACGTGAACAACATCTCCATGTATATAAATGAGCAGCATGTTTGAAACCTTCTCTTAGCAGCGTATTCTAAAGCTTGCTTTACTATTTAATGCGCATAAATTATTACCATCAATAAATTTTTAGATGAAAATATTTTCAATTTTCAACCTAACTTTATACTATCTCTATAAAAAATTAAAGGTTAAACACCGACAAATTCGGCATGTCGTGTTGCTTCTTCGATGTATTTCGACATTCCCGTAACATAGGCATTACGATCTTCAAAATTGGTATCAAAGCTAACGCGACACTGCAGCGGTAGAGACTGTGCTTCAACCGATGGTTGGTCATCGATAAGGACGAGATCATCCAATAACTGAAATGCCAAAACACCATAAGTAATCTTTAAAATAAAATGCTACACCAGTGATTAATGTAGCCTCAAACTGTGGAATTTCGGCTCATTTCGGCTCATTAAAATGAGTCCCTTCGATATGAACCTCAAACCTGCACAAAACCCAAACTTCATTACATAATATAACATGTTTAACACCATTATTTCCTTTAACATTCTTCAAATTTATCCCTCCACCACGCTTTCCCTACAACTCAATAAATCAAAAATCAATAAGTTAAACTTCTTCAGACCTATCTATTAATGAGGTAAATGGTTTCTTCGTCATCTCTAATTAGATTTGATCTAAAACGTATCCAATACATATAGCCGTAATTCATTCGATCTTGCTATATGGTTCTGAGACCAATGAGAGTGAAGGATATTAAAAAGCTATATGCCTTTGATCATTTTTATCTTAGGTATATTTCACAGGTCCGTCGAGCGGATCAAATATCACATGTTCGCATCCACCATCGTTCAAACACCACCTGTATTAATAATGTTATCACAGAGCGTCGCCTTCGGTGTTACGGTACGTTCTCCATCGTCCACCACAAGTGTTCTCGCATATTTCGTTATTTGCCAAACCGTGTGATGAATGGCGTCAAAAGCGAGCTGGGCCTGGACCGATACGGTCAGGAAAGATTTTAAATATAGATGGACTTAGACGATGAAAAAGGAATGGCTTCTATTACTGTCGACGATGGCATCAGACCAGGCCGCTTGGAAGCGCCTTACCCTTGTAACCGTTGGAACCAGTAATGATAATGTTAGAAGAAGAAGTACCTGATATCTCATTTATAATAATGTTATAATATGTTCATTAACATTTCCTTAAGTATTTGAAAAAAAAATAGTTGGGAAGGAAGAAACAGAAATCTTCAGTTATATGACCAAAGCTGTCGAATGATCCTTCTGCTATTATTTTTATTTCGCATTCATTTTTATTCATTTTGAGCCAAAGTTTTATTTATTTTGCAATGTTTTTGGAATGAATTTTGCTAAGGTTTATTTTTCTCCACTTTTTTGCAACTAAAATATAAGACTTAAAGTAAGTTTAGCTAAAAACTGTCTCAGCTTATTCTCATTTAAATATACTTTTAGAGTGCTAAGTAGTGCTCGAAGTAGTGTGCTTCTTAGAATGATCAAAAAAAGACCGACTGCCAGCGTCTCGAAGCGCGATTCAAAGAATATCTCTCGCAGTGGAAAACTTAAACCTGTGATTTAAAACGAAATTAATAATCTTTATATTATTTCGATATTGCAATTCCTTTTGTGCTTTTAATTAAATCTATTTTGCGATATTACTCGCATAAAAATAAAAATTAAAGTTCTGCAATTAAATAAATAAATATAGCGAATAATTCGAAAAGTAATAAATAATTAAAAATATTAAAGGATAAGAAAAATGAAATGTACGTCAACATTTCCGATTGCATCTCGAAAAGTCACTGATTCAGTTGTCATATTTCATTTGCGCTTTTTTGCCACAAAAATAAATAAAAATCAGCAAATTTCCATAACTGAAGATATGCAAAATATGTAATTATAGAAATATAAAAATAATCTAATATATTGCGTTACGAAACAATTTCGCCAAAAAACAGCCTTTTGCCTAATTGCTGGCAGAGATACCTCTCAGGCAAAAGGAGAAGAAGCTTGCAATAGTCGACGCGAGGGGCTGCTGAAGTGCCGCAAACTGGCAACGAAACGGCAGAAACAGACAGACGAAAAAAGCGGGAGGAATCCAAACGCCTGCGCATTTTACACATTTTACATAATAAAAACAAGCAAAAATTGCAGAAAACAAATATTCGCTTTTCAAAAGATGGGAGAATGCTTCGTCGTAAATGAAATATCTCCTAAGCATTAAAACAAAAACCCCCAATATTTCTAAATATTAATAACAATTATACCACAAACTACAACCAAAAAAGACACTTTTTAATCCAAAATACCAAACATATCAATTTTTTCGCAGAAACCGATGCGAACTCCTCAACCTCTAATAATCGGTCTCATATCCGCAATCTGATTTCCCGTCCACTCAAATTTTTTAATTTCCTTGAACTCTGAAGAAAGCACAATTTTCCAAGTATTCTGCGACACGAAGTCCTAATGGAAAAGTGTACGTAACAACCAAGCGAATGAAATACTTTATGCGATATTCAACACAAAAACAAAATTAAACCCCAACAGCGCTATTTGTCGGTTATAGGTTACAGATTGACCACTGACAATTTAGTGTCCACCTTTTGTCTTGTCGCTTCGTAAAGTTCTAAGAACAGGTAACAAATTCAAATAACTAATAAGTATTTTGGCAATGCGTATTTAAAATTTGGCAAATTTCATTTCGATCTTTTCCAAGGTCGTGGCTGAGATGATTCTACTTGAATACCAAGTGATCGTAGTTTTTCATGTGCCTTAAAAATGAGGTTTTTGAAATATAATTTTAAAAAGAGTGTTTTATTACTTGAACTATTTTTTCGCTTTAGCATTCTTACATTTTTTTAAGTGAGAAATAATAAAAAAAAAAATGAAAAAGAATCGAAAAACGATAAGAAAAAGTGGAACGAAACGAAAAAACAAAAAATTTCAATATTTCAAATCGACCATTCGATGGACTTCTATGTCGTCGATTGTAATAATGGGCATTTTAAAAGCTGCTAAATAGAATGCTTTTGCTTCATCATATCGACCAAGGCGTTCATAAACTTCAGCCAAATACCATGTATTTCTCGAATAAAAATTTGGCTATAAATAAAACTAAATTCTATTTTTAAAAATAAATTGAGCGTAATAATCTCTTAAAATTTGCCTACAGCATATATGTTTATGTTTGTGAGTCGTGCTAACGTTTATCATAGAATGCAGATAAGCTTCTGTTCATTTTTAGCCCATGTTGTCTGTTCTATTTCTATATCTTTCCTTTATTATGCCTTTTTCTTACTTTTTTCTCATTCCAACAGTCTTTTTGCCGCTAATACAAAATCATTTAAATATAAAATATAAGACAATATAAAAAAAGGCGTAATGTACCTTCATTTTCAACGGAATAATTTTAACTAATAAGTGAAAGAATCTGATATAAAAATGAATCAAAGTAATTGATTGTAAATATTCCATTTTGTTAAATGGAAAAAAATGAAAATTAAGTAAAAGGCTGGCGCTCGTCATTTCAGGTTAGACCTGCTCTATCAGCTGTTATTATGGTTAAGAATTTTTGCCAACCATTATTCGAATTGACAAGTTTGCTTCTATCGGAAGCAGAAAGCCGATAAGAACGACAATCTGAATAAATATCCACCCAGCTACTTTCTACCCATTTTGTTAAGTACCTTAATACTTTAAAAAAATTTTATAAACGATTTGTTGGTAATGACCTTTTTCATTAATAAAACCATACTTGAACTGATTCAGCTTTTTCAAAATATTCCAATGCACTTTCAAATGTTGATAACGGTGGAGTTCCAAAAATCGTTTTAGCAATCAGTCGTAGAGGATACGATAAATCAGCACAAGCGAAATGCCAAACACCTTTAATAAATACTGAACAATAGTCTTAAAATATTAAAATAAAAATAGAGTTATAAAATTAAATTTTTAAAATGTTCCAAATTTTATCATTTCTTCTAATAAATAATAAATATGCTTACCTAATAAATGCCAAGTCGTTGGATCTTTATCGTTAATAGCTAATGCCTTTTCAAAATGCTTACGAATTTCATAAGAATTGAGTATCTGTTGTCGATAGCCTTCAAATTCACCAATATAATTTAGTATAATTCCATACCTAAAAAACAAACTAAATTCAAATAAAATGAATCATTTATTTATTTAGAAATTTATCTATTTATAAATAAATTTATAAATAGCACCTGCAGTATCAAATCTCATATACTTCGATCTGTGTTATGACATAGCTTATTTATCACTCTTTATTGAACATCGTTACTGAACATCGTCGTGAATTAGTTCACTAATATCTACTTTTATTCTATTCAGTTTTATATTGTTTTATTTTATATATCATATCATTTCCTTTAATCAGATTGTAATTGTTGCAGGGCTTTAACAAAATATTACGATTGCAGATTGTTTTGGGACATAACCGACTTAGCGAAACAGTTTGGAATATTTAAAAAAATGTATAAAATGCTTATTTACCATTTATGGGCATTAGCACAATCTTTTTCGCTTTTATCAATAGCTTTTTTTATAACGTCATAAGCTTCATATATAAATCTTTTTTTCTCACCAACATCCTGCAGATTGTAAAAATTTGGCAAAAGAAAAAATTATGAATTGGAATTTCAAAAAATTTAAGAAAATCAAAAAGCAGAAAAATAGTGTTTTTGTTTTCTAAATAAAATTGTTAAAAAAAGTGAACATATTGATTCGATTTGAATTGAAATAAAAACGAGCCCTTGTAATTTTGCTTTTTTCACAAAGAATTCGAGCTAAACGCCATAAAATTTCGGTGTTTTCACTATCCTTGTACCTTTAAATTACAATTTTAGTTTTTATAAATTATAGAATTATTCAAATGGAGAAAAGTTGCTGTAGCAATGGCTTATGCGAAAGATTTAAAAAAATCTTATGGATCTATCTTATCTGATACGGCGTTGATGAGAAGGCATATTTTCTATTTCCTCTACACTTAGTTATCCTTTTTTCTCATTCATTCCTATAAATGAATAAGCCAACTGCGGTATCAGTAACGATGAGTCTTAAAAAAAAGACCTGAAAGAAAAAACAAACTTTCTCAAAACCGAATATGCTTTATCAATGATATAATTGTCGTAATAAATATCGCTTTCTTCAATGATCTGATAAACTTCTTCGGATTTACAAATCACTTTACTTGTTAAATAGCAAAATGATGGAGTGACAATTGATAATAATGCAAATCCTGTTAAAAACCATTTCTTTCACCTATTTTTCCAAACATTTCAAAATAATTTCATTTATTCAGCTTCTTTTTTATTTCTCTGGAATAAGTACATTTTTTCAAAAATTCCCATTGCGTTTCTGCGAATAATCACTACTTTTGATCAATCGTTCTACGCAACGAGCTGATTACTGCGAATTCAGCAGATATGTCATTCGCAAGCGGTTCGCCAGGCTTCAACTGAATCCAACGCGCTCCATTCATTGGGATAATATAATATTTCCTACTGAAAACAGCCAACTGCTTGCCGAATTAGCAGCAAACAATAAGCACGAAATACTATGCGTCAGGTGCATTTCAAAGGAGTAATTAAATTAATCAAACTTGTTCTCCTTTTGGCTGCGAAAGGTAAAGTCGGTGAGTGCCTCGCACGTACCAAATTTTTAATTGCTCTTTCAGTGTTTCTTTGCGATAGCTTAAATAAATAATTTCACTGATCGAGAGAAAAGCATGGCTGGTGCATTACAAATTAACTTCATTGACTTTTACCATTAATCATGGAAAATTATTTATAAAAATATTATCAATGAATATTGCATAAAATCGCAACGAATTAACAAATAAAGTATAAAATATAGTTTAAAAATAATAGCATAAAAAGCCATAAATACTAGGAAACAACTTTAAAAGATAAACTCACCAAATTCATCGAGAATCGCGAATTACTAGCGACCATTAAGGACCAAAACTGCTGGAAAAGCATTCCTTCCTGAAACTCCGCTCCACCTATTAAACACAAAATAGATAAATATTAATAAATAAAATGATAAAGTACTAAAACTTCTAAATATGCATCATTTCGGCCGACTTTTAGTATTGCAAATTTTTTGGTGCAATGTGCATGAACGTTTGGAAATGTTTTGGTGGTGAGAGGCGGTTGGGACTTCTTGCATGGTTGTTTGAGCCAAAATGATAAGGAATAAGGGTTTAATGAAGGTAGCAAATTTTCTTCGAGCCTGGGGAAAGGGTCATTCAATTTTTTAATTTTTTACGATGTAATTACATAAGCATGAAAATTGGTTCTTTTTGGTTATTTACCCTTATTTACCAACGAAAAAATGAAAAACCCATAAAAAGATAGTACATCACTATGAGAGAAAATATTATCATTGTGTGCGAAACGGATTTGGCGCGGTGAATAATAGGTGAGGAAGTGGTGCGCTAAGGTGGATTATTGTTAAAAAGAGATTGTGGAATTAATTATTGGTTTGTTATTTAGATGAATGACTAAATGAAATAATGAATAGCAAGTGATAATTAGAAGTAATAAATGAGAACAATATGGCCACAATGTGGTGTACAGCTCAGACGGCTGGAGCGTTTCGTAACAAGGGGGCACTCCGGACCTTGACAGGGAAAAGTCTTGCGAATTCGACTGCTCGACTGTAGAGTGCTGCTTCATCTACTCTTCTCTGCCAGAGTGGCTCTTCGGCCGTGAACGGACCTCAGAGCCAATAGCCAAGCCTTCCTGTTAGTCCCCCTCTCACATTAAGCACATAAATATCCATCACAAATCAAATATCTTTTATTTAAATAATTTATTTAATTAAATTTGGTGCAATTCTTCGATAATTTGTTTGAAAATGAAAAAATTTTAAATCAGATTATTTCATTAAGATTCAAATATGGCGCGGCGGAAATTTTTCCTCGTTTTTTCTAGGAATTGATAAATAAAATTCATTTTTTAATAGAAATTATGATATGAAATAAGATTTATAGAAAATTATTTCGTTATTTAGACCGTCGATTGTCGATTTAGACCAAAAAAATGGTTCTTTTGCACCAAGATGATCCAAAAAAAAGTTATTGCAAATTTGTTGACAACAAATCCATTTTGAGAACGAATGGATTATTTAAGAGTCACCTGACGTCCATTTGATAAAAAGAGATGTGGATGAAATATTTTTACTATAGTCATAGTAGTCCATTTTAGAAACTACAAATGAACAAGGAATCGTCACCAGATAAAAAGTATTTTGAAGATCAGACAAAGTTTAAAGAAAAATTGGAACCAGAGACAGCACTCGAGAGATTTGCTGCAACAGTTATTGCTAAAAGTTTTCTTCCAATTTAATTAATTTCCGGAGGGACAAAATAGTAAGTGGAAATGAGTGGAAGTTGATGCCATCGCCTTGAGAGGCAATTGTTCAACTTCTGCCCCCAAGACACATGTACCCCATCAGAAAATGTGGGTATTGTTGATGACCCAACTGCATGACAAACTTTTCTGGCATTTTCATCACCAAGCACTCCACGAAATTTTAAGCGCTAATCATTTGATATTCCAAGTGATTTCTGGATCGTAACAAGTGCAATTGATCGAAATGTTTCAAATAATTGACATCGGAGTTCAACGGCAAATTTACGCTTCGAACGACTAATCATAATTCAATATAATCATAGACTTAAATTGACTTAAGTGGTCTATAATTTTTTTTCAGATATTGAAGGACTTAGAGCTGAATTTGTCTTGCTTGATAGTTTTAGGACCACAAACGACGCAATTTCAAGTTTTATCGAGCATGAAGATTGCAATCGTCATAAGGACATTGTGTGCTATGACAGAACAAGAGTCATACTGAGGTCACCATTATTTCTTAATTAAGGACCAAAGTTGTATTACCAAATTTTTAACTGTTGTCCTATAATGTAGCCTAGCATAAACCATCACTGGCAATATCTGAAGGTAATACCTTATCTTATTCTTAGTTAAATTAATTTATTGATTAATCTTATTTTTCATTGGAAGTTTGCAAAGTTTAGGGATGGTCTTCCACTGGAAACAGATTATATCCACGCTAACTATGTTAAATCGCAATTATGCAAACTTAAAACTACTTATATATGCACCCAGGTGTGTGCAATTAATCTTGCACTTGATTCAAAATAATTTCTTATTCCTTTATACCAGTGGTTTTCACCATTTTCCTTATGCATACTATGTTAAAATAATTATTCCTGGCACCATATCTATCAACTAGAAAGGTTGCCTGTATCTTTGTATGCTGCAGGCCTTACTCGAAGGCCTTTATCCATTCCTCCTTAAATCTTAAATTTCCTTCGAGGGTAAAATTCCTTATCACTGCGAAATTCTGCTTTAGACCCTTGTTTGCTATTTGCTAATTTTGTTAAATTTGAAGTCTGCTGAGTTTAATTGAATACCACTCCACTTATTTAGTGCCCTATGAATAATACAGTTAATGATTTCTGGAGGATGGTTGCGCAGGAAAAGCCAAAAATTGTTGTAATGTTGTGCAAAAATATAAAAAATGGTGCAACAGATTGTGCTCAATATTGTCCTTTAGAATGGGGTCAGTCAAAACAATATGGAAATATTCGTGTGCAATATATGAAAAAGATTTCTTCAATAACCGAAAAGATTAGTTTGGCAGAAAAAATTTTATTTACATAAAAATAGATACAAAATCAGTATGAATAATATAATTAAACACAATAAATAATCTTGGCCAAAAACAAAAAAAATAAGATTTCATATCGTTGACATTTGGGTTCTAATCCGCCGATGCACTCCTTCATCATCTGATGGACAGAAGCAAAGAGGAGTGGAAGAGGCTCAGTGGGTTGTTGATCATTTCGGAGCGCGGATGTTGAGGTTCTATTCTATCAAAAGTAAACCTGTCCAAAAACCCGAGTGATGTTAGCGACTCACCTGTATTTCTATCCCCAAGGAATTCCCTGGCATATTTGTCGAGTGTAACAAGCCAGTGGAACGAGTTTAGCCAGTAATGAGAACTCTTTTAAAAAAACCGGAAAATTTCGACTTGCAAAAATAGTACTTGGTTTTGGGACCCACCTGTATCTGCCTTCACCTTTTTCCTCAAAATGACTCTCTGGATCTTCTCTAGCAGTGAGTGAAACTAGGTAAACCGAACGGTGAACGTTGTTATAAGAAGAAAAATGTGAATAGGAAAAAGGCCAATGCTCTTGAATAATTTTCTAATTTTCACGTATTCGAGACTTTGCAACTTTGTGTAACCATTGGTAACAAGTCGTCCTTTCTATTAACATTATTCAGATGGACGGAATGGTTAGGTAATTTTTCCCTTTCGCAGTTGCTGAGAGATTTTAAATCTATCTCAACTTAAATGTTCTATGAATTTTTGCTATTATTTTCTTAAAAAAGATTTAAAATGCGGCAAAGATTTTTTCTTGAAAATTTTTTTATTCAGATAATAACGGAATACCAAAGTCAAGAATGGGTATGCTGCGAATATTGCGTAAAATTCCTGATCATCCAAACAGCCGTACAATAATTCACTGTTGTGATGGCGTCGGCATGTCAGGAACCATGATAGCATGTAAAATTTCTCTGAAAATACTCCTTGAAGGAAAAAACTTGGATGTCAGTAGCCTTCTCACTTCAGAAGCAAAAAATTCAAAAAAATTTTAAGAAAAAATTTGAAATAAAAATTTCAGTTATTTGAGGTACTTTATCGTTTTTTTTTCAATTTCTATGTACCAAATATAAGTTTAAGGTGATGGATGTGATAAGGGAGATTCGAAGTCAACGTGCATGTGCCGTACGAACCGAAGCTCAGTATATCTATCTTCATAAAACTTTGTGTGAATATATTAGTGCTAAAAAAATTCTAAGAAGGCCCATATTTGATTTTATCAAGTTATGCGAAGCTTATCATGCAAACGTCATTTAATCACTTTGATAGCGATATTTTTTTCATTTTTATTTCCTTTGTCCTTTCATAGAAATCATAAAAAAATTATGAAAAAATCTTGATCTTTGATGCATTTTTTCATAATAAGTTGTTAACTTTGGGTTTTGCTGAGAGAATTTTGAGTTTTTTTATCAGTATAAGTGAATTATTTAAAAATTCATTACAAATAAAAGACCTGGTATTCGCCAGCTTAGAATTGGACAGATTGATCATGACATGGCCTGGTCTTTTTATTTATGACATCGCAAAATTACTAATTGTTCAGTTGAGAAGTGTAAAATAATTCAAATTTTTAAAGAAAGTATTAATAACGGTGATTTATAAAAAAAAAAGATGGAAAACTAGGAATTGTTCTCGAAAAAAGAAAAGGATTCTGATGAAAAATATGGCAAAGCCTTGATCTGATAAACCTTAAACGTTCATTCCTTCTAATAAGCAATTCATTTATAAAAATGAGCATCAAATTTTTTATAGAAGAAATTACTCAGCTAATTAGTTAAACAAATGAAATAGCAAATCGCAAAAATTTCTTAACTCAGTTAATTCCATCGCGAATTTTTTTGATGGATTTTAAGAGCTAAGCAAGTTTTGAAGGTTTCTGGTGATGTTTTAAAACCAGATTCACACGAAAAGTTCGTTTAAAGTTCGTTTTCAAAATGAACCATTTATTATTTCAGATTTACCGCATTCTTTATTAATTTAATGTTCATATTGCAGAAATTATTATTTTGTTATTATTTATTTGTTATTATTATTATTTGTTATTTTGTTATTTGTTATTATTAATATCAGTATTATTATTATAATTGCTGTTATTATAATGTTGTTATTACAATTATAATTATTTTTATTAATTATTATTATTGTTACTCATATCATAGGACTATCTCTGTAAAAGTTATTTGCAAGGCCGTTTATATTATTTGAATTACTGGGAGGCAAGTTTAGGTTTGAAGATGAAAGTCCTTTCAGACCCTTTCCATTTGCGGTGCTGTTAAATCCAGTAGATCCATCGAGGTTGAAATTCCTAGTTTTTCTGTAGAGTATCGTTTTAATATATTGTTGTTGCTTGCTTTGATGTGGTGCGTCATATGATTATTTAATAATAGTGGTAAGGTTCCCGTGGATACTATTACTATCTGGAGTAAAATTTCTCATTGTTCATTGTTCCACTGAAAGGAAAAACTAACTTTGAGCAACATTTATAAAATCCTAGCAAATTTATAATTTATAATGTTTTATTATAGTTCATAGGAATTTAACTCAACTTCTTCATTTTATTAAATGGTTCCGATATAAATACCTTAATAATGATCATTCTCACCAGTTAATTTTTATATACTCCCATCTAAAGCACTTCTTTTAACGACTAAATCGTTTACAAATAATCGGATTTTCCAATGAGTATGGTAAGCAATAAAGCAGAAGTATGATATTCAAGCACAAGCACAATATTCATAGGCATAGTTATCTAAGTTGACTTTCTAAGTTAAGCAGTAATTTATGCTAGGTTTTTCGGCTAAACGGTATTTTTTCAACGATATTATAATGTCTCCGCTTGTCCTCTGCAAGGAGTTCTTCAGTTCTCAGATGAAAAAAGTTTGTCGTTTTTGTATTCAATCTGGTCAGCTAAACCACAAATCGTGAAATATCGTGAAATTGTAAGATAATCTTGTCTTTCATTTAGGCATCTGAATATCTGAAAAGAAAAGTACCTCTGGTATGATCAAGTGGGTTTTGTGTCTTAATTTGATGCTTCACTGTGCTGAGGTTCATTTAACAAAGTTCATCATATCTTTAACAAAAGATTATGAGAGACAATTGTGAACCTTATCCGTTCTGATTTCCCGCACAAACCATAAACCATACCTAACATCAAAATTTGAAAAGATCCAAATTTAGAATAAAATCTAAGTGTATCTAGTATAACCGACTGAGGAAAGAAATAATCAGGAAGTGATTTTCAGGGACAAGATTTCTTTACATTATTTGCACCAATTTTTGACACTATATTCAGTTCAACTCTACCCAGAAACGCGAATTTAAATGGACATTTGAGAAGTGATACTTCGGACGAAAAATTTATACGCGAACGAACACCACCACACTACGAACACAACAATTTCGCAGTACAGCCACAATTTATGATGCCAACAAGTCAACAACAACAAATTCGAAAAGCCATTTCGGTTTAAATCCACTTTTTAATTAAAAATTTTACAGGCTCGAATAATAGATGATAAATGATAGATAGTTTCTAATCTCATTGGCTACTGGCGTTTCGCATGTGGATAAATGATAGATAGCCCGTTAGATACGAACTTGATTTCGTGAGACTGAAGAAGGCATTGCTAGCTGCTGTACTATCTGCGCTTAAATTCTTTTGCTCGAACCTTTGGCAAAACAGTCGATCCAACAATACTTAACCTAGTAGATTTCTTTCAGCGATGGATTTTATAAAACCGACGATTTTCACTATCGGCTTAAGATCTAACACTTGCTGCGGCTCTTCTACTAGCAAAACTAGCAAAAAAAGTTCTACATCATCGATTTATTCAAGATCTGCGATCTGTCGCCTAGATGAAGGGAAAGAAGCCCTATGGCTTCAGCGTCCATCGGTTCTTATCACGAAAGGATGTGTCTGTTCTTTTCGTACATTTTCATTGATATACGCTGGTAAAATGCTTTAGTAACTTGAACAATTTAGGAACTTCATTACAGCATAACATTACAGCATTACATGGATGCCGTTCTACTTTTAGAAAAACTCCGAAATAGGAAGTGGTAACCAATAAAGCGAATGATGGGCTGCAGCTATTTGAAGCGAATACTTGGACAACGCATCCCATTCCACACTAGTTTGGCTAGAACTGTCGTTGCCATAGGAATACTTTAATCCAGTCGAATGGTATTAATTTTTTTTCACCTAGAATATATTCTATGAAGATGAAGATGAATTGCGAAGGACTGCTGCATTTGTTGAACTGCATTCCATCTCATAAACCATCTCCTCTATGAGTTTTATTAGCCTTAAGCTTCTGAATAACGATCAGATGGTGCCGTCAAGTATAATCTTAAATAACTCTCCACATCTTGAGAAGCAGCCTTTGAGAGCCACAATTCCATCTCACATTTTTTCACATTTTTGGATTAATGATCATTTCTCAAGTCATGGTCATAGTCAGGTCGATGAATTGGTTCGCAATTATTGTCTACTTCAGCAACTGCTTCCGTATTCGGGACCTTTGTTTTTGTTCCGTCGTGTCGTTATTGTCCTTTGAAATGTCCTGTAAGGATTGTCTGATATGTTAGCTGGTCTTTTCGAATCGTTTTTTGCAACTTTTGCCTTCAGCTATACCATATTTCAGCAGATTCAGGTGCACACAACACACACACCACAATTCTTGACTTATTTACGGCATCAACGTCCACAATCTTATTTTTTTCCTATTCAAAGAAGTAATCCACTGCACAATTTATACAGCTGGTTGCCGAATACTTCTACAGGGCGATTTCAACACTGGCAATTTTCCACTTCAGGTCTCATTTAGCATAAACTTCATATCACTTGAAAAAGAAAAATCTATTAATATTCAATTCCAAATTACGAAATAATTTTCCAGTTATTTCGAAACATTTTATTTCTCGATTTAGTGATTTAGAGAAAAGAAATCCATCCTTGCATGCCGAGTCGCTGCACATTCGAAATTATTTTAGGTGGCATACAACAATCAAACCGACAAACTAATTCCAATACTGTTCCACGGTCGCCCTTATGGCAATAAATTTGATTATAATAAGAATTTTAGCAGTTCTTTTGCACAGTGAACTGAAATTTTATAAATTATAAATTTATGCAAGAAAATTGATTTCTTTCGGCGAGTATTATTAAATCGTTGATTGATATCTAAATTCAGGCAAACAGATCGTTCGCTTGTGCGAGATGGCGCGACAGCACATAACTTTGGTGAGGATGTCATAAAGGTGATAAATTGGGGTAAACGTGCAAGCATTAATCGTCTCACTTCGGAGTTTTTACGTCTTCTTCCCAGTGGATGGAGGCTTTCATGCAATATAAGCCTAGATTTTTTAAAAATGTTTATGGCATTTGTCAAATGCGAGCGAAAAAAATTGGTTTTATAGATGCTGGGCGAAATATCACAATATTCTGATGTCCATCATCAACAGTTTAATGACTATGGATCAGTTCAAAAACTAATGAAAGCATTCTTTGATTCAATGGTTGAATCAAAAAACGTTCCTCGACGGGTACCAGCCACCATTTTTCCACAGCTAACCTTATTTTCATTTTATTTCAGAGATTCTTAATTCGTACTGATACGACAATTGGCTAAAAAAATTATCACCTATATTTTGGAAATATTAAAAGATATCATTTTTTGTCTCCTTTGTCGCAAAAGCTATTTATTCACTTTTCAAATAAAACAATTTGAACATCACCTTTCACTTTTTCATAGACCTTTTATATTGATTTATTCTAATAATGTTATTAATATTAATAAAAATTGCAGGTTGATCTCCTACCAATTTACGATGGAACAGAATATGGCGCCAATCGTCATATAATCAGCAGCCTCTTTGAAAGTGATATAATACTAACTATGGATCAACTCAAAGGGTAAATATGCTTCTACAAATAGGAATAATTATGATCTTGCAATTTTCCTCACCTTGATGTTAAGAATTCCCCTCAAGATACTTCCATTCTTCGTTTAGTAAATTCTGCAACAATTTTCGGTACATTTAAAATTAGCATATGGTACTTCATTTTCTCATTTAAACTGAATTTTTAAAAAAATTTTTAAACCGAATTTAAGGATCATTTTGGCTGAACAACGGCAAGAAAATAAACGACAAAAACGGAAAGTAATTACAGGAATTGTATACCGCTGGCAAACAAATCGACCTATTCCATATGAATTTAGAGGAAACAATGGTTTAACAGCTACTGAACTTATAATTATAATATACCGAATGAAATTCTCAAGAAAGAAAAAGTAGCAAAAAATATGAAATATTCATTTTAAAGTATTCAGAGAATTGGAAAAAAACAATTCGTTCGAGCCTTGATTTCTGGGAGAAAGAGACTTGTCTTCGTTGGCAAGAAAATGGCTGGGGCAACGATAGAATTATTTTTGTACAAGGCAGTGGGTAATGTTAATGCGATAAACTGATCCAGTTCCAAAATTTCTGAGGAAAAAAACTTCATTGACCTACTAGAAATTTTGCAAATTTTAGATGAAAGACTTAAATTATGAATGATTTTTCAGATGCTATTCGAGCGTTGGAAGAACGGGAGGACAACAGCTGATTTCTATCGGTTTCGGATGTGATCAAGTGAATTCCGTTTCCTATAAGTTATCTGAAAGAATAATAGGATCTATCCTATCCTTTAATAAATTTCTTATCGTTTTTATCAACGCCATTCACATTTCTGGTTATCTCCATTCACCAGTAGGAAAAACATCTTTTCGCATTTGGGCCTCCAGTACCTTATTTTATTTTTCGTGAGGGATTTCCCATAAAGAAACAGCAGTCGAATCAATGATGCTTGATTTTAGTCCAAGTACCATACCATGTCACGATTCTAAACTTTTTATTTTCATTAATTTTTATTGATTTCATGGAATATTAATCATGAAACAATTAGGAAATTTAATTTAAAACTGAATTTAAAATTTATATGAATTTATGAATTTAAAATATGGTACAATTTCATATTTACCAAAGTTTTCTAATTTTTCAAAAAATTTAAGAAAGGAATAGTAACGCACGAAATTGGGCATTCGTTAGGTTTTTGGCACGAGCAGTCTCGAGCAGATCGAGATTATTACCTACGTTTACAGCACAAGTACATTGCTCGAGGTAGCGAAGGCAATTTTGTTAAGCGATCGATTGTGGAAAGTGATAATATGGGATTACCGTTTGATTTTGGTTCCATTATGCTTTACGGACCAAATGTAAATTCCCGAATATTTATTTCATATTTTTAATTTTTTTAAAAAGTTTTAAATCTTATTCATGATTTTTTTTTGTTCTCAAACTTGAATTAAATTTTTTTGTGGTATTTTGCTATTGCTATTGCAATATAATAATGTAACCAATTCGACTTCCACCAAAAAATAAATATAAACGCAATTTTAGGCATTTTCAAACAACTGGAAACATGCAACCATTGAAACAATAAACAAGAATTATCAACATACAATCGGACAACGAAGCGGACCATCATTTATCGATGTGAAACAAGTTAATCGGTTATACTGTCATGGTAAACCAATATCATTTCGACATTTCGACCGATCAACTGCAACAGCCTATGAAAATCAATTTTTTTTTTTGAGAGCAAATAGTATTAATGGTTAAATTCGCTTCGCTGGCTTGTCGCACTGGACAAACTTAACAGGAACCCCCTAGGCGATAGAAATAGAAATAGAAATAAATAGAAAAGCCCCTTGGCGATAGAAACTAAATCGTCAGCATCACCCCGATTTTTGTACAAGTTTATTCTTGCCGAAAGTGGAACTCCACCATCGATGCCCGAATTGAACAACAACTCACTGAGCCATTCTCCTTTGCTTCTCTCCATCAGACGACATTACCGCTTGACGAAGAACGGTGCAGATTCGAACCTAAGGCTCGATTCTCTGCGACAATTATCTTACCACCGAGTCAACGGCTTTTATGAAAAAATCTTATGAAAATAAATTATCGCAGGAAGAACAATTTAGAAAATACATACAACTTAAATTGGAACATTATTAATTCCACTACCTTATTTTAAAAATTTATCAGTAAATGGTGTTTAGTATACACCTTGCTCTTTCTCACTTTAATTGCAAAGTTTATCAAAGAAAGAGATGAAATCCATGATGCCTCATGGATTGATATATAAACACACTACTCAGCCATTTTATTACTTTACTTTATTATAGCTGTTAAAAAAATAAAGTCTAACACTTGCAAGCACCATTTATTTATTCATTTTACTATATCGTCATTCTATATTCCTTTAATCCACGGAATGGTAACATTATAATATTCTTACCCCATAATTTCACACAAATCGCGATAAATATCTCAATGATTCATGAACTGGTTCTGCAATGGAAAAGGCGTTAGAAGCGAAAAATAATTTTAAATAAAATAAAAATAAATGATTCTATTTACGAATGAAAATTATAAAATAAATGATATAAAAAGAAATAAAACCTAGAAATATAAAAAAGCCCTGGACTTAGACCTCAGCGGCAAATTCTCTTTCATTATGCTGTCAGAAGCAGAACTGGATAATAAATTTCATCACAGGTCACGTACTTCCTTTTGTTCCCGTCTCCACACTTCATCTTCCACACTGCACCATTTATAATCTCACTTCTAGCGCGAAGAAACATTACCATTAAAATAAAAAAATTTATTAACGGAATTAATATCCAGTGTTTTCAGATCGTTGTTTAACAATCCTAAGTCTTCCTTGCCGAAATGGTGGTTATGCCGATCCAAATAACTGTCAACGTTGTAAATGTCCATCAGGCCTCGGTGGTCCAATCTGTGATGATGTCCAACCAAGTGAACATTTATGGAATAAATTTCATTGAAATTGGTGACTGATCAAGTGAACAATAATTGATAAGAAACCAATAGAAAAAAATTCTTACCAATAGAAAACATCGTATTTAAAGCAAAACACCGTAGCGCAAAGCAAATATTCAAAAATTCAAAATATTCGAATAAAGTATTTAAGGTAGCTGTGGCAGAGAACTGATTGCCACAGAGACATGGCAAAAACTATCCCATGCGGGGAAAGAAAAATGTTATTGGCGTATAAAGGTTAGCTCGATCTTTTCAAGAGAAAACCTTTGCAACAAAATCTTTGAATAAGGCATAGATAGCAAACTACTTAAATTACATTTTCCCCTGAACCATTATTTTTGGTTTAGGTCCATTAATTATTAAGTCAAATAAAACCTTTCGTCAAAGAATCGCTTATCAATAGGGTATTTTTAATGAAAGAATCAGTAGCATTAATTACGCTCGACAGAACCAAACTTAAAACATGCGATGCTTCATTCGAGGTAAACTCGACCATTTAACCTGAAAGAAGATTTCGCATTCCAACACCAAAACATTCGAAATTCTCTAAAGAACAAAGCCCATCTGAAGGAAAATTGACAGCAAAACAATTTCGATGACAATTTTAATTTTGACAAATAATTTACATATTCGTTTAGAGTTTATAAAAAAAATTTATTTGAGACGAATAATGCAAAAATCCGCTTACACGTCGAATTAGTTTCTTTTCGCTGCGAAATTACTTGTCGTTCATATATCGAAATAAAACATAATTGGGATTTTCAACAAACTGGTTTCCGAATTTGGTGCGAAAACTTTGCATTAAATAAAGATGAGCCATTTTTTAAATTGAAATGAATTTTTTGAAAATTGCATCATTAATTATTACACAATCATCCAATTAACTGAAACGTGGTAGAATTTTGTTTTAGCTGTAATGAACAAATGGAAGTGATTTCTGATGGGAATGAAGTGATCGTAATATTCGATGCGACAGAAGTTGACAGAGATGGATCATTTATTTTGCTATTTATAAAAGGTAAAATGAAAAAATTGAAAAGTGGATAATTGCAGGAACTGAAAAATTTGATCCAAAGATCCAAAATCATGTTTAGATTTGAGTAACATATATGAGATAATCCTAAAAAAAAAAAAACACTGTGGAGTCTGACTGCTTAGCGCAACACACAGAGTCACAAGATCGTGGATCTAAAACTATTCTCCTTCTAACAGCTCTCACCATTATTGGTTAGGCTGGCTCTGGCTACAAGACGTCTCCAAGCTGTTCGGTCCGATGCCATCGATAGTAGTAATAGAAGCCATTCCTTTTTCCATTGTCTAAGTCCATATATCGCTGGTGCCCTTATACGTTCAAAATCTTTCCTGGCTGTATCAAGTCTAGTACAAGTCTTAACTGGCCCTCCTCGCTTTTAATTCCAACAATCACACGGTTTAGCAAGTAACGAAATATGCGTCCACTCTTGTGGTGGACGACGGAGAACGTGCCCTAACAAGCGAAGGCGACGCTCTGTGATAACATTATTTATTATGTGATAACATTATGTATTTGAACGAAGGTGGATGCGACCATGTGATATCCTATCCGCTCGACCTTAAACAAGAGTGGTCAAACACAGATAACTTCTTAATATCCTCCACCCTTGGCAATATCTCAAGGCCATATAGCAAGATCGAACGGATCACGGCCATTTAGATGCGGACTTTCGTTTTTATGGTGGATTCACGACTCCATAAAGGTTTCGTCAACCGGAAGAACATATTTCTAGCTGCTGTGATCCGGATTTTGTCTAGCTATTTGGTATTAGAGTGGACCCAAGGTATTTAAATTCGGGTACTTCCTCAACCGGCAATGAATTTACAAAAAGCACCATTTTATCAGCATATAAGACGAAAGCACTTTCGTTTTATTTACATTGATCCTAAGTCCGATTCTCGCTGCGGTTGTCGACATACTGTTTATTTGCATTTCATTATAACTATCAGCAAAAAGGACTACATCATTAGCGTATTCAAGATCTGTGATACGATACTCTGGACTGATTTGGATACCTCTTGAGTGCCGACAAGCGGCATCCATTATCCAGTCTATAGCGTAGTTGAATACTGTAGGAGAAAGGATGCAGCCCTGACGGACACTAGACACTAGCTCTTATTTCGAAGAAATCTGTCAGCTCTCCATATACAAAGACCTGCGCCTATGTGCATCATAAAATGCCTTTATGAGACGAATGATCTTCTCTAGAACACTGTCGCCTTCCATCATCTTCCAAAGTGCGGCTCTATCAATTGAATCAAAGGCAGCCGCAAATCGATGAAACACGTGACAGTGGGTTGCAAATATCTGAAGCGATGTTCCAACACCCTTCTTAACGTAAATACTTGGTCAGCAAAATTGCGTTCCGGTCTAAAACCCAGCTTGATTAGAACGCATCCTGCTGTACTTCCATAAGTCTGTTGAGTAGCAGGAAAGCAAAAATTTTCGCTGAGACGTCTGATTCCTCGATAATTGTCGAAGTATGTCCTATCACCTTGAGAATTGGGAGCAAAATTGCTTTGCTCCAATCATCTGGTAATATTTCTTTTTTCCATACCAGAGAGTACATTTGTTGAAGGTGCGTTATGAAGGACGATGGACAACATTTGAAAAGCTCAGCCCAAAAAAACTATATTTATATTCGAGTAAACCATTACTAAAACCATTACCATTTAGATTCGAGCAAACCAGTGCGAAAACCGTCACCATCGAACTGGCATCCAGGACGTGAAAACCGACCATTCAGGAATATTGCTGGGTATGGTAGTGGTGGACCAGTTGAACGCTTCATTCTCAATTTCATTCCAAGAGTTCGCGACCAACGATATCCAGCTATTTCAATTGCATCAATCGTTACCGACTTTACGCTTGAACGAATTCTTAGTGCAACGGAATTAAGAAAAAAAAACTTGTTAAAAATTCAAACAGACACAAAAACAAAAGAGTGGTAGGCAGGTAGGTCTTAATTATAGGTTCCAATACATTAACTGTTAAGAGGAGAAAACTTTATAATTAAAAATGAAATCCGAAGGATTTGTACAATAAGTAAGCACCTTATTTACAAATATATAGGAAAAAATCCGTTTTTTTTTAAATTTTATTTGTAATTATTTATTTTTATTGTAGAATATTTTCATTTTTTATCAAATAAAAATTTTAATCAAACATTTTCAATAAATAATTTTTAATTCTATCAAAATTCGTCATTTATTCGATTTCAAAATTATTTAAAACAACCTCGAATCTTTTTTGGAAAAATTTTATTAAATCTCGAATTTCCTGCATAAAAGATTTGGCTTTCGCGTACCGAAACTCATTTGGCTGCAGCTATTATTAGTTTTAAACCATTTGCCTATAGTGACACTGAAATTCAATGCGGTGACAAACAAAACAAGGTCGCTTACATAAGTCTTTATTAAGCCACCTTCCAAGGTTCCTAAATCTTTCTTTTTTAACGACAAATCATCGGATATGCTTATTCCTCTAGGATAAACCATCTCTGATTTGGACAACTCCACTGAAGTCGAGCGAGATTCGGCAAGAGAAATATCACATGGTGCGCTGCAAGCGCGCCGAATCCACTCTTTTAATTCCAAATTTCCTAATTTCTGTGGACAAAGATGAAAAGATAAGCCTTTTTTGGAGAAAATCACGTTAGAAAAGGTAATCGCTTCCTTCTTACCCATCTGGCACCACCTCCGGTGCCGAACAATTTGTGTCCCTGTGGGCAAGATGCACAGCATAATAGACGGCACGATATTCTATAACCTCATAGCCTCCAAATTATAGTGATAGAGCTAATGCTAAATAAAACCCTCCCAATAACTGGTCTTCCATAATTAGATTTCTCCATTACCTATCTCCCCTTCCGCACCTAAGAAACTGCGGCACTTATTTTTTTAAAATGCGGCCATTTAGAGATGAAGAGATTGGTGAATTGGGTTAGACATCTAGAGGAACACAAATATTGAATTGATAATTAGTTGTGTTTGGATAATTTTGGACCCTTTTTTGTTGCTGAGGTTTTGTAGCTTTTGCGTTAGGGTACAAGTCTTTTGGATGTCCAGTGATATCATTCTTTGTTTAAAAAACGACTGAATTTTACGAAATTTTTGAATTTTTTTAAAAAATTTTTGATAGAAATTATTTTCTTCCGTTTTAATTATTTTAATTCGTTAAGGGGAAATAACCGTATTTGTCCATTAATTGTCCACGAAATTAAATAAATTCGTCGTTTAATAATTTCTTTAAGGATTTTTATGGATCAAACAATTTGAATTTTATTGATTTTAAATTATCCACTGATTTATTCGTTTTAATTCGCACTCCCCATAGGCGGCATACGGCAATAATTTAAATTTTGTGCACCTATCTGCTTAACAGATTTTTGTTGTGATAATTAGCAAGCAACGTAAAGTAAGTGAATAAGTGGGGATAAAATGGCTCAGTGGGTTGTTGCTTAATTGGGAGCGCCGATCTGAGGTTCGATTCCCCGCAGGAGTAAACCTTTACATAAACCGACTCACCTGGTGCTCGCGACTCACCTGTATTTCTATCGCTAAAGGACTCCCTGGTATATTGCCCAATGCGACAAGCCAGTGGAGCGAGTTAAACCAGTAATGGGGAGGACTCTTAAAAAAAAAAGTGATTAATTCAGTAGGATTTGATCTTTTCGATATATTTTTCATAGAGATGCAAGAGACGCATTTCTAGGTTAATGGGATGGTTAAGATCCACTCTTATGGATAGGTTTTTGAACGTTGCTGGTTATACTCGCTTCATTTCGGCTTATCGAGCCATGCAAATCTTGTCACGGAGTCGCTTAGCTGTAGAATTGCACAAACGTTCCCTGCAGCTCCAGCACTGGTACGCGGAAATGAAATAACTATTTAAGCCATTTTACTGTACTTCACATTAGCCGTTCGATGGCGCTAGATTTATACTCGAGTTATCTTTGATCCTCAACGTTCCCCAAACATCTCTCAGTTATCCAAATGATTTCTTCATTCCTCCCACGTCTTCAGGTCTCCTTAGCACCTATAAAATCTCATCACTTATAGATTCCAAATCCTTTACCTTTTTTATCCTTTCGATAACTACATTCTTCCATTGAATCACATCTTTGCGCCGAATCGCTTCCGTAACTTCCATAAATCGTTTATATAGATGCAATTTGCATAGATATAATTTGTCATGCCTTATCATACTGTCAAATCCCACTAATTCTAGACTTTTTCCTCATACTGGCGCAAGTTTTTTATGAGTTGCGGATCGATGGAATGCCAGTTAAGCCTCTGCTAACATCGGAATATAGAATGCATTTAAGCATAAATTTTTTATTTTATTTCCCAAGCTTATTTCCAGTGTTTTTTCTCAATTTTTTTTTCATTTTGCCTCTTTCTGGCCGATAGACTTCTTTGTTATTTACTGATAGGTTCTTGAATGATAGGCAGTAAATCCATATCTTTTTATCGTCCGATAATTATAAACATTGGGCGGTTGGGTACAATCTTGCTCATTGTCGCATAGGCATTAAATAGCTTTATACGGGAGATAGCGATATATTCTTACTTATCGTTTGATGGAAATAATCTGTTTACGATGGTTATGTAATATTAATGCATTTAGGAATGTGAAAGTTAAATTTAAAAAAAGTCTTCGAAATGTTATTTTTTGTACATAGTTAGTTTTTAGTGTTTTATACTTATATTTCAGAATGGTATTATCAGATGAGAAAATAACGGTTCGTCTTAGCGCTGTTGATCGAACAGTGGAATCGATAGAGACGACGTCGATGTGGGTTATACATCATCGAGATTCAGCAGCTCAAATTGCTTCTTGTTGGATGGAAGCATTTAAGATCGGTTTGATTTTTTCTTTTAACCAAGATTTCTTTAATCTTGTAAAGTTGAATTAAACTGATGATAAACATTTGATTTTTGTTTTTGTGAAATTATTGCGTTTTTTAAAAAATGTCGGTCTTATGCATTGTGTAGAACCATAACTTTTTTGAAAGTCGATCTTTTTGTTCAAAATAACCGGCATCGTAATGACTATTTTTGCCAGCGTGGTTTAAGTGCATTTATCCCGTTTACATGACACAAGAGCTATTCATTGAGTGGTAAGCTGTTCTGAGTATCATATGTGTTATTATTTAAATATCATTGTTGGTAATTGATTGAATTATTTGAATATTTTCTGGAAAAAATCTTTGAAGTTCTGTGATAAGTCTTATATTCAAGTAGTAGATCAAAAACGAAAATTTTTTTGTAAAAAACTTTTCTCTTTCTCTTATTTTCTCTTATTTTTTTCTTGTAAACTTTCTATCTTGATAATTTTATTGCCAATTACCTCTTATCAATTTGACTTGCTGGGCAGCAGTAATCTTGCCATTAAAATCAAATCCAGATGGGGATTTGCCTATATTGCTATCTCTAAATAACTATGGCAAAGATTCAAGTAAACGGCATCCACAAATTTCTAGGCTTCATATTAACCCAGTGATATATATCATAAATCCGTGAATTGAACTTGAATATAGCAATGTTAAGAAGGGCCATATAAGGTTTTTCAGCTGAGGAAATTGCTTTATCCTACCTAAAGAAGTCAGGCAAATATCAGCCCGTTCTTTGTGCACGCACCGAACGTCTTGGTTATAGCAACGGGAACGCCAGAACTTATGAATGTTGGGGTGATAATCATCCACACTTTGTCCAAATGTTTTGTGGGTATTATTCGCCTTTCAAAATTTGCATTTCTAATTCTGGGTCCAGAGCAGAGATTATACTTGGTTTGAATAAATATTGCTAAGTTCCTCACAGTGGTATTTCGAACAATTCAGGTAGAAATGGAGTTGCGATTGTCATGTCCGAAAAGGCACAGTCAGCTTTAATCGTATGGAACCCCTGTTAATGTAAAGCTAACTTTTATAACATCTCGTGCTTGCGCTTTGCATGGATGATCTGGGTAAGGATAGATTCTGTGCCGGTCATCGAAAACTCATGTCTATTTTGCAAGATAACTGGATAAATAGTCAGTGAAATAATCCTGAAATATAAGAGTAGAAATCCAGTTAAGATCATATCACCCGATGAAGAAAGTTTTTCGAATCTAAATTTAACTACGACAGGCATCTACCATTTCGGACTGGAGCGCATTCAAAGTCGTATTTGTATCTGCTACTAATTGAGCATGGAATAATCTCCGTTCATAAGCTTAGGTTCAGTAATACTCTCAGAGATGGTCTGCGAGCTGAAACCTTTAAATCTTTGATGTCCAATATCCTTTTAAGAAATTTTTTTAAATACACCTGCGGAAATTTTCATGAATTCTACTTATTGATATGAAAAAGGAGGTATAGTATAGTAATAGTACCTAAAGATTAGGACGAGGCAGTTCTGCTCCCAATTCCCAAGAAAAATGATGGGGCTCACTGCGGCAGCTATCGTGGAGGTGTCTAGATATTTCTATGAGATGATTTTTGTCTGTTTTGCTGAAAAATTCATAGTAGTGATTCTGTGACAGCAGGACGTGCCCCAAACAAATGAAGTTTAAACCAGGACATGAGTGAACATCATTTGAAGTATCGACAACTTACCATTCATCGACTTTGCCTTTGATTCGGTCAGCTGGGTGGCGCTGTGGTAAGTCATGTAATAGGTGCTCCAGAGAAGTTAATCAAAGCTGTCAAAGCACTTTTTTCGCGTATATTAGCACAGGTAGCAGGAATTGGTACAATCTTTTGAAATACATATCAATTTGCCTCGAGGCTGCAGTTTCTTTACAATTTTTACTTTGAGGTGGATTGGGTTATGTATATCGCTGAAGAGGTCGCAGACTTCGTATACGCTAATGTTATCGAATTACAAAGGAACTACAAGGGACGTTAGACGGGTATTGAGCAACAGTGAAAGTTGTCCTTCCATGTAAATTAGACGAATTTCTTTTCTCAGATACTAAATGCTGATATAATTGCATTTCGAATAGATTTAATTCAACGGATTCAACGAATTCAATGGTCGAAGAGGTGGAAGAAGTGCTTTTTTATTTTAAATATCTGAGATATCCATTCTCCTACCTAATGGCCAGGTGGTAGATGAAATTCCAGCTTAGATAGATGCAGCCATGGGGTGTTTGGTCTGGCAAACTTTGGATTTGCGAAATTAGCCTCAAAAACCACACTCCTGCTCTATCACTGCGAAACTTGGCCGTTGAGAATGAAAGGTTTGGAAGATATCTTTTTGATAACTCTTGTCTAAGATACATCCATAAATTTCAAATGCTTTCATCCATCTTCTTTGGCATGCCATCAACATAACGAATATTATTGCAAAATGTCATTTTGCTGGTTTGGTCATGTCGACACAGGAATTGGCGAATACCATGCTAAACCCCTTTAGATACGCTCAGGAGAGATTTTAAATATAGGCGCTTCAATTTTCGGGATTGGCATTGGATCAGTAGACTTTAAAACATTTTTTCTTTGTTATTGGTGCGAGCTATTAGTGAAGAATTTTATTGTTTAAAAGAGTTTCTGATATTAAAGAGTTAATGGAAGGTATTTTCAAGGTCCTCCTGTTTTCGAAAGTTTTTCCATGTGAAATGTTTCAGAATAATAGAAGTTGTAAAGGAGAAATGTTTTCGACCAGCTTTAGTTCTGTATTCTTAGTTTTTGGAGGATTATTTCCAATTTTTCGTTGTTAGTCTTCTTCGAATGATAAAATTTTGCCTAACTTCTAAATTTGTCCTCTTCTGATGCTCAATTCATGGCCTATCCATTTATCTAGCTTTTTTCTCTTCCTTCCTCTTGCACGTTTCATTTAGCTGATTCCACGTGAAATTCTAAGCTCTTACGCTAGGTCTGCTCAGTTCCTTGTTGGATCATTCTCCACCATTTCCTTATTTAATTCTATCCGAGGGTCCAAACTTTTTTGAGACGGTGTGATCTGAATAGCAAACATCCGGCTGCTTTTCCCATTTCATTTTTATTGTTTCCAGATATTGTTAATTATTAATTATTATTTTATATTATTATATTATTTTGTAATTATTTTTTGCATTGCTTTTTGTCTTTTTTTCCATTTTTTCATTTTTTTATTTTTGTTTATTTCGTTTATTGTTTTATAAAATATATTTTTATAATTTAGCGAACGAGGAAGGACAAATTGCATTGTTCTATTTGGCGAATGATGTTTGTCAAAAGACAAAAAAAAAGAGCGATTCGCATATTATTTTACAAACTTTTGCTCCTTATTGGATTAGTGCAATCGCATTTTCGAGGTATTTTTATTATTTACGTTCTGTTCTTCTGTTCTACCAATTTTTTTATTTTATTTTAAATTAAATTCGATTTTGATTTTAAGTCTTTATTCCAATGAAGTGGTACTTAGATCGCTGAAAAGGTTAAAATATTCAATAATATTCATTAGATGTTAGTTTCATATTTGTGAAATATCAATATTTTATTTGAAATTTTACTTCAAGGAATTTTCAGAAACAGTGAAGTAGTTCAGAAAGCAGTAAATAGAATTTTGGATATATTTGAAGAACGACAAATATATTCAAAATCGCAGCTCGCTGATATGCGTAATGCGCAAAGTTCGTTTCCTTTTTATTTCAAATTTTATTAATTTTGAAAAAAATTCAAAATGGAAATGGAAATGGTTTTCATTTTATTTTATTTTTTCTTATATTTGTGATGATAAACTTTAGATTTTCCCTCTTTTTAATTTTTTTTTTTCGATAGTTATCCTTTTTAAAATTTTAATGAACGTAAGAAACAACCTAGATTGACAGAATTCAGCTAATTATCTTTGCTTATTATTTATATTTTTTTTCGGATTAATTTTCAGGTGAAGTGAGTGATATGGATAATGCGATGATGGAGCTAGATATATCTGCTCTTACCAAAGATGTGGAAGGTTATATGAAAGGTGATCTTGTGATGGAGCGTGCAAGAGATCTACTTGCAAGAAGTGATTTCCATTTCAAAGATAAGATAAAAAATCGTATGAAAGGTAGTTTTTTTGTATTTTTTACTTCAATTTTTATTCGCTCTGTTTCATATTGCTTTCATTTTCGATGAATTTTGTAATAAATTTTTTTTACCTTTTAGATCGTCGTGATGGTCAAAAATTCCAAGCTGAAATTGAACAGTCATTTAAAAAATTGAGTGATTTTTCTGCTGCATTAGTAAAACACAAAAAACGCGGTCAGAGTTTGCTGGAATCAGTCGATTCTGCTAAACGCTTTTTTAATTTGCAATTAAGAGATGCCACTGTTGTTGAAGATGTCAGTTTTATCATTTTTTGATTTAAATTCAACATTTTGTTGTTTTTATATTTCTTTTTATTTTTTTTTCATTTTATTCACGCTTAGTATAGAATTATTTTCATTTCATGAAATGGAAATCTTTATTAAATTATTTCAAGGCGTATGAGAAATTCGGCTCAAGTATCGATAGAGTACGAAAAGAATTGGAAGAAATGCTAGAAACTAGCATTTATCCTGGTGCATCTCCACCTCGCGATGCTCCTTCTCCTACTGCAAATGATGATCCTTTTGTAGCGGGGGTCGAGAAGGCATATGAACGTTAGTTTTTTTCTCAATTTTTTTGGTGATTTTTCGGTTATTCAATGAACATAATTTTTCTCAGAAATGCGACGCCCGCGAGAAAATATAGAAGTAACTGACATGGATGTTGAAAAAGAAGATGAGCATGTCACTGCTGGTAATTTTTTTTTAATAAAAATTATATTAAGCCTATGAAATAAACTGAAATTTTCTTTCTCAATATTTGCCTCAAACCTCAAATTATGAAATATATGGTAATTGGGTTTTTTTTTCATTCAGACAGTTTTTTTTTAGATTCACTTTATTTAAAAACCAATCAGACATTCACCGGCTCATCGGACGCCTTAATAGAAATAATGGAAGACGGTCAGACGAAAGAAGTCTGTTTTAGTTTATAATATAATCTTAAATGATATTTACTCGTTAAATATTGAAAGATTTTTTATTTCTTCGTCTTTTTCTAATACATTTCACCATTACTGGTTAGGCTGTGTTGGCTACAAGGATAAAAACATCTCCAGTGACATCTCCATCTTCGATCTGACGCCATCTCTAACCATTCCTTTTTCCATCGTCTGTCCATACATCACTAGTCCACCTATGCGTTCAGAATCTTTCCTGAGTATATCATTCCAGATCTTGATTGGCCCTTCTTATTTTTGACGCCATCCATCATAAGGTTTAACAAGAAATATGTTTCAACTCTTATGGTGAGCGATGAAGAACATACCTCATGCTCTAGCTAGTGAAGATGACGCTTTGTGATGGTACTGTTAAGATTGTTATGTGATACAGCGAAGGTAGATGCAATCATGTGAGATTTTATCTGCTCGACGAACCGTAAAATATATAAATATAAATGGCCAAAGGTAGATAACTTCTTAATATTTTCCACTCTTACTGAGCAAATTGCAGCATATAGGTGCGAATTTTCATTTTAATGGTGATTTCGCGATAATTCATAAAGTTTTACGAATCGGAAAAAAAAATTCTAGCTATTATTATCTGGGTTCTAATTTCGTCTTTCGCTTGGCCATTTGAGCTTAGAGTGAATCCAAGAAGAGTTAAAGTCTGGCACTTCTTCAAACGGGATGAATTGATAAAAATAGTTATTAAAAATATCAGCTTCTGGTATATAAGACAAAAAGATTTTATTTACACTGATCATAAGGTTTATTATTTGCGTTTCATTAAAAATCAGCAAAAAGGACTACATCATCAACAAGATAGCATGATCTGGCCTTTTACTGTTATGGAATATCGGTGATAACCAAATTTATCACATAGTATAGGGAAAAAAATGCAGCCTTAATGGATACTAGTTTTTGTATCGAAATAGTCCGTAAGTACTCCAAACTTGTGCCAATCTACGCTAATAAAATGCTTTATGAGTCGAGTCTTCTCTGGAACATCGTCCCATTTCAATAACATCTAAAGCGCCATTCTATCAACTTAGAAGGATAGCGAAAATTTTCCCGAAGATGTCTAATAGACTGATTCCTCGTTAATTGTCACCATTCTTGAGAATTGTGAGAATTGCTTTGTTACAACCATCTGGTATTATTTCTTTCTTCCATACCAGAGAATATTTGTTGATGGTGCGTTATGAAGGACAATGGACAACATATGAAAAGTTTATCCCGAAGACCATTTTTTACCGGAGTCTTATTGGCCTTAGGCCTATGGATAACAGAGATTATTTCTGCTGGCGGTTCATAGTAGCAAATTTATAACTCGATGAGTGATCAGCAATTCGGGACAGCATATGGCGCATCATGGTTAAGTTTGACCTCAACAAATTTCCATCTTACAAGGCTATCCTTGATAGCCTTAACATTATTATTATCTCACCCCACCATTATCATTATAGCATCAGTTCACTGAGATTCCCCTAATTATAGTTGCTTTATGAAAAAAGCGGAATAATTTTCTATTATCGATTCTAATCTAGTAAATATCTTCATTTTCAAGTCCATATCGTTCCAATTTCTATTTCAACAAGTTACTGTCGTTGTAATCTGTAATTCTTTGAAACATTCAATAATCAAATCTTCTGATATTTGTGTTTTTTCAGACAGTAATACTTCCAGTACCCAACTAGCGCATTTCCTATTAATTATATTCTAGAGTGGGAAGTAGCTGACCTTCGGAGAGAAATCGAATTTTGGTATAAGCTAGATCGTTAGAGATAGTTTTTGCGAATCAGTTTTATGAGGATCTTAATTCGAACCGTAATATAATTTGATCAATGAAGATCACCAGTTTTAGCGCCACCACAGGGACGATTATATAGTTCGGAATTTTTTCAATGACTACTGGCTAGGATGTAATTAATTTGGCTGGAATGTTTGTTATCCAGAGAGTTCCACGTAGTGTTATCTTCTTCGATCTCGCATATATTAGTAACAAAAGCTCTTCGGCAAAGGAAAGAAAGCGTTCTCCATTGACGCATCAGACCACGATGCCATATTTGCTAATTAGCGTTCACTGTGGTGGCATCATAACCTACGCGCATATTTCTTTTTCTCTCGATTATGATAACCATGTCCATCTTTCAGTAGAAATGTTGTTAATAGTTGCAGTTCCGCATACAACTTATCATTGTCGTGATTTGCGCGCAAAGTTTGTGCACTGATGATGGAAATTTTCCTGAACTTTGAAGCGGACGTAGACCATACGATCATTTACTGGCTTCCACTCAATTAGAACGGACTGATCTTTTTCATTCATGGCATTCGCCACGTCATTTCCCCGCAAAGCATCCGAAACGCCACAGTGATATAGCCAGTATCAGTAATTTATCGGAACTTAAAGTGTGAGAGACGAACCTCTAACAAGTAGGCAAAACCCACGCGATATTTAGGAAGAGTGTGGAGAATCGCTTGGGAAAGATTTTATTTTCATATTCATAAAAGAACAATAGATATAGAATGAATTTTGAATCGCAATGGATGCCGTAAATTATATGAATTAATTGCACGATTTTTTCAGAATTCCATCAAGATTTTGCCTTCCCAACGTTCTGCGGTTTCCGATCCTCGATTGCTTTCTGGTAACCAGCGATCACCGATACAGATTCCAGTTGTAACTATTTCCGCTACCACAGTTCCGGCATCTTCATTTAATGATTCTTTACCTACGCAAGAACATTCTCAATATATGGAGACACAGCAGATCTCGAATAGTTCCAGTCAAATTCCTTGTTTAGTGACAAATTCTGTGCCTTCACAAATCCATATTTCCTCACAAAATCAGGTTTCGCATCAGATGACAGGTCAAATGTCACAACATGCAAATCAAATTCCACTTAATAATCCTCAAGACTACCAATCAATTAATCGAACCAACCATATTTCTCTACGAAGCTCAAGTCAAGTACAATCTCATACTTATTTAACGGCTCGGACAACTGATTCTTTGCATTCTTTAAATCGTGCTCCTCAAGCTAATTTCCAATTGTCTTCAACCATTCCACTCCCAATTCAGCAATCGGCTACTGGTTCAGTAACACCTACTGAACAAGTTTCTAGTCTTCGATTGCATAATATTTCCAGCTTCCCTAATACATCGTCTTGGTTAGTGGAAGCACCTTCAAGTGATTTTCATGAAATCAGTAGTATTTCACCATTGGATACGAATTCTTACTCAGTGCCATCATCTTCAAATGTGCTTCGAAGTAATGTATCAGTCACTATTGCTGATTCTGCCCCATCTTTATCGAATCGACTAACAAATTTATTGACACCTTCGAGCGTTCAACCAATTAATTCAGTAACCGTTTCGAGTCATGCATCTTTCCCTGGAACTACATCTTCTTCTTATATCTCTCCTTCTTCTGTGATGAATCAGGTGCGTACCATTTCGCTTCAAAATTCACGGAATGAAATGGTTCCCTCACCATTGTCACCTTCAACTTCTAAAATTCTTGTCATTCCTAATAAATCATTTGATTATATCATGAAAGGAACTGCTGATAATGATCCAACTTTGCGTTCGCATACTTTTTCTGCTTCGGCTTATTCTCAGAATAATTTTGAACGTGGACATCGTGATGAATTTGGTCATCATCGCCATTCATTTGATATTGGCAGTCGTCCACGACCTTATGAAAGAAATAATGATGGTCGATATAATTCATATAATGTTCGTACTAGAGAACAACGCAATGATTACGACAATGATTATCGGCTCGATCGTAGAGTTCGAGAATGGCGATGAATAAAATTGTTACTCCTACGTTTATTGCAAATGGGTTTGACAAATTACTGGTATAATTAAGAAGGTTTGACGATATTTTACCTATTATAACAAAGAATTCTTTAAAATCGTTTCAATATCCTAGAATTTTTTTAAAAATCATTTATTATATATAAATATTTGAAGCATATTTTTACATTTGTGATTGATTTTGCTGGATTCAAATAATAGAAATGATTATTATGCAATAAAATTATTTGTCATTCAAGACAATTGAATATTATTTGTCATATTTTCATTTCCATAAATTTTCTACAACAAAATGTCACTGTGATTGTAATTTTGTCGTTTTTTTATTTATTCATTTATTCCTTATTTTTATTTATTCATTTTTTGTTTTCATTTTTATTAATTTACCGTTCTTTCGTTAATTTCAAACAAAGAGTTATTATAACTGAATTATAACGAGCAGAATTAAAAGTTAAGACAGAAGGCTATTCGAATTCGCGTTGGAATTTTATATCGGAGAAAGGATTTATAATGAGTTCACTTTAAAAGCTTTAAAAAACTTAGTAGAATTATAAATAGTAGAGTTTTTATTTGTAAAATCCAGAAGATTTTTCATCACAAAAAAACCATAATTCAGCTCTTTCCTCTCTGAATTTATAAAATCCATTTACTTTGCTGGATTTTAAAAATAAAAGGAGTCTTGTAAATAAAAAACAGATGGGGAAGTCTTCCTCATCTTTAAATTATGTAGGCGATATAAATTTAATGAGATTTTAAAGAAAGTTTTATGTGCCTTTTGTGTACTGGTACTGTACTGATTAATCCGATATTTTTGTAAAATATCAGTTTAAACTTCAGTCAGATGGTCTAATTTTATTCGTGTATTTTGAAGATTTTAAAAGTTTCTGTTTATCATTTATGAGTGGTGACTGTGACTGCCAGAAAGCGGTTGAGAGTGGTCGTTGTCATCATTTATGTGGATCAGTCTTGCATTTTATT